CAAAGAATGTTAAATCGGTACTGATTTTTAGTCTTCAATATTTCAGGTAATCTACTCCTTTCAAGTAAACATTTCTTTGGATCTTTTTTTTTTGAAGAATTTATCGGCAAACTCGAAGACAAAAAGTCGACCTTAATTTGCTACATACTATTTGGATTTTATGCGGTTGAACTTGGTTCTAAATTTTGCAGTTTAATCAGGATCCTGACAATATCTGATGAATAATTCCGCAAATATTACATAACACCAGTTGCAACTTAAGTTATCTGAAATGCTTTCTGCCAAATAAATTTTTTTCTAAGGCATTTGATCCGTAAACAGCAAATTATTGCATTCAAGAACTTAAGGTGAATTTTTCTAAAAAAAAATTGTTATGTAAGACATCGAAATTTTCACACCGTTATTTAGATAATTATCACTGTCATCAATTTTGAACGAAAATAATATGCGTTGTCATTTAAAAAAAAATTATGTCATCGCTGCCGTAAGTGGATTATCGAAAAAAAAATTTTCCACATAACAATAAGGTGCCCTGGATCAAATAAAAATCGACGGGTCTCACCGTTTTTCGAAAAAAATTGTTTAATGAAAATTTGAATTTTATGCAGAACTTTTTTACCACGCTGTATAAATTGTAGCCCAGTAAGAACTAGAACAAATTTTTTGGGGACGTGCGGTTTGAATGTTTTGTTATAGATACGGTGGCTTATTAGATATACTTGCTGAAACAGATACGAAGATCAAGTTGGCAATGCTTGGTTTGCTGTCACTTTTTAAAGATTTTAAAATATCTGACTAAGTAGCTGAATCACCCTGTATATCTGTCTCACAAAAAACCATTGCATAATATAATAACAGACTGATTTATATTACAATTAAACTTGTTTCACAGTTGATTTTTTTTTTATTTTTAAGCTTTTGTTTCAGTTTATAAATTTAGAAGGTATGAAAATGCCTGAATAAAAATTATGTTGGAATCAAATATATAATAAAATATTCATATTTAAATAATCAAAGTAACAACATTTATAGTCTTCCCGAAGTTAGTTGAACATGTAAAAAAAACGACTGGCAATAAAATTTAATGACTCCATAGGCGTCCCTAAAAAAGTTTTCTGCTAAAGGTAAAAAATTATAATAATTTGTATATAATTTGTATATAATGTGTAGAAAATTTCCATTATAAATGTTTATTTGGCCAACAACATATTTTAATTATTTATGTCCTCAAACAGTTTTATTATATTGATGGTAAATTTCGTTTTGTTCCGTTTCAAAAGGTCTCCAAAATGCTATGTTGCTATAATATTAGTAAACAGAATATCCTTTTTATTTCTCCCTTTCCCAATTGTAATATGAATGATTATAGAAGGTGTCTATAATAAATTAAAATTACCTGAATCACACCAAATTCCGCATTGCTGCACTGCACTGCTGGGCAATTTATGTATATGGGTATGGCTAAATAAATATGGGAACAAGTTTTTCAAGTAATTAAATGCCGAGTTGCTGCGTCAACCTCTTGGTTCTTCAATTGATATCGGAAAGACTATACTTCAATGTATTTTCTAAACCGTTTTAAAAAATTTCTCGTTACATTCAAAAAGTTTTCGATACGGTCAATTCGTGAACTATTCCAAATCACATGTTTATTGTAAACTTATGTTGAAAATGCCGAATCCTTTTCGCTCTTTCTGCGGTATATGTGCACATTTCACGATATTTTTAACGTAATATTCTTGAGAATGCAAGTTAACCGCAAATATCCGAGAAAATTGCAACTGTAACCCCTACAATGCCTATATAGGTGAAAAGAGAATTTGATTTTCTATAATATGATGCAGAAAGATACAGGGTGTTCCATTTGAATTTAAAAAGCTTTGTCGGTCTTAAGTTTTCAAAATTTAACGTGAAATATGAGACACTTATGATAATTTTCTTCAGGTAATTTTGATAGCGGAAGGTACCGCATCATATGTTCTTTGTGTATTCCGAAAAGCATGTAAAAGCTCCCAGAACGAAGGAAGATATAAGGAATTTTCGAAACGCTTGCATCTGTCAAAATTTTTATAAAATGTCGATTATCTCGAAAATGGTTAGATTTAGGTATAGGGAAGCTTTACCAATGTTGACTTATTTTTAATTTATCTTGTCGATAATGTAATAATATATAGGGTGTTCCATTTAAAATAACGAAGTTGGCAGCTACTTTCCGTATAATCTGAAGTGTTACGTTGATGGCATTATTTTCATTGTAGAGAACATATCTGATAACCCCCGTAACGAAAATTTCAGAGTCATATTGTCTTTGGTTCCTCTAAAACGTTTAATACACCATTTACCGCGAAGAACTGAGTAAGAGTATTGAACAATTTCGTACTAAATTTACGTTCTGTAAAATTGACGTAATGTAATAGCAATATTACATAAAGAATTTTGATAATGAATGACATATTAAATCCATTAAAAAAATAACTTTTAACGTTCTATATCTTGAAAACAAAAGGCGATATACGCATACTTTATTACTTATAAGCTGTATATATATTTTCTACATGTTATATATAGTTTTTCGATTTTTTTCGTTACCTGTGGCACGCTGCTTTTCAATGAAATCGACTTGAAGTAATTCTATTGACCACGATCACTTCAATCTACATTTCCAGCATTTCACCACGCTTCCGTAAAATTTACATTTGGTGTCTAAAAATAAAATACAAATTAATCCAACTTAAAATAACTTTGCTTACTTGTAGGCGATGTACTTCGGCGTTGATTTTGGTCTTACTGAAACTGGCTTGAAACGAGAATGAACATAGACACCGAGCTAATGTTTGAGTGCTTGATCCACCTCAACATGTTTTACTACCCGGTATTTGCCACCTGTGAATCCATAATGACGGCTGCCAAATACAACAGCATCATAAACACACCGGATATTTTGCGGGATGGTGCGGTTGTGTTTACCAAGCTGATTGCGGAACTGGTGAAGATTTTGTTGTTCAGAAGATTCAAAGAAGAAAGGCGAAGTACGTTGTATCCACTATTTTATTTGTGTCCACAAGGTTTTGTGAGTTCATCCCTCAAATTCCTTCTAAAATTATTTAAGTCTGAACTAAGTCATTAACTTTACTCAGACAGTATCTACATTTTTTAATGGAATGCTTTTAATATGAGCTTTATTTGTGGGAAAATAATGACGTGATAGACCATTTCTGATGGTTCTGTCGCCTTCAGCGAGGCAAAATACAGGGCGTATCTTACGATGTTAAAAAGTACATGAATTTTTTTTTGTGGAACGATATTTGTTTTTTAAATAATACTTCTTTGTTATTTTCTTGTGGATATTTGAAAATCTACAAACATATATTAATAATAATAATAAATCAGTGTATTCAGAAAGCGAATTTTTAGCATCACCCTAATAACCCTTTTAAAATACTTAATAAGGGTAAAATTATTTTTTGATAATGTATTTTTTTAGAACTGATTACGGCCGCCACCCTCCTTCTGACTTTCGTGACAATAGCAGCGTTATTCTACTCCTTTTTTATACAGTACCCTGTATTAAAGCTGGAAATGATTTTAAATTCATTGACTACTTTGTTGGCCTTTGCTGAAATATTATTCGGCATCTTAGATATATTGCCATGCTGCTTAAAACGACATTATTACTAGATGGAAATTATAGAATATATATTGTCAATTTATATTTTGTATTTTATAATTTTAATAAATTTTATTTATATTCGTAATCAACAAGTGGTTTTATTATAAATTCATATGGGTACTGAAATTATGAATAGATGAATTGATAGAATTGGTTATTCATTTAAACATGTATAAGATTATATAGGGTGTAAGAAGTTTGACTGCCATTGCTTTAGCATGAGATAGAGTAATCATAAATAAACAAAAAAGTTGTATATTACAGGGGCGTAAGATTAACAAATACAGCGAGTATTAATATTGGGGAGTTTCATCACAACGTGATAACAGCGCTTGACCTAACGCTACATACCTGGCGCATACCATGTGTGCACGCAGCAGACTTGTCCTACGGAAAAAATGTAAACAACTATTACTGTGAAACATTTAGTAAATTTCAAGACAATTGTTTTCCAATTTTAAAATAAATAAAATAAAATGTATGGATTTTGTAGTACGAAGATAATGTTGTGCTTAAATTTTAGCTGGAATTTTAGCAATTATGAATCTCTTAAAACAGGAACTTATCTTTTAACCAGAATATGAATTTGAAAATATGTTATTAAAGATTCACGTCACCCAAATAATCATACGTATTAAAAATAAATTAGGTACTTACCAAAATGCAAAACGCACAAGTATAAAACAAACTACAACATATGCTCAAAATGTTCATCACCATTTTCGATGTGCGCACGACACCTTCGAATCCAATTTTCGCGCACTCGCTGGAAAACACCTCAGGAAAAGGAAATAGTGGTACGCAAAAAACACGCAGACACGGTCCAATTCCAGATACCAACTGAATTGCGTCATGCTGGACACCTTAGTACCTCGTGTTAATAAACCGCCGCGCTGTTGTCACATTGCTCGATATGAATTTTATAGAATTTTAAATTTATTTTTTAGAATTAAGCATAAAGAAGTTCAAAAAAGTCATAAACATTGTATTTTATGTTATTCTATGCCGGCAGTTATGTCAATATCCTTTAATTAATCGAATTTTTGATTCATCAAGTTGGAGATTTTGATAATGTTTTCCTCGGAAATGGTTGAGTTAAGGACCCATGTCATATAAGGTTTTTTGTTTATTTTTATGTATTTTATCGTCTGTTAAAATTAAGGCAATCAAACTTCTACCACCCTGTATTTGTTTAATTTGATTTTAATGATTGCCTACACTTGTGTATAAGATGCGTTGATATTACACATAAAACGAGTATATATGTAATGTAGAGAAGGGTATTGGAAACTGACAAATTATGGGTTTAGATTAATATACAAAATACTTTCACTTTAATAACTTGTTTACGTTTTTTAGAAGTCATTTCCTTAGACCCGGTCAAAAATAATTTATTAATTTTTATTATGTGTATTTGGTTTTATTGTATACACGTATTAATGACATACTTTTATTCAATTCGTTTTGTTTTCTATGGACTATGGACGTGTGTAATACGTATAAATAAATGAATAAATAAATAAATAAATACATTATTTACGTAATTTGATAAAAACCAAAGGGTATGAGTTACATAGCTTATATGAAATGTGAATTAAACACTTCCTTTACTAATTTAGTGTTCATGGAAGCCATTGTGTATTTTTGGTTGCATATATTACGGACAAAGTACTATAGGGTAACAATTTCAAACAGAAAACTGTGATGTTCGTGTTGTGCAGGCCTAAGATATTCTAAAGGGTCTCCCAATATTCACGCAGGAAGTAATTTTGATAGAAAACACAGGTTTTTCATTAAAAATTCAAAATACTGGACTAAAAACTACTGTATCGATTATAGGACTTTTGAATCAGAAAAACAATAACCTACCTGTTAAATGTATTATCACTGTATTTTAGTACACACAGAAATTATAAACATAAAATTGCTTATTAGTCAATATTAATCATTAATTTCAATTTACTGTTAAAAACTTAATTTCAAATATTTATATTACAAATACTTATAGTAGGTACTTACACTGTTACTTATATAAGTTAGGAGTCACATTGAGTGTTACGATTATATTTTGCAAGACCAGTTGATTTTTGTGAATGTGAAGTTATAAAAAATATTATATTTGCTTTCGCCCTTTCAATTAATATATATATATATTTATTTTTCGCTTATCTATTATTTATTTAATTCACCTTGAATGCGGTTACCATAAATACTTATTATGACTTAGGCGTTAAGTTTAAGCGCGCTAATTTATTAAATTTTTTGAGTCACGATGAAGCCCGGAAGAAACACATGTATTTTTAACAATTAATAAAGAAATATACATTCTTTAGCAAATTTATAAGTACAATTTTCGTGAAAAATTATATTGTCCAAGGTTTTCCAAGTTTCTTGAAACTCTTGAAGGGAAAATTTGACCACTAGTACTTTGACAATCCAGCTATTCACACGATTCACCCGACCTCGTAACTGAATCTAAAATGATAGTGGATGACACTCTAGTCTTAGAAGAGATACTCTTGTATGCACAGATACATTTCTCCATTTTCCATGCATTTTTACAGTTTCGAACCCAGCCACCGGCTCCAACAAAAAGCGTTGATGAAGTTCTTCTTTATTTTAATAAAAAAATAATTTTAAGTATTCTTCAATTAATTATTGAAGGTACATTTGCTATTGTATTTTTTAACTGTTTCTTTAAGTAAGGAAAAATATTTGCTCTTTTTTCCGTTTACTCTCAATGAAACATAAAACATCTATTTTATATTTCCCCACAATAGTGAAACATTTGAAGCATTATTTTGAATTAATGGTATTTTAACTAGCAAACACCATAAAAAACTATTTTATGTAAGAGATAAATATCATCTGGTACTTAAGGTACTTTGGAACTTGGTACTTTCAAAATACTATGGCTTTCTTCGGAATGTATAATTTAAATATCATCTTTATAAACGATATAAGGCGAGAAAAACGGGAAATGTTACTATTTTCGTTAAGAAATTAATGTCCATGGAATATTTCTTCTTCTTCTTCTTCTTCTTCTTCTTTTTATTCTGCGGTTAGGTTCTATTCAGGTACCATAGCTTTCAATAAAAATAATTATTTATTTGCGGATTTTTGACTAAAATTATAAAATCAACTCTTTGACTGACCCTTTTGGAACAAAGGGTTATTTATTTCCGTTTTCTTTTAAGTGTGGTAGAAATATCCAATTTTTATTCAATAAATATTTCATATTTTGTGCTGTTCAATGGTCTTGATTTAACCGGAGTAAAGTTTCTGTAGTTTTCACTGGACTATATTGTCCTAGATCGACATTCATCCTTTAGATGAGGCTCTCGAGCTAAATTAACGTTGATCTCAGGACAACAGAATTATAACACCCTTGATGAGTAACTATTTTGGAAGCAAGGATAATTTAAAAAGATACTGACTTTTTATGTACTATTCGCTCTGAAAATATTGGGAGGAAATTTGGAACCACTCTGTATACTTCAATACGTCGTGCTTTATAAAATTTAAAACGTTCATTCATTACAGTTTTGAGGTTCATAGTAGTTCACATTACTTACATACATATTTTATTTCTCTATTTTGCAGAACTAGAATGTTATTATTTTCTTTTGTTTCAATAATAAATTTCTGATTACTGTAAATGGCGTGGTTTAAATATTTTTATAAATTTTCTTGTAACAAGATTTTACCAGCAGTTCCAAAAATTGGTGATCTTATCAACCTGTATAAAACCCAAACAATCCGTTGTTTTTAAATAAACGTATTTTGATGATACTGAATACAAGTAAACAACATTAACAAAATTGTATTAAGATGAAATGAATATACCTGTTCATAGGTATTAAAGAAATTAATTTTTAATATAAAAGAACATGGCTATTAAAATAATATTTATTGTTAAAAAAAAGTTAAAAAGCAAAAAAGATCAAAGTGGACCACAATCTGCTAGTGCGAAAATATTAATTAATTCAAGGAAAATAATTTAGGTATTTATTAACCAAAGCGAAATAATTAATTCTGGAGACTAAATAAATTAGTTGTTTCGTGTTTTATAAATAAACAACAAACAAGTTGGTTTAGTACAAAAACAAATTAATCAAATAGTAACTACCTACATATTCTCTGCTGCTGTTCAATTTACATTAAAAGAAATTGAATATACATAGGTACTTCAAAATCTCCCTGTTTTAGTTAAAATTTATTTCATAATTTTATTTTTTAAATCCGAATCTATTGAATAAAATTTTATGTGATTTTTGTCTGAATATCTAGATGTATTGGATATCTGTTAGTTCTTAAGAAATGTGTAATTACCGTATTGACTCATTACGTTGCTTAAGTTAGAAAAATAATCTATTTTTAGAAAAAATAACTTTAGGAGATATAAAATTTAAAGTTTTCGTCACTCGCTAAAATTAAAACTTTACTGATAAATTTCCATGTAAAACAAATTGATATGACATTCCCGAGAAAGATAAAAATATTTACTTTGATGAATTTTAATTAAATCAACATATTAGAAGTGTTTTGTTCCGAAAAAGCATAAAAATATAGGGCGTACTATTTTTGGTTATCCGGAAGTCAAGTGAAAAATGATTTGTTTATGAAATTTTGCAAATGTTATGTTAAAACTAATTTACAATTTGGGCGATATCCAGTATTACAATATAATCCTTGTAAATCGTTAGAGATGAGTCACAAAATGAACTTTATTCTTGTCAACAACTGGAGGCAGAACAAACAGATAATATCGCACAAAATCTGTATCGATAAAACTAAGAAAGTCGTTTTCTAAGTACAGTATATTTCTCATATGTTATCAGTCTAAGTTTCAATTTAATTGAAATGTTGTTTTAAACTAGATTGGAATGACCCAATTAAATACAAAATCAACTTATAATATTTCTTTTTAAGAAATATGTTTATAAAATTTAAATAAATAATAAAACTGAACAAGTTCCAACGCCTATTTGAAAATAAAACAATATTACTTTAACTGTTTCATTTATTGGATCCATATGTTGAAATTATTGTCCTTAAAGCTTGTAAATTAATTGACTATATTGTACTAAATTAAACTACAGAATTTATTTTTAAATTTTTAACTATTGTAAACTGCGTATCTAAAATAATTTCATAATTTAAATTTAATACTGACTAGACTTCTATATCACAGACTAAACCTATATTAAATTTAAATAATATTTAATTTTCAAACAATCACTTTATAGTGTCAATGTGGAATATTCCATCCATCCTTGAGAGTTGTTGTTCTTACTTAGTTTGCCCTGATTGTACCTGAAATATGTTTTGTTCGGAAAACCCCTAGAAGCAGCGTGACGCAACTTTTTCTCATCCATGGGTGAGAACATTTCGTAGACATCCATATAGCACACTGGCCTTCCTTTACTGCCTGAAGTCGTGTACAAATGTATAAAGTGCCTTTTGCAGTTTTCTTCACTGTTGGATTGGGGATTAGTACTTTCTTCTTTTATATCATCACCTCTGCAAGGAAACAATTTTGTTAAGTAATTCCGAACTGACTAGCCCTGTATATAAAATTTGAACAACAGATAAATCAATTGCGTCGCAATTAGAAGGGGTTTGAGGACGTGCAACTTCCAAAAAGTTGGATAAATCATTTTGTTACAGATTCGTATAGACCATTTGGGAATAAAATTTTTGTATTTCTTCTGTGTTTTGTAGAATGAATAGTTCACGGTTAAAGGCTCGAAAACCAATCATCACCAAATTTGATTTAATGTTTTATAAAAAATTGTTTATTTGAATGAAATGAATAGATCTAACTTTTCCATAGCTGTGTTCATTGCTGAGAAATTGGAACCAAAAAGTTATTATTCTTTCAAAAGGTTCAACAGTTTTTGTAGTCCAATTAACTAAGCCTTTAAATCGAAATTTTGTCCACTTGGCTGAATTTTTGATATGAGTTAGTTTAAGGTATATTATAACAAAAAGTGAGAGTAATTTTTTGTTCAACCCCCGGCCAAGGGTGGAAAAAGATAAAACAAAGGGCTTTTTCAAGATAACTCAAAAAGGGTAAGAGCTAGAAAGTTGTAAAGCAGACAATTCTACATAAAAATGGCCTCTTAACTTTTTCTTGTACTATTACAATTAACAGAGTTAGGGAGGCTAGAAGTTAAGGGAAGATTTCAGAAATTTAATTTTGTTAAATCATTAAAATTAACGATTAAAAATTAGATTTTTTGTTATAACTTTCTTATTAAAAATTAAAAAATATATCTATTTCTCTGAAAAGAAAAGTTACATATTTTAGAGCAGATTGAAAAAAAAATTACAAAATTCAATCATTTTTCTGTTTATGATTTTTTTTAAATTTCTGAAATCTTCCCTTAACTTCTAGCCTCCCTAACTCTGTTAATTGTAATAGTACAAGAAAAAGTTAAGGGGCCATTTTTATGTAGAATTGTCTGCTTTACAACTTTCATGAAAAACTTTTTTTTCTAGCTCTTACCCTTTTTGAGTTATCTTGAAAAAGCCCTTTGTTTTATCTTTTTCCACCCTTGGCCGGGGGTTGAACAAAAAATTACTCTCACTTATTGTTATAATATACCTTAAACTAACTCATATCAAAAATTCAGCCAAGTTGGCAAAATTTCGATTTAAAGGCTTAGTTAATTGGACTATTGTTGAAAATGATATATAAAGGGCGGCTCTGTTTAACGTTAAAAAAACTTGTATCTGATAGTTGAAACCCTTCAGGTTTAGATAGTTTTTTCAAATTTTACATGTAGTAACAGCTAGCTATGAACAGAGTACACTGTAATAAGTTCGGAGTCTATAAATTCAATAGTTCATTAATAATTGATGAAAAACTGGTATTGAAACTTCGAACGATCCTAGAACCCTAGGAATTGTGTTTATATAAAAAAAGTTGTGTCTATTTTTGTATTTATTTTGCCTAGAGGAATTTCTATTGAAAGTTTGTCATAAGGATACACCATGTGCAAATAAATTAAAAGTGGTTTCAATAAAATTTTTTTATAAGTCCTCCGAAAATATTTACTTTGTAAGTCATAGAAAATATATTGTGTTTGCTTAATTTTTCACAAAACTGAAAAACATCTTACAAATTCTGTAGATATTTTGACATATTTTGAATATATCTTCTATATTTTATTGTAATATTGCTTTACTATTTCTAATAATGTACTGCCAAAGTATTTAAATAGATAAATTACTTACCGTTTTACTATTGATATAATCCTGTTGTATACTACATAGCACATCCAAAGAAGGTTAAATATCAAAACATCCATCACTCGTAGGAGGAAATTCATTTTGCGGTTTCATGTATTCGAAAGTGGGTATCACTAGTGCTGTGGTTGATCGTCGGAGTACGATTGCAAAAAATCCAGATTAGTTCATAGTTATATACAATAAAAACTTAATTATTGTTTTATTATTTTATTATCAATTGCAAATATTTACTGCCGGTATTTTTAGTGTAAGTTCATCGTGATGTAAGATTATGAAACCTATATGAAGTAACAGAATACAATTCAACACTGTTAGCTTTGTATTATTAGTAGCGTTATTTTTATCGGTAATTCTATTAAATTATGAATACGTCACTTTTCGCCAGTACAGTTGTACTTAAATACTATTTAATCATATTGACCTTCAGAGAGTGTATCAATTTTTGGAGATGCTCAGATATGCGTACAAATGAGCGTTAAATTAACATTTAAATTATACCACCTGTTAGGTATATACCATATTACAATATGTATATCTTTTTAAAGTATATTATTTAATATTTATTAATAAGAAGGTATGTTGAAATACAGGGTGCTCCGAAAATAGGTACAAAGAAGTGGTGGAAAAAATACAATATTCTAACACATTTTAAAAAAGTTAATTCACGTTAATTTTTGTGCCATTTATTCGGCAAAAAAAGACAGCTGATAGTTCAGGGTCAGGGTTATTAGAAATGTAGCGCTACAGGAATGAACAATGCGTTTTAATTTTTGAGCAATATTTTTAAAATAATGAAGGTTTGGCAGCTACAGTTTATAATTAACGTACAAAATATGGTCGGAATAGTGAAGTATGAAGAGATTAATTGAAAAATTCAGGGAGACTGGATCCTGAACACTCTGGCCGTCCTTCAACAAGTCGTTCAACATAAAATATCGAAGCAGTTCGTGAGAGTGTTGCTGTGTATCCAAAAACATAAATTCATGACAACATAGACTGTATAGTGAACTATTATCTTTATTTTCTTTACATGTCAATTACCATCGACCTAATTATGGTTTTTATAATCCCATAAATAACATTGTTAACTGTATGAATAGTCTTCCTTATGACTTTGATATTTTTACAGTTTCTCGGATTCAGTTATTGCACTTAATTTGCATGTGTGTGTTTATGTGTATTTGTAATGTTACTTATATATGGTTAGTTTGTTTTGTATTTTCGCTCTTTGTCAGTTTTTTCTTTTTTCTTTTTCTTTTGTCTTTTGTAAATATGCCACCACTAGTAATTGGGTTCGCCTTTAGATACAATATTGTTTAATAAATAAATAAAGTATATAAATATTATATCACAAAAAGATTATTTTGTTCTGCGTAGAAAATATAATGGGTAATAATGTTTTATGTACATATTAAATTATATGTATTAGAAAAATTTATCCACAAATGCATTACCAACTAAAGACGGCCAAACTACAGAAAATTTTGTATCATTGGTATACTTTTGTACAAATATGTGTGCCGGGAGAAAAAATTAGCATTACATTTTGTAATAACTACGTTGATATATGTTGCTTCAGAAATTTTTTATCTATTTTTGTAGACAACTGAGTCAAATTGAGATAATGTACCAACGAACTATATATCACATTATTTATAACACAAACAGAACGTTGTATTCTAATACAAATGGTAAATATCGTGAGATTATCGGATTTAATATGAGAAAACGTATTATGAATTTGCTTATTTTACAGAGGTTTTACAATGATTGCAGTATAATTTACTTTTATATTTGAAAGAAAATATTTCAAGGTTTATTTTTTCCACTTTAAGTGCGAAGAAAGGAGGGGTCTCATATCTCTACATCGTTAGGCTATTTGGTATTAACAAGTTTATTTTAAGTTTTATACTCGTATTAAGTAAATACAATAAAACTTGATCATACAGACTCGTATCTAGAAAGGAATAGATTTTAGCATTAGCTTTTTTTTAGTATAATGTGTACTATAAATCTAATTTTAAATTTGCCAATTTTTGACTAAATAAATTGTTTAATTTAATGTTAGAATAAATTGACCAATTTGTTGGTTAAATTTAATAAATAATAAATAAAATTCAGTTATGATAACGGACCAACAACAAACCACAAATTATGATAGGCTAACTACTAAATATCCATTATAATATTATTTATTAGTAGTTTACGCAGCAATTTCTTTTCTATTGATTGTCAATTTTCTTTTTCCATGATGATGGCATTATAGACTAGACTTATACTTTATACCAGGCTAGCGTAACTGCAATAATAACTATATAGGGTGTTAATGATCTTATGTCAAATATTTTTGACACATGTCCGTTATGTCGAAATGAGGTAAATACACGGATATGTGTTAAGTATAATGTAATTTTAACATCTGACTTACCTCAACATTGCAAGGATCCACCTTTTGAGAACTGCTGATTTTCGTAGAAGATGTTCAATGTATTTGCTTGCACACAAGCTTCAGCGCGACGTATTCAATTCGCTCGCACGCGTTGCGACATTGCCGCGTCCTCTCGAATCGTATTACAAGCTTCGGCAATACGATGTCGCAGTTGGTCGATGTCACAAACTTCCGTGGAATACACAATACTTTTCACATATCCCCACAAAAAGAAGATGGCCCTCCGGAAAATCTAGATATGAAACACCGTCTAAGCGTCTAGGCAATTCAATAGGCCTTATTAAAGTGTCATTAACGATACCGGAACACTACTGAAAACTGTTGCTGAAAGGCATCGCGACGTATTTCGTGTGGATTTTCGATGGTCCAGTGATGAGTGTTTTGGACATGTTGAATGTGAAATGGGTACCACTGAGCTTCTGGTAATGTCTGCCACACAACGGGATGCGAAATATTTACTTGTTGTGCGATATTACTGTTGCTACGATGCAGATTTTCTTCGACGAGATCTAAAATCATCTCCTCGACATTAGTGTCACCCTGAGCCACCGTCGCGACCTCGACGCGGTTGTACTTCACCGGTGTCCAAAACTCTTTGCCCTACAGTAATAAATGTTCGCGGTGCGGGGACCCGTCGTTCAGGATATCTTGCACAGTACACTTGACAAGCTCTGTGGTCATTTTCGTTTGCTTCGCCATAAATTATGAGCATATCATAATATTCGCGACTGCTAAAAAAATGCACTATTAAATATATGTACTCTCGAAAAACAGCACAGCAATCACTAGAACAATGTATTACAAACTGACTTTCGAATACAGTCCGGCTTCATAAAAAACCTAGAAACTCGTAAAAAGTGTTACAGAATATTTTGTAAGTACTCGCATGTATTTCAGCAGTCCACAACAGTTTTAAACACACTTTTAATTAGCTTTTTTCTCTATGACTTTAAACTTCCGATACAAGTTTGTGACATCAGTTAATTTTGCTTTTTCACTCCTTTAAATTTTTGACATAAATACTTCATAAAAATGTTATTATTTCATCAATAATGTATGGGTATATTTTAGATGAGTTTATCGAGGAAAATACTATTTTTCCATTAGATTATAACAATCGCAGTACTAAGGATCGGAAACTTTGTGGTGACAATTAAAAGAATAAGGAGAAAAACATTACATTATGCTAATAAGTGGCAATATCCGTTGTAGTACCAAAAATAGACTAAATCTGATCAATCCGTGTGCCGCTCTATGCTCACGATACACAATGCTACTAACTGCTATAAAAACATGTACACATACACTCGATCGAGCAAAGCGTCAAACTCACTCGCCCACGCACAGACGACAATGAAATGCACGGCTAACGTCCCTCAGCAAAAAAACTGGACTTTTCTCTGGCACGTCAGGCCGATAGGGCAGGCATTAGTGTGCCATTAGATACGTATCGAATAAATTGATCGATGCGAAGCTTCAGATTACGTACATGTTATTCTACAATGATGCGGATAATGGTATTACTAAATTGTGAAGTAGTTAAAAAGTGAGTTAATAATAAAAAAACTAATATAATAATTATGTTTGCAATTACCTTGTTTTCTAGATAAAAGGGCGTCAATTAATGGAAAAGTATGGTATATTATGGTATATTTCAAATTGTAAAATATAAGAGGTTAGTCATAGATTTAGAATACATGGTGTAAGAAGTTTGACTTCTATTACCTCAGCATGAGATAGAGTAATCATACATGAACAAAAAGGTTGTATATTGCAGGGGCGTAAATTTAACAGTTTTGAAAATACAGCGAGTATTAATATTCGGGAGTTTCATCACAAGGTGACAACAGTTCTTAACCTAACGCTACACAGCTGATGCATACCACGTGTACACGCGGAGCCGTTGTCACATTGCTCGATATGAATTTTATCGTATTTTAATTTTATTACAACGCTAATTACTTTTTAGAATTAAGCATAAGGAAGTTCAAAAAGTGATAAACATTGTATTTTATGGTATTCTATGCACGCAGTTATGTCAATATTCCTTAATTAATCGAACTTTTGTTTATATCAAGTTGGAGATTTAGATAAATATTTTCTCGGAAATGGTTGAGTTTAGGACCCATGTCATATAAGGTTTTTTTCTTTATTTTAATGTATTCTATTGTCTGTTAAAATTAAGGCAGTCAAACTTCTAACACCCTGTATATCTGTATATAGAAACATTTAGATTTTATTCTAAGAAATACTGTTTTTTTTTTTTGTAGCATTTATGGAGGCCATTACCTTATCTCCGCTTTTGGTTATTTATAAAACATAACATATTGCAATGTAATATTCTACCAAGATATAATGTTCACCGAATTGGGTTATATTTTCTCATTTAGATTTCGAGAAATAAAGAAATATATATTTTTACTTTTTACTGTGTCTAGTTTTATGGCAACTAAGGGAAAAATTAATGTGGAGTTACTTCGTAAAGTTCTGGCGATTCTAAGTACCCTGAACTGATAAACATGATACGTAGATGTTTTCTGAAAATTGATTAATTTTCAACATTATCGCATTCTTGTTCGTATCCACGTTTCTTATTTGTAGTAATTTGGTATTAACAAAGGGTGTCCTAAATTATGAAGGGTCTTCCATCAAGAGGTTCCATTTTGAATTGTATACCATTTCTTCTTTTGACAGATGGAGCTGCCATATTTGGTAGCCGTGAGTTATCACCAACGCGATTAATAAATATGGATACATAATCGTTTCAGCAACGCTTAGAAGTAATAAAAGTTCACTATAAGTATGGTGAAAATTCCGCGGAAAAATCTGTGCCAGGTTTGGTTACAGAAATGCACTTTCTCGTATAGCAATTGTGGATTTAATGGCTAAATTCGAACGTATAGGGCATATTACTGATATTAAGAACCCAATTCGTACGCAGTCAATTAGATCAAACGAAATCATTGCTGTTGTGTCTGCAAGTGTCACGGAAGATCCTAGTCTGCCTATTGCAAAACGTTCGCAACAATGTGGCGTTTCAAAAATCAGCAAGCCTCGTATTTTGCATCCTTACAAAGTTCAACAAACGCAAGATTGAAGCCAATGGATCATGCACAAAGCCGTACTTCCGCTGAGAGGACGCTTCAAGAAATTGTGGCATCTGAGGTTCCGAATATACAAGAGTGATTATCAGACAACCTCTCCATCCACAATGAGAGACATTTTGGTGCAGTTTCTGGAGTCGCCCTGTTATAGGGTCATATTTCTTCGAAAATGAAGCCGGTGTTACTGCTCCAGTCAATGCATCAAAATATGCTGACTGACTTGGACCTATAATTGTAGAGCTGAATGTGGAAGACATTTATTTTCAGCAGAATAAGGCTACGTACATAGAAATACTGTTAATTAAACTGAATCTCTTTTTTCTTCCAATTTTTCCTAAACAGCATTATTCGTATAATACGCTTTCCCTATTTTTTTACTGCTCACGCTATTTTTTTTATTTTAGCATATATTTATATTAAAAAAGCTAATTTACCGTACACTAAGACCTTCAAACGTCCTCTTGAAATTTAAAATGATACCAGTATACCATACAATAGATATTTATTTTTATACGTAGATATTTAATATGTGACAATGTACTCTGAATATAAATATTAGTTCAAATTTGGTAAAAGCGGGCCATTTTGTGGACTATCTTGCAAGCAGAGGGTTGACAGTAAGGTTAGGTTGTCCATTTCCTCATAATTTGGCTCTAATTGGGTAGATGTCTGAAGATCCGGTAACAAAATCTCCCTAGAATCTCCTACCACTTCCTCATTTTCGGTACCAGAATCTCCTAAAGTACAGATCAGACTCTCAGCCTCACTTTCATTAACTTCTTCACAGTCTTCTATATGTTGCTCTTCTTCTTCATTATCCTGGTAACAAAGTAGTATTAACAAGGAAAATTAAGTAGAATTATGAAAATTATAGTTGCAAAGAAGTATATTGCTAGAGAAATTAATTGGGTGTGGGAAAGAAAAATGACAGGGAAGAAGAATTACTTTGCGTACGTTTCTCATTCTATTTCTAAAATGACTTAAATTATTACTCTAATATACGCCGCAAATCAGTATTGCAATTTAGTAACTTGTACCGACCACAAATATAATAAGCGAAGTATGAGTTTATAATGGGCGCGCAGTTGTGATTAGAATTTTTTTAAGCTTTATCCGATGGAAAAGAGAATTACATAAATTGTAGGATATCAATAAGTACCTGCACTACTGGCGTTGTGGACTTGTACTGAAATGCACTGTTTGACAGATCCACTTCGACAGGGAAAAGGGCTGGACCAGAAAACAGTTCCAAGGTTTTTGTATGCAGCTCTGATAATCCTTTGATGATCTTCACCAAATGACCTCCAAGAGATTGGACGTGTTTATTGTCCAACAGTTCCATCTTGACCAAAACGTCTGCTCGCAGTTTGGCAAATCTGGCTCTCGCTAGTTGTCGACAACGTAAAATTAACCTATAGTGTCAAAGGTATGGAAATTATATATATTTATTTCCAGTTATGACAACTAATTAAAAATATATAATATATTGAATCGTTAATGGGGTATGCATAACATAGATTTTAATTTTAAACTCATCAGAAAACAGAAGAACATGTTAACTGAAATATAACATTTACATAAATGTCCACTAAAAACATAATTATATATCGGAAAGCAAGTTCAAGTTAATTTGATTTGAATAAAGGGATGTTTTTTACCTGTATTCATAATTTCCTGTTTCAACTCTGTATAGTGGTTCCTGCAAAGCAGCATAGCTGCATTCCTCATCGTCCATCTCCTTTACTTTTAAGCAGTAGGCCAGATATTCGAACTTTGCATCCGCGTACTTTTTAACTGTTAGTCTGGTGTCTGGAATGGCCTTGTATAAATAGGTGCCCATATCAGATAGTACCTGTGGGAAGGCTTAACATAAATTAAGTTTATGCCATCTTATAAACTGAAAGAAATATGGCAAAGTGTGTATGAAGGTATTAACACAGATTGATCAGTTGGACTAAATACACACAAAAGAGGTTCTCCAGAATCTAGTACACGTTTACAAAGACACGCATTTCAAAACAACGCTGGTTGTGAAAGTTCATTATTTGAAGACGCATTTTAACTGGATAGATCCATAAAAAATCCCGCCAAACTATGTCAAGGAAGATGGCCACAAATTGATTACAAAACTTGACTAAGGAAGAGATCAACACAAAATTGCATAGAAGAATTATTAAGTGGAAAAAGAACAGTGTTATATTAAATATTGCTCCAATAGTCAGGTCTATGTAATTTCGCATCATTTGGTGTGTAACCAAATAAATTTTTTTCCTAAAGAACGTCGTTACTTGGATGTAACGAAGATTAAGTTTTTACATGGATATCAATGGATTGTACTTTGAAGTTCATTTTGCGATTTGTCACAATCGCTGAAATAGTAAGTGTAAAGCCATCTGCATAAATAAAATAGTGACCTTATACGACAGCTACATTTTTATTTATAAATATAACAAATAGTAGAGATCCGAATACTGAGCCTTGTGGCATTCCAGATATTTTTCACATTTAAGGCCATGTGATTGAACAAACTGACACCTGTTGATTAAACGAGAATGCAACAATTATAGCATAGAGTTGCAAAGCCTGAACATATCTAATTTTATGTAGTAGGATTATGGTCAAGTCTATCAAAGGCATTGGTAAAATATGTGTAAACTACATATACATACTACTAGACACAAGAAGTGAATAGTTGTTCACTAATATATTGAATATTTTCGACAAGATTAGTAAGACTAAACCGACACATCATAAAACCATGTTGTTGACATGACATCATGCCGAAAATATTATTGTATAAATATTTGCTCGTATGACACTTTAAAAAAGTTGCAAGTAATGTATATTTGATTTGCTTTATAGTAGTATCAACTTCATTTGGTGCACACTATGAGATGTTTATTAAATACGCGTTATGTGGAACATCTAACAGAAATGCAACAAAAACGTGTTGAACAATTGTACAGGACTGTTGAGAAAAAACATGAAAATAAATATTGATGAAATCATTTTTTTTAACCACACTAGAAATGTTCATAACTAAGAAACAAAGGCATAACCGCATTTTCTATATTTGAAAACAGTTAATTTGATAGAAGAACTAACCAATGATTTTCTTTGAAAAAAAAAAAATATATAAAATTCATAAGTAGGACTAGAATGGTATAAACTCCAATGATGAATGACCAAAATACTTGCTTATTATTAACTTCATTTTCGCTTTTAAAGTAGTATCATTTTTGTGGCTATCAAAATCATTGAAATAACTCTTATATTTAATTACTTACTGGTTTCACTTTTTTAATCATGTCATGTCCTGTTTTCTCCATATTCCTGTGTTGCTCACCAAAAAGCCTGAATGCCTCGCTTGCTCTGGGTTGGGGCTCTCTCACCGCAAGACCAGCGAATACATCACCCATTGCCTTAACCGCTTGTTGTAGCTCCATGTGGGCCTTACATTACAATTTGTTAAATTATTATATGAAATTATAATGATTTTTGATTGCGTTTATAAGGCGTTTAGGCATCGTGCTGTTAGTTAAAGTATCATGGTCTATATGTGCCTGGCTTGCACAGCCTAGGAATCTTTGACTTACCTTTATTGTTCTCTGGCTACGCTCTGTGGGGATGAACCCGTTATCAGAACTCTTAGGCCTGCCTTTCTGTTTTTGTTCGACAGTATCACATAGCCCCAGAACAAACAATAAGGGCAGGTTAAAGATTCCTAACTACGGTTAAGGAAGCCAGGTACAGACCACGGTAGGTATAACTAACGAAAAACCTTGGTAGGTTAAAATAGTACATGTTATAATTGAGTGAAAATAAGCCATTATAAGCAAGTGAGACGTGTGACACACGAACGCTTGCGATATACGACGATTACAGTTTTTACAGTAGTTACAGTTTTTTAATGAACAACTGACACGAAGTGATATTTTAAAAAGGCAGGCAGTCAAGTCTTGTTTATCAACATCGGTCGTCATGGACAGTTGTTGATAAATAGCAAATTTGATGATTTTCATTTCGACGCTCAATATTCCATTAGAAGCCGAAGCTGTATCTTTGGGATCAATTGCATGTTCTTACCTGCAATACTCTTTTACAGTGATCCACAAGTCCTCTATACATCACTTCCGTGTCCTGAAGTTCTTGCATTTTTTTAACAAGCGTATCGTTGCATAAAATGGCCCTCGACAAGCCCAAAGCGTCAGCAGTTGAAGAGCTCATGTTCTCAACTAATCTATGCTTCATCTTCTTCAGCACAATGTCCAAGCTTTTTCCTTGACGTGGATCGGCGTGGAGTTTATTATAATTTATAATAACTTCGTCCTAAAACAACACATTTTTGTTGTCACGGAAAGAAATTATTTCAAGAATACAATTAATATTTTGAGTGCATCACTTGAGTGTTGTTGAATTCTGTTGATTTTATATGAATATGAGTTACTGTCTTATACTTTTATTTTATACTTAGCAACTAGCAAATAATATGTTTCTCACCTAGAAATTCTCAAGAAATATATCAGGATTAGATTTTTTATGATTTATCAAGCAGGTAGATGTTACAACCAACCAGTCGGCAAGAATACTCTTTCTATGATTCCTAATAAGATTGCACAGTTTTTGAAACTAGAACATCCTAAAACATATACAGGCCATTCATTCCGAAGAACATCGGCAACGTTACTGAGTATTACAGGATGTATTAGCAATCAAGATATATGGTGGGTGAAAATAAGCCACAATTGCAGAAAGTTGTGTTGCTGACAGTTTAAGTAACAAAAATGAAATAGCCAACAGAATTCTTTACAATGACACTTCAATTTCAGGATCTAGTAGTTGTAGTACGTTGCATCATGCTGTTTTAATTGATCAGTCAGATAATATTGAGTCTCCGGTGACTTAACTGGAGCGGTCAAATCATTTTGAGAAAAATGTGACAATTAGTAAACACGAGGGGAATTATTATCCAGATTTTATAAATGTTACTAATAATGTAATAACTGTACAATTACTATAAATATTTATTCATAATAATTAATAAAATGTAACGTTCATCAAATATTTCTATTTATTTGTTCATAAAATATGCATTTATAACTCGAAGTCGCTTTTTTCCCTAGGGAGGTAAGTTCCCTCACTTACCTCCCGTTGTCCTACTTCTACGGTAAAATCCACTTACATCCTTAAAAACAATGTACCTATCAATATAGGTCTATATAGTCTATTTACTATAGTGGGAGCAGATAATCATATTTTTGGCAATAGAAATTAATTTTGATACATGGAAATGAGTTTTTCTGACATAATTTTTATGCATGACGCTACTTTCAGTCATTCTGGATTTCTCACATAAAAATTAGTATCACTAACTTTAGCAGCCTGTATCATCTTGGCAACTTCAACTTTAGTTTTCCCCTTCACCGGCTGACCATTGACCGAAACAAGTTCGTCCCCAGACTGAAGCGTTCCATCTCGACTTGCAGCTGTGTTGTCGAATATCTGAACGATGTACAGGCAGGGACATAGTGGCGCTCCTCCACCAATACTGATACCGATTAAGTTATTGGCATCTTTTTTTATCGTCACACTCCCAGACGTCACCGTCATTCCCCTGAAATAAATGCGTGTATACAAAACGTGTCTGCTACATTGTGATTTAAAGCTTATCTTTTGCCTAACTGGATGGTTTTCCGGAAGGGGTTAATTAATGAATTGATAAATGAACTCAAGTTTATGATAAATAAGACTAGCTAAATTCTACAAAGTTTATTTTAATTTATTTACATTTTCTTTACAACTATTGTTATTGACATCTGCTAAAATAGAAGGAGATGTAGGTATGTCAATACGGTAAGGTAAGGAACGTATTTCGCAATACTGTTACTTTAAGGGGCTTTATATTCGCGATTTTTTGTCCAACATTCTAACATTCTGGAATATCTAAGCAAGTAGAAATAATATGTCTTCACTGTACCAGTTATTTAAGTTTTCTTCAGGGTATAAGACGAACTGACAATATATTCAAAATAAGGAAAAAAGCATATTTTTACCTCGTATGGTGCTATAAACATAATCACACTCCGCAGAATGCTGTTAGGAAACTGTTAACACATGCATTAATCACAATTATTGAGTATCTTTACTGTTTTGCTTGATAAAACAGGAAGTAGGTCCTCTCCAACAAAGTCTAGCCCGAGAATAACAAGGACAGGTCAAAGATTCTTAGCTAAAGCTAAGGAAGTGGTGGGAAATTCTATAACTGAGGATCGTCAATTTGAAAATGTATTGTAACTCGGGTGACGTCATATGAAAAAAAAATTCTCGCAGAACTTTTAAAAATAAAAATTGACGTATTTCAGGATTTTTGTCCAATGTGACGGTATTATGAAAGAATGATTTTATTCCTTTCATTTGTACCATACTGTATGATGTTAATGTGTTTTATCTTTGAAGATAATCAATCTGCAATAGTGATCTTCGATATACCTACCTAATATTTTTCAGATATCTCGTTTTAGTGGGAACAATTCAAGATAATTAATTGCGGTATATTTGCAAATATTGAGGTTTTAAATGTTCGATATTTATTTCCGTAGGAAGGTAATGATTTATTATATGACCAATAAGGTTAAAATTTATTTTCTTATAATTAATAAGATAGATAAGCCTTAATAGTTATAGCTCAAACATTTGCAATTAAAGTATTTTTCTTACTAAATTGCTTTACCAATAATTATGTTATTTGTCATGCAAATTAGTTTTTGTCTTATGTGAATAATACACTAGGCACAGAAATTAAGGGATTTTAAAAAAATCCCAAAATTTTGGGCGATTTTCAAAGAGCTGTAACTTGGAGGGAAACGGTCGTAGAGAGAATCAAAAAAAGGAAATTGAAGCTTTAAGTGTTTAGTTTTCGGATCTGGAGTTTAAAATTTTTTAGCGTCAGCAGTTTCTGAGTAATCATAAGAAAACCAATGAAAAAGAAAATTGGAAATTTTTGCTTTTCTATGGACTTCAAAATTTTTTTTTTGGTAATTTCACCATAAAGCTCTTTTAGATAATTTAATTATATTCAATTTGAACGATTCCGGAGCCCTGTGCGATGATTTGTCGCTAAGTTATCGTCGATCAAAGCAAAAAAAACATTTTTAACTAAAAAAAATTAATAAAAAGTGAAAAATTACTTATTACATTGATTTTCAACAAAAACGACAAATTTAAACATTCCGGGCACTAAGAAAACAAATCGCAGCGTTTTGAAATTCTCAGGGTTTCTTTGAAGTTGAAAAGTTACAGTCAATATTCTTAGTTTATTCACTATTTGCGAAGTCATGCCAAGTTATTTAAAAAAAAACAATTATGCAATTTTTTACCTTTTTTCTAACCAACATTTTCACTTCGAATTTTTTTTTATCAAAACCCAATAATTACGACTTGTAGAGAATACTTTACAGTTTTTAAAACCCTGCATGAATTTTCTGTACGACCATTATTTCCCGAGTAATTGATTGCCAAAGTCAAAAATTATTTTTTTGCTTTGATCGACAATGACTCAGCGATAAATTATCGTACAGGGCTCTGGAACTGCACAACTCGAGGAGAATTAAATTATCTAAAAGAGCTTTATGGTGAAATTACCAAAAAAAATTTTGAAGTCCATAAGTAATTTTAAAGAAAAGCAAAAATTTGCAATTTTTTTTCGTTGGTTTTCTTATGATTACTCAAAAACTGCTGACGCTAAAAAATTTTAAACTTCACATCCGAATACTAGATACTTGAAGCTTCAATTTCTTTTTTTTTTAATTCTCTCTACAACACCATTTCCCTCCAAGTGACAGCTCTTTGAAAATCACCAAAAATTTTAGGATTTTTTTTAATATCCCTTAATTTTTGTGCCTAGAGTATAATGCAGTCGCATGCAAAAATATGTTTGAAGTTTAAGGTGTGCATATTTTTAATTTAGAAGTAGACTGTGTACTAACAAAAAGTTTTTATAAACATACCCTGTTCAAATTAAATGTGCATTATTATTATTTGACATATAGAGTACAAAAACGGCAATTTATATATTTAATATAGGTACACTAAACAAAAATAGCAAAAAGTATCACCTACAAATTCGTCTAGATTCAAATGTTACGAAGAAGTTTTTTAATTATATTTCATCCATTATTAAATATTTATCTAATTCTTTCTTTGTAAAGTAAGTTTTGTCTGTAGTTGGCCAAATTATACTTATAAGGGAAGTCTAGTGATTTGATTAATATTAACTAACATAACTTTTATCTATATTGTCATATATATTTGTACACGATTTGTGACGTACGGTGGCGTACGCAAGGAGTTGTGAGGGGCAGAAACACGCCCATGGCAAATAATTCCCATAGATTTCCTTTGGTTTAAATTATAATAAAGTTGCCTAATACGCTATAAAAAGATTTTCTTAACTTAAATGATCCAACTAATTGTTGAAATATAATGAATAAACTGGAAAAGTATCAGTTGTTTATAAAGACAATTTAGTAAAATTTTCTAAGCTTACCAGTGCATTCTCACATTCAGATTTTTTTACGTATTTTACTGTTTTTGAGATGCAAATACTGTTTTTTTTTCGTATGGACGGTCTTTGACTTTTAATTTATCTAGTTGGTATAGGTAAAAGGGAGAAATGCGAATTCAAATCAAATTTAATGTTATTTTTGTTAAATCCGCTTCACAAAAAGTTGTTTGTAAAATCTCAAACAGCACTGAAATAAGAGAAAAGCATTATAATAATCAGTAGGGCATCTTATATCTAGTAATTGAATTTAATTAAATTATATTTAATTATAAACAAAGAGGTTTTCAGTTTTTTCATTATCTTTTAAGAACTTGTTAAAATGTCTCACACTTGATTTCAAGAAAAGTTTCAACAACATATTGTGCAACTTTTTTAGAATTTGGTACTTCCTTTTTCTTAAATAGTTTGCGATATCCCTATAGTTATTAAAGAGTTCTAGGTGGGTGTTAGGTTTTGTTTGCTTTTTATAATCTGATGGAGCATTTTTAGTTTGCTCGTCAACAACCCTAGGAACGGTTGGATGCGTCAAATCCCACCCCCATGACAAAATTCTGCGTACCTACGCCACTGACGGAACTAATAGATTACAATCAAGCAATGCACATCTATTGATTTATTTAATAAAAAGCTGTGAGAAAATAAAATTTAGCTTAATTTATATTTAAATCTATAATGGCTATGCACTATTTCAAGCTAGTGTATGTGTGTGGGTCCTTTCTAATGTGCAAACTTGGTGTCCCTGCAAAATAAAATAATTTTAATGGAAATTTATGCCATTTTGTTGATATTTAATTAAAAAGAGACAGCAAAATTAGGTCTGTTACCAAAACTAAACCAGAAAATTCTTATAGAAAGTTCATACTCTTAATATCTTCATAACTAGATACTATACAGGGTGATTCGTTAATAATGGTACATATCTTAAGGGAAAATTGCTGACGTCAAATTATGTTAATCCAACTGAATATCGCTAGTTTTCGTTCTGCAGGATGATAAAATTAAAATGATTATTGCGATTCTAATAAAGTTCCCTGTTATTCTTTGATAGCATCAACTGATTCGTGTAATTTTGCCCACAACTGTTATTGACAACCGAGTTCGTCACCAGCTCCAGCAGTATACAGTCGCCGTTGGAAGAAAGTAAGATTGCGCTAAGTCGAGCTTGTGAAGTCGAAAATATTTTTTTGATTTTAGCACCCTATAGAAGGAAAAGAGGCAATACTTGAATAATATCTAAATATCTATGTCAATTATTATCATAATTTGACGTCAGCAATCTTTCTTTAAGATGTGTATAGTCTTTCCGATCTCAGTTGACGAACCAAGAGATTGGCAGGATCTCCCAGGTTCGGTCGCTGACGCAGCAACTCGGCATTGAAATATTTGAAAAAGTTGTGTCCATATTTATTTAGTCATACCCATATACAGGTCTGGTCGCCCAGTTGAAGAATGAGCGCGCGGACAAAGGCGGCACAAACACAGCCGCACTGGGCGACCTGGCCATAAATTCAGTTGTCAACAAATGGCCTAGCAGTGCAGTGCAGTAATACGGAATTTATTATAATTTTTTACCTTTACCAGAAAACTTTTTTAGTGACGCCTATGAAACTCATTAAATTTTATTGCTAGGCGTTTTTATACATGTTCAACTGACTTCGGAAATACTATACCCTCATTAATGAATCATCCTGTATATACTTATTTTTGAATATAGATCATTTTTTTACAACATATTCTGTTGATTAATTGTGAAATATTAAAAAATTTGTTAATTTTTACGTACGATACAAAAAAAATGCCATGTAGTCTCTGTGTAAAATGATTGTACGGGTTTCGTCACTGTACTTACCCAATAGTTAACTCCACATTTTTTAAATTTGTGTATTTCATCTACATCTACATTTTTAGATCATCGAAAAAGCTATTTGCATAGGACCAGGTGCTAGTGCTAAAAGCTATTCAATTTTATGTTTGCAATATAAAAACTAATTTCGTACGTACAATGTATTTTCCCTTTGGACCCTTTCGATTGGGCACATGTCGAAGAGGAGAACTTCCAGTTCTGGGCTATGTTCTTTTTCAGATGCATCGGGTTGATCTTCAGCATTTTCCACTTGCTCGCTGAAAATGTAATTTTTTTCTTACTTGCAAGAAAAAGACAGACCGTTTTACTTACAAATCTACTAATTTTTCAGCGACTGAGTCCATTATTTCTAAAATTGTGATTCGGTTTATTCGAAAATATAGGTTCACCTAGAATATTTCTCATATAATACATATATGTGTTAAAAATAATTACCAATTATATTATTCTACTACTAACTATTGGATTAACTTTTTAATGATTATTTTCTAGACTAATACTATTTCTTTAATCAACTTATCTGATTGGTTTCTAGGGTGCAGTGCATACTACAAAATGTCACTAAATAATTACTTTTGTAATAGAATCGATACATGAAGCCGATTAGCGTCAACGAGTTCATCGTTAAAACCGGTGATCAAAGTTCATTTTCGTTTTATGTAGCCACCTTATAGACCAGGCAAGTTAGACAATAAATCAGAAAATTGTTTCTGATGAACCGATCGAGTTGCGATTTTCGGCATTGTCTTCGGAAAAATATCAGGAAATAAGTCTATCTATTACACTTTGGGGCTGGATCGAAACTGCATTGCGGGTGCATAAAGTGCATTTTGGAGTGCATACATTTTTCCGAATTTTCTAAAAATAGTAAAAATTAACTAAAAGTTGTAGAAATTTGTGTGCACGGGTTTTCGGGGTCGGAGATTCCGAATCTGACCCTGAAAAACATACCCTAGGCCCTCCCCCCCCCGGGGGGGGGGGGGAAGTAAAACATCGAATAGCTGAGTAATTGCCTTCTAAATTTCCACTCGGGGGTTTTCGGGGTCAGGGATTCCGATTCTGACACTGAAAAGTATGCCCGACCAAAACATCGAAAGGCACATCAGATTTTTGCATTAAAACTGCTCCACCTGCTTACCAACCATGATCTTGTAGGTTCATCTTTACATTGTAACACACGTAAATTTACAGAGAATAGACAAGAAGGGTAAGAAAAACTAACAGGAAATTAATGAGTCGAAAACAATCCCCTTTATTCTGAGAACCAATTTTCCTTTTATTTGCAAGGCAATTAGTGGGACAACTACTATCATATGTTTATCTAACACTTTCACTATCAATCACAATTTTCATCATCAGTACTGTCATCACTGTTTCCATCACTAAATGTGTACAGGACATAACTAGTACCATGCGAAACATCGCCATAATTTTAAAAATGTTGTCATCGCCGTTCTTGGTGGTGAAAATTCGAAATATTTGGAATTATTCAAATTTCGTGGCTGAAAACGTACATAGGTATTGTATTTTTGAAACCGAATGAGTTGCGCGAAACTAAATATGTACAGGACATAGCTAGTACCATGCGAAACATCGCCATATTTTTAAAAATGTTGTCACCATTCTTGGTGGAGAAAATTCAAAATATTATCATCTGTCACATTTTCTACTATTTCAGGATTGGAACAGTTTGGTTCCAAAACAATTTGTACATGCAATTGTGCATGTAATTCCATGCTTCCTGCACCCACAAGATCTGCATTGTCGATAATCGGATTTTCTCGCCTAATTGTTGCATTATCCTCAGTCGCACGGGCCCAAGAGATTCTTTTGAAAATCGATGATCCATGAAATATTCTTCGGTTTTAAGGAATATTTCTTGGATTTAACGAAATGTGTCTCTTGGGAACGGATTGTCCAGGATTTCTCCAATTCTACGACAATTTTTCTCAGTGATAGACAAGCTAAGATTAATGGATATTTTCCAATGTCAGGCTCGGAATCTCCGACACCGAAAACCCCCGAGTAGAAATTTAGAATTTAGACTCAGTTATTCGATGTTTTACAGAAGCCCCCCCCCTTGCCCCCCTGCGAGACGTAGTGCCGTTGGGCATATTTTTCAGGGTCAGATTCGGAATCTCCGACCCCGAAAACCCGTGGACACAAATTTCTACAACTTTGAGTAAATTTTTACCATTTTTTAAAAATTCGGAAAAATTGATGCACTCCAAGATGCAGTGTATGCACCCGCAATGCAGTTTTGATCCAGACCCAAAGTGAGATAGACAGACTTTTTTCCTGATATTTTTCCGAAGACAATGCCGAAAACCGCAACTCGATCGGCTCATCAGAAAAAAATCTCCGTATTCTGGGTTATTTTGGTCTAACTTGCCTAACTATTATGACATAGGTACTTTAATTCAGAAAACTTTGTTTAACATGCAGTGTGGAACAACCACACGGAATAAATTCAGAGTAGGGGCTTCTGATACCTCATTTGAAAGGTATTTTAATTCTCTGTTCAAAAATGCTATTTCAATGTTTTAATATTTATTGCAGAAATTAGCAGTCTACTTGACAAAATTCGTTACAACAAACAAAAACATAAACATTTACAGCGTTTTGTTCCTGCAGGCTAGCAAACACAATTTCGGTGTTCTTCTTCAACATTATCAACTAAACAGAAGACATAAAAACTTAAGGTCTGTTGTCTTTGTCACTCTTCTTGGGTACTCATTTCTGGATCTAGCATATCGCGGCCAATGCCAGTTTGGTATAGTTGTACTTTATCAACTGTTGAACCAAATGCTAGTACCGATAAGCTAGCAAGTTCTGTTTGTTCTGACAGAAAAATTCAATCTGTTTAATTCAAGGTAATTTTAAAAACAATATTAGAACACGAATTATATCTTTATAAAATTGGATTATGGTAAGCAAACTATACAGGGTCGGAAAGTCCCCATGGTTCATCGGCCGTTACGTGAGAGCGATAAAGTAAGTCATAGAAATCCGTGGGATGGGGAAGGATGGCTATAATGAAGGCGTCTCATAGTGACCGCCCGTTTTGCCCTTCCACAAATAAGATCCACTTCTATTTGTAATTCAGCGACCGGTGGTCATCTTTGTTTTCGTCGTTTGCTTTTCTGTAATAGATGTCACTACTTATACAATTCCGACTTCGTATTCCGATATGTTAATACAATCCGTTAACAGAGGGCAGCACAATTTGTCTAAGGTGAGGCGCAGCCCCAGAAAGAGTGATGTTATATCTACAGATTTTTTTGGAATTGGGGAAATAGGGAATTTTGCTTTATTTCTTGGGATTTTAAAAAGCATACTTAAATAACAACTAAATTAACTTTAAATGTAGCTGAGCACTGTACTCCATTTGAATAACTTCTCTGTAGGGGAAACAAGGTCACTATATTTACAAACAGAGGTATCTACTAGCTACTGTAAAAAGTTTTCTTTGTTACGCGTTGTGCTGCCCTCTGTTAGCGGATGGTATTAACATATCGGAATACCGAAGTCGAAATTATTTAAGTAGTGACATCTATTAAAAAAAAGCCAAACGACGAAAACAAAGATGACCACCGGTCGCTGAATTACAAGTGGAAGTGGATCTTATTTGTGGAAGGGCGAAACGGGCGGTGACTATAAGACGCCTTCATTATAGCCATCCTTCTCTATCGCACGGATTTCTATGACTTACTTTATCGCTCTAACGTAACGGCCGATGAACCATGGGGACTTTCCGACCCTGTATACGCTCTAAATGTTTGTGCATTAGTATAAACTATTTACAAGTATGCAGGTAGGGTGCAAAATAAAAATAAAGCTTATATTTACATTCTGTCCTCATAAAATTTAAGCTGGTGGTCGTAGATCATCGAATACATCTTGTGCGAGTTTTCCAGTAAATAAACAGAAAATTGTGTTCATGTACACTATTTCTCATGCACTAAAAATAAATAAGTAAGTGAAGAAGATAAGGAAATAAAAATGACTGGTAAACGTACAAAATATGCATGCAACTGACAAGAACATTTAAATTTTAAATTAAACTGATAAACCAAATAGAATTCGTTTGTGGAAATAGTTGAATTACAACAATGCTGAAAAATTTACGCCATACGCTTCACTTAGCATTGTTTAATAATAAATCTCTATATTTTTATAGCTTATTAAATTATTTTAGTAAAAATATTTTTAGGCTGGGGTAGTACAACGAAAACTTCGGTGAAAAGATTAGTGAATATTTGGCTAACGGTGGTGTGTATAGGTAGTGACCCTAAAAGTCCGTACATTCAAAGTTCTCAAAATAATTCAGATGGGAATGTTTTTTTAGACCACCCGGTAACAGAGAAACGTCTATTTCATTAATGTTTTTCTCCCTCTAAGACTTCCTTCCTTTATCATAAATATTTAATAACTTTTTCAGACCTCAAATTGTCAGACATTTTTCAATGACGCCACACCCATGCGCGTTAGCTCACGGTCTATAAAGGGTTATACTGGATAATGTTTTTATAAATTTAATATACGTTCGTATCTCTTACGTCTACGAGATGCTAATGGACGGAAATAAAAAGCAGATGTATACCAGCATGCTCCAGTCCCACGTGAACAAACTTGCTTTGGCGCTCAGTAAATTTGATTTTATTAAGTTGGTGTTTCAGAAATTACCAAGGGAAGATCACCAACTAGGACTAGAAGGAATTTTATGGTGATAAGAATGTTTACTAAGGGTTTGTGGCCTGTTCGAAGCACTGATCACACATCTTTAGATTTTATCTGTTTGGCCATATTAAAAATAAGATATTTGAACATCTTCTCCACTGGACTATCCTGTCTTTAGGGAATTTTGTGTTAATCATTGCCTTCAGTGTAAGATTGGTTGTCAAACAGTCGAGGTTACGTGGGACTCGATTTTTAGACTCATTCATGTCATTGGTATAGTTTTGTTGCCAGGCAACTGCTCGTTGGATTTGAGTTCTTACCTCAACCATAGAAAATATAGTCTATATTTTCTATGACCTCAACCCACTCGACCAGGTTTTCAGTGGTGTTTAAGTGGCTTTTCAAAAATTGATGAAAGTGATTTTTCTTTTTTGTTTAAAACAGTTATACACTAATTTCTTGGGATAAGTTCTGAATTTCCTTGTATAACTCAATGCATAATAAACTAGAAGGTATTACAAAATAAAATAATAATTTCAAATTATAGGTTGATAAATTAATATCATTGATGCATTGTGTGAATAACCATTTTCGAAACATAGCAAATATTTCATCTTATAAACGGGTATAACGTTTCCATTTCTATATTTTTTAACAATGACTTTATTTTTCGTATTTAATGAGAATGTATCACTGTTAAATATTATTTAAATACTGAGTTAAGTATACACCGAATAAAAATAAGTAAAATATTTTAAAAACAAAATATTTGTTCAATTATACAAAAACCTGTAGCGTTTGTAACGTGAAAGGCGTATAAAGATAAACATCGTGATAAAATTGTGTCAAGAAAATCAATAAATAATAAATTCAGCTTACTTACATTTTATCTTCCTCTAAAAAGTAATCATACTCTAGATCCAACATTTTCTATGTACTAGCTATGCGTTTTCTCTACGTATCGTAACAATTCTACAGTCTAAAAACTAGCCATATATAACAAACCGGAAACAGAAAAATTGATAAGTAACTTTGTATTTCTGTGATGCATTGACAAGTTACCATGCGTCCCGACGACATGCGCCTACCCGACGAGAATCTGATTGACACATGTGCTGCCATCTGCTGTGTGATAGTAGCAAATAATCAATAATGTACTAAAAGTAGTAGTCTAGTAAGAAGTAAAGGTATCGATTCTTACTTTGTTGTGTAGATACAGTGGATATAAAACACTGCATCTGTAGTACGAAATAACTATAAAATTTCAATTTATTATCTTAATATCCAATAATAATAATTATTATTCCAAAAAAATCATCATTTTGTGATTACCTAGGGATATATCTAGCTAAAGCTTTATTTACAATAATTGCTATGATATTAATTATATTTATTTACAGATTTCGTCAAAGTCTGTGGTATAGGAGACGGTCGTATTTAGTCCACAAGGTATCGAATTTTTTCATAAAAAAAGTCGGTGTCATTAGCACTTTATGTACACCTTGTATATACTGAATACATTTCAACATTCCACAGACAATTTAGAAATTATTCAACTAAAATGGAGACACTAAATTTATTTCTCTTTACTAAAAGAAATATACAGGGTATACCGTAAGGACATGTACAATGGAAGACGACTGATCCCTGGAATCAAGGTACCTAGATAGATTAGGCAATTCACCTATGTTCGAAACCGCTTCGTTTTACCGCTAGATGGCCTTAGAGTTTCCAAAAATGTTTGAATTTTTTAAATAACTCTATACGTGTTAATCGACTTTTATTACTTTCACAGTATGGGTTTGTACCTTCTATTGACACATTTTTGTATTATACAGAGTGGTTTTTAAAACAATAACTGCTAGAAAATCGATTATGGTGAAAATATCCATCCATAAGTTTTTTCCGTCAATGACAAATGAATGACAATGACTACTTTCGGTTGGTAGTTGATACTATTTGGAAATCTTGAACAATTTTCATTAAATGAGCGGTTTAGGTACAAAAAATATTTTTTAAATATCTTGCCTGCAATACCTAACAGGCACTGAAGAAGAAAGTGTCTCTCGAAACGTCAAGAAATCTAAACCGACAATTAGCTCGGAAATTGTTCAACTACTAGATAAAAAGTTTTTTAATTTGAGTAATACACTTTCTTTAGTTTTAATTTTCTTGTCGCTAAATATTTCATTTAAAATATTCTCCAGTGTTTAAAACAAATCGAAAAATCACTTTTCCTAATTTCAATTTTTGTTGGTAATATAATTAAAGTATGCAATCAATTTTAAGTTTTTAAATTGTGGTACTTTTGTCATCAAAATATAATAGATATTGATTACCTCTACCCCCGACACTGGTTGTATTAAAACGAGTTATGGAATTTTATGTAATTACAACAAAATATGTACGTAGTAGACTCCTAATAATTTTTTTAAAATTCCAACACCCGAACCCAATTCTATAATAGGTTTTTTCTCAACATTGTATTTTGTCGTAAGTTCGTGCCATTAAATTCAGATGAATTCGTATGTATAAATTTGTAGAGTGCTCGGGAATTTACCTTTAGCTTTACCTCATAGGAGAAGGTAAAATACTTATAGTAAAAACCCAGTGTCAGTAATTCCTCGCATCTTTCTTGTAATAACATTATTTCAAACTTAAATAATTGTTTTAATAATTTCATGATTTTAATAGAGAGGAAAAACTAGTATTTTTATGCCCCATAATATTTAATAATTGATTTTTAGTAGCATTAATTTTAAATTTTACTATATAGGATGTCTCAATATTTCGTGTATGTGATTTTTGGAGTCAAAGTGAAATGAACAAACTTAGGTACTATTTTTTCCCACTAATCACGCTTATAGAAAAGAGAGAGATACGATGCCCTCTATTTAAGCAAATAGGGTAGTATTATTTTAGGTGATCCCAGTTCTAGTTTTATCAAAAAGACGATGGCATTTTCAATTTTTTTTGTTTTCTAAATTAATTCTAATCTTTTTGATAATAATTTAATTTAGTTATTATAAAAATTATATATATTTCTTACACTAAAAAACAAATAGTGCTCTGTGGAGCTTGGACACTATTATTCTTTAAGGAAAATATTGTAAATATTCACAAATTTGGTAACATATAATTCAGTCAAAGAGAAAAAATATTTTTGCACTTGTCTCACATTTCTTTTCTTCTGTAAATTGTGACTATATCAAATTTGAATTCCTGTCCTGTGATTAATCTTATTGAAGCAGAACCAAATTAGATGAAAACACACTTCGTAATTACAAAATGAGAACATGTGAATTGAATGCCATTATCAGCATTATTTTAAATGAGTTATAGCATCTAAAAGTACTACTTTTTTTCTTCGTAATCTACTTTGTACGTTTCGAATATCAGTTTTCCTCGCCGAGACATCATTTATTGAGATTGACTAGTTTTTGCATATTCGTCGATATTCAAAAATTTCGTAGCGTGAAATGAAGGCTCAAAAAAGAGAGGATAATAAAATTACAAACACCAAAATTCCCATAGATTCTTCAGGTTTTCGATATTTTTTAGAACATTTTTCACCTTTAAATTCTATTTTTTTTTTCATCCACCATATTGGATCCGATATTTTCAATTCTATAATTCTGACTTTGGATTCGTAATCAGTGATCTTGAAAACCTGATGGACCAGTGGAAATTTAGTTGTTGTAATTTGGTTCTTGTCTTTTTTTAAGTCTTCACTTGATGCTACTAAATTTACGAATATCGACGAGTAGGTACCCTAAACTAATCAATTTAAACAAACGATTTCTCAGAGAGCAAAATAGGTATATTCGAACGATTCAAAATGGAGTTTAAAGGAGAAGGGTAATTCTTGCTATTATCATAACGAGTTTTGAGGAGAAACATTACCTCGTGATGTTTTTTTTGCAATTCTAGGTTAGGATATTTGGAAAACTCGTAGCAACAAAAAATATGGTCTGGTTTATGCTATAAAATTTTGTGGGTCTGCCTCATTAGGGCAAACAAGGCCAGATACTATCAATAATCCTGAATTTAAGTTAATAGCTTTCTTTTTTAAAAGCACAGAAGTAAACATCTGTTGTTATATAAAGTTTAGTACATGTCGCTGTTTTATCTATAATTAAAGTGATGTTTATTTGACCTTACGGGGATTTTTATTTACTAAAATAAACAATTTGTTCAATTCAATTTTTTTTAACATAAAATCATAATTTAAAGCACATTTATATTAAATTATTATACCTGCATACCACATACTAAATGATTAGCTTGATAAAATAAAAGTACATGTTATACAGACGAAATAAATTATTAAACATATGGCCACATACATTCTCATGTCCCAACGAGGTATAAAATTTGCGAATAATAAAACAATCAAATTCAATAAAAAATTTTTGTGCACAGACGAATGAAAGTTTTATTTATAGTGCCCTTTTAACTGAAACAATTTCGATGGTCTAGTTGATAATCCATGGCCTACTGAGATATTTTTAGATGCAATTTTTTAAAATCACTAGAAGTTTCTTATTAAAATTCTGAGCAGTATCACCTAAAACACCTGTATCCCAAATTTCATGATTTAAATTAAATTAAATAAATAACCCCTTACGCTAAAACAATTACGTGAAAGGTTGATTTTAAATACTTATTTTTTTACATAACCAGTATTAACTCGCGAGACAGTAGATATTTTCTGCGGATTCCTAAATATTTAATTTTATCGTTACAAAAATGACAAAAAGCAGAAAATAAAAAACCATTAAATGATGATTAATATATAATTAAAAGATACTCTTAACACAAAATCAAATTGATTTTTCTTCAAGTTGGTACCTGAATTCGTTTTTATTTGAAAGTATTAAACGTACGAGTTCATTTTTCTTATTATTGAGTTCAATACTCTCATGCTTCAACGCTTCGGTTTTTATAAAAGTACAACTATCAATATAATATAATTTTTCTGTGTGCTTCAAAGTTAATTTGTTTTATATGTACTCGGTCATTCAAATCAAATACACTTTCTTCAAGACATAAATTAAAAAAAGTAAAATACTTTTAACTGCAAATGCAAATAAATATAAGATTAGCATTTATAAATATACTGTTATCATGGTCAAAAGGAGTAGCAGTTTAAACATTATTCCATAGGCGTATCTTACGGTTTAGACCTACAATTAGACGATTACGTTAATATATGTCATTATTTATATTTTCATTATTTTAAATCTTTAAATTTTGTTGGTCTTTAGGGGTAACAAAAAATTATCATGTCTTTAATTTACGTAAAAAAAAATTTGATTGAAGTCTTACTAATAGGCTAACTAAACTTTTCTGGTTATTGGTAGTAATTTAAATATTATCTAAAATTCAACTTATCATATGAATTAGCAGGAAAGTAAATATTTACATTCTAGTGTGAAAATTAATAGTTATTTATTGTATTAGACGATAAAACAATATTTTAACCACGAGTAGAACGTATCACGAGTCGATAATATAGGTAATTTATCATCGTGTATAATATTCTATTTTTCTCTGGAGCAAATTGCACTAAATATAAAAATTGTACAATCACCTTTAAAACTACAATACATATTTTTTGTATAAACACAATATATAGCTAATACATTTTAAATATGAGGTAATGGGTGTAACTACTGAAATATTTTTGTTTTGTTTCGTAGAAGGCAACGTTAATATAGGTACGAATGAATGGTAAAATTAATTAAATTCTTCTTTAGTTAGTGATTCAATTTTGATTATATTAACTACTCCATGTCAATATTTATATTTTTATTATCTATATTTAAACAAATAATTTCATTTCGTAAACAAATTATAGACCACGCCACTGTTGTTGTTAAGCAAGGTCGAGCAAATGATTCTGGCATCCCAATACAATCAAAGAATGACTAGCCATCCAAGTAGTGAGGGTTTAAAACGATAATGTTGTCCATCAAAGTAGTGTTTTTATTAATTTGTTTAAAGAGTACCTGTTATGGTGATTTCACAATACCAAAAGTTAGTCTGGAAGCCTATGAACCCGCTGGATTTCGAGCCTCCATCCCCGGTAAGTAATATTGGGAACAAGTTCTATTATTTTTTTAAACTCGTTTCTTTGATTTTGTTTAATATCATCAGGAACTGTCACATATATTAACATATATACAATTTATGTATAATGTATGAGACTAATTCTTAAAAGAATCACTTTTAAGTATTTAATATTTAACAATCTACTTTTTTAATCATAATTTGCGAGATTTTGCAATTAAATCTGAAAAAGACTTAAACAATTATTATTTAAGGCTATTAGTAATAAAATTATTTCTGTAACTGATTTTTAGTTTGTCTCATAAAAATTAATGGTTAATATAAAACACAACACACAACACAATGACTTTAGCATTTATTAATTGGTAACAAAGATATGATTTTGATTGCAAGTGTAGTTTAATAAATTAAAAATTGCTTTTTGAATTATGTAATTAAATATATTTTAGCCGATAGCGATACGCAGTTATTTGCCTTCCACGGTAAAGTAAATGAACACATTAGTCGAACTGAGCCTGGAGATTTTAGTGGAGACGTAAAAATTAAAAGTGAAGACCGTTTTACGTATTATAATGCTAATTTGAAGTTAAAAGAAGGGGATATTATCCATTATTGGTATTTCGTCCAGAACAATTTTCTGGGATATAGAAAAGATGCTCAGAACTGGACCGTTAGAGGTAAGTTTATACTGAAAATACTAGTGTATTGATTAGACAGCATGTATAGATCAGGAAATTTCTTCTAAATGAAGGTAAAATTTTTAAAACAAAAATCTACAGCACGAAACTTTTTTTATTTAATAAAGTGTATTTTTCTAATAATTTGCATACTTTTTTATATTATTCAGCGTGGTCAGTCAATTGTTATAAACATGAAAGTTGTTACTAGCCGAATGGACCAAAATAAACACGTTTTGTTCTTTGACAAATATTCGAAAAATGCTTCGTTTCCGAGATATTTACAATTTAATGTGAATAAAGTGACGAAATCGAAAAACTTTCGGATTTTTTTTCTCAAAAACTACAGAAGAGATTTTAATTCTAAAAAAAATCATAATCATCGGTAGATTTTCTACTTTAAGATATATTTTTTTGGTCTGGGTAAATTATTTTATTGAAGGTAGGTAGATAGATAGATGGATGGATGGATGGATGGATGGATGGATGGATGGATGGATGGATGGATGGATGGATGGATGGATGGATGGATAGATAGATAGATAGATAGATAGATAGATAGATAGATAGATAGATAGATAGACAGAGAGATAGACAGAGAGACAGACAGACATACAGACAGACAGACAGACAGACAGACAGACAGACAGACAGACAGACAGACAGACAGACAGACAGATAGATATATTTAGTTCAGATGCAATATACATCATGCTCAAAAATGAGCGTTGAACAAGTCAAGTTAAAAAAAACTGTCAAAAGTCAAAGAAAATTATGATAACATTTCAAATTTAAATTTTCTTTTTACAATATCTTGGATCAGATTATATTTACAATAAACATTATTATGATTTTTTTAATCGATATAGCAGTACAAACGTTCAAAAGATTATTTTGTTTGGATTTGTAGCCGGAGTAAGATATTTGCAAATAATTAGTAAAATTTATAGTTTTAATATGTTTTATAGTTTTTAATTTTATAAATGGCTAAAATTATGTTGAAAACTAAACTAAACTAAATAAGCTTTTTAAATCGTAAAATTAACCTAATAATAATGATTGACATAGCGGTCTCGAAAAATAAAAAATTTATTGGATAATTTATTGTATAGGATAATTATTTTATTTTTATTTTACAAAAATATTAAGAGCAATAAAAGTATATTAATTTCTNTTTAAATCGTAAAACCTAATAATAATAATTGACCTAGCGAAAAATTAAAAAGTTATTGGATAATTTATTGTATAGGATAATTATTTTATTTTTATTTTACAAAAATATTAAGAGCAATAAAAGTATATTAATTTCTTTTTTATTTAATTTTTAAATAACGTTTTTCGTTATCCTTGAAGTATGGTGCTGTCAACTTACTAAGTTCATAAAAGAACTCAGTCTTGTAGCACTTATTTTATACATTTACTTATTTGTTAAGGTACCTAACTATTGTTTATTGTAAATATTTATTTAGAACAACTGTTATTATTTCGATTGTATCATTTGGGTTTCCTGTAGGTACAAAAATTAAATTAAATTAAATAAAAAAAATTATCTGATAATCGCAAAGGGTGTGATTCTTTATAACATTTCAAATGGGATAAAATATGAATAGGAATAAAAAATCAAATCACTGATCACACATTTCCAAAATACTTGATGGTGTAATAATAGTTTTTAGCGACCTCGTCTTTCAGTATCTGTATTTTTTCTACTTCATACATATTTTAGAACTGCGTCCAGTACCAGGAACAGGCTGTAAAGCTAGTATAATGAAACTAAGTGATCGAACAAGTGTATGCAAAGATGCAATAGTTCTGGAAGACAACTTTGCTACAAGCCTTGATGAAGCAAAATGGACCTTAGAACAATATATGCCCGCAGTTCCTGTAAGTATTTACACAAAAATACAGGATGTTAATGAACTTATGTCAAATATGTTTGCCACATCTCCGTTATGTCAAAATGAGGTAAATACACGGATCTGTGTGAGTAAAATGTAACTTTAAAATCGGACTTATCTCAATATTGCAAGGAGCCACCTTTTGAGAACTGGTGATTTTCATAGATGTTCGATGTACCCACCATTTGCTTGCACACAAACTTGAGCGCGACGTATCCAATTCGCTCGCACGCGTTGCGGGAAAAGTAATATTTAGAAAGAAGCGCATTCTCCAAAAAAGTGAGCGGAGGCTTCGTTATGCAGTAACCACATATTTTGTCGAATATATAATGGCACGTCTTCCAATAACTCCGGCAAGCGATTGCATCTAGACAATTCAAAAGGTCCTATTATACAGGGATGGCCAGAAGTACGGAATAAAATTCATATCTTTTGAATGAGTAAATTTTTTTAAAACGCCGAAACACTTTAACTGATTTTGATTTTTTCCCATCTTTCGGTTATATAATAATTAATTTTTCTTCAAACCCCTAACCCCCAGCTACCCCTACTTTTTTTTTCAAATGGAAACATAAGGCATGAGGGGGCTCGTTGAAAAGCTTATAGAAAACTGAATCCAGCCATACCAAATAAACAAGTTTTATTTTTTCAATAGCAAGGTTTTTAGGGTTGTATAAAACACCTACTTAACAAGTGAAATAAAATTTAATTATCTTCAGTGTTATCCTCCATGAATTTGCACAGAATAAAATAAAGAATTTGAAACTGTACCTATCACTGCTAACGCAAAAAAGATATATTTTTTATGTTGCGTTTTTTTGGCACCACTTACTTGCCAGGCTTTCTGGTTAATTTTTCGCTTTAGTTGTAAATTGGAGTTCGAAACGTTACTATTGTGTCAAAATCAAGTTATTTACTGAATTGCAATGGTATTGTCGGAAAGGCAACGCATCGAAATCTTGATATTGCTTGGATGTGGAGACAAAATAAGAAGTCAGGCTGAAGTGCGCGATTTATTTAATGCGAAATATCCCGAAAACCAAATCTCGCAAGGGACAGTTAGTAAAATATTTCACAAATTTGAGGAACACGGTACAGTACAGACTTTGCCCAAAACTGGACGGGCACGTGCTTTGAATGAAGAAAAGAAATTAGACATTGCATTAGAACTTGTTGAAAATCCTCATACTTCAACTGTTTCATTGGCCCGCAATCACGATGCTTCTCGAACTGCAATTCGAATGTTTCTGAAACAAGAGAAATACCACCCCTATAAGGTATGTCTTGTCCAAGAGCTTTTGGAAGACGATTATGATAGGCGATTACAATTTTGTGAGGAAATGATGAGACGGTGTGACGACAATAATGGTTTTCAACGAGACGTACTTTTTTCGGATGAAGCTACGTTTTATTTAAATGGAGTGGTTAACAGGCACAACTATCGCTTTTGGTCCCAGGAAAATCCACACTGGACATGCGAATCGCATACGCAGCATCCACAAAAAGTTAATGTATGGGCAGGTATCATCAACAACAGAATCTTGGGCCCATTCTTTTTTGAAGAAAATCTTACTGCCGCACGCTACCTGGATTTCCTAACATTTGACCTGATACCTGCTCTAGCTGTGATTTTCCCTCATGAAATTGATCCAGATATACCGAATGAAAGAATTTGGTTCCAACAAGATGGCGCTCCCCCACATTTTGGTATTGATGTTCGAAGATACTTAGATGAAATGTTTCCAAATCGCTGGATTGGTAGACGGGGTACAGTTGAATGGCCGCCAAGATCCCCCGACTTAACACCCCTGGATTATTTTCTTTGGGGATATTTGAAAGAAATAGTCTACCAGGACAGACCGGATAATATTGAGAATTTAAAGAACAAGATTAGAGCGGAGATGCATAATTTACCAGCTGAAGTCATTCAGAATGCTGTGGTCACAAATAGTGAATGGAGGAAATTTTCAGCATTTGCGACATTGAGTTTATTTTTGTAAATTATCTAGTTGTTTCAATTTCTAAATGAATAAAAATTTGCTATTGAAAAAAAAAAACTTTTTTATTTGGTATCGCTGGATTCAGTTTTCTATAAGCTTTTCAACGAGCCCCCTCATGCCTTATGTTTCCATTTGAAAAAAAAGTAGGGGTAGCTAGGGGTTAGGGGGTTGAAGAAAAATTAATTATTATATAATCGAAAGATGGGAAAAAATCAAAATCAGTTTACGTGTTTCGGCGTTTTAAAAAAAATTAATTAATTCAAAAGATATGAATTTTATTCCGTACTTCCGGCCATCCCTGCATTGTCATTAACGATACCGGCCTACATGTTCACTGAAAACTGTTGCTGAAAGGCACCGCAAAGTATTTCGTGTTGAATTTTCGATAGTCTAGTGGTGAGTGTTGTAGACGTTACGTACACCATTTCGACTGAAACATGCTTCATCTGTAACATAAATTATGAGCATATCATAATATTCGCGATTGCTAAATAAATACGCCATTTTCAAAGGAAAACTTAGAAATGTACTCTCGAAAAACAGCACAGCAATCACTACAACAATGTATTACAAACTGACTTTCGAATACAGTCCGGCTTCATAAGAAACTTACAAACGCGTAAAAAGTGTTACAGAATTTTTTGTAAGTACTCGCGCTAAAAAATACATGTATTTCGGCAGTTCCAAAACAGTTTTAAACTCATTTTTAATTAGCTTTTTTCTCTATGACCTTGAACTTCCGATACAAGTTTGTGACATCAGTTTTTGCTCCTTTTTCACCCTTCTAAATTTTTGACGTAACTCCATTAACACCCTGTATATTTTGAACCTAAATATTTGTGATCAGTCATTAACACTAAAGAATGCTCATTTTCACTGACTGAATGATACTTTAATTGATCATATTTTTTAGGACTATGAGTTTGTGTTTTACAAAAAAGATAAGGACGTGACGTTTATTAAAAACGACCAACTTTGCATAAAACCAAGACTAAGGGAGGATACGAAGCAGTTGTTGACGATGGGAAGCATAGGCGATGAACTTGCAGATGGGTAATAGCAGAATGTTTATAAAAATTTATAATAGTACGAAAAATATGACATACGTTTAGTAAATGTTGTTTTGACCTTCAAAGTAGTGTGTACATTTTCTAAAATTTTGACATCAATGAGATAACACTTAAATATCAGAGGACTTGAACCTACAAAGTCATTTACATGACATTCTACCCTTCTTAATTTTTTTTTAACTTTTTGTCTAAGAAGAAATGGTAGGGACGAAAGTTTTAGGAAATTTTCTTGCAATTTCAAAGCAATTCGTAAAATAAACTAAATTTTGATATTTTGCACAATATTTAGTAAAGGACCCCGCACAAATCTTATGGAAATTGGGTCCCGGTCAAATTCGCTGAATTTTTGATATGTGATAGAGTTCATCATACTGGTCAATTGTCTCAATGGCCACAAAGCTCAAAAATGGATAGTTTGGCCGGTACAGAGCTTTAAAGCTCCGAATATCCTCCACGGATTTATGTATATGCGCAGTGTGTATAGACTTTTGAAATAGCCTATTTCATTTTTTTTATTATCTAGGTTTATATTTTTGAGGTTGCTGAATTCAGATCTGTTGTTAGATTTTCAAAATTGACAGTTGGCAGCTGTCAACTAGCTGTCAATTTGCTATAATAAAGCCAGAAACTTGTTTTTTTATGATTTATTTTTTTTTTTTTTTAGTTCGATAAGTTCAAAGACGATATCAAATCAATAACAATGACTATCGGCAGCTGTCATTTAGCTGTCAACAATTCTTCAAAGTCCGGTAATAAAGTCAAAAAATTATTTTTTGTTTATAACTTCAAGTTTTTTAGATAAGTGAATATAAATATGATATAAAATTATGTAGTCATCAGCTTACAGCTGTCAACAAGCTGTCAACTAACTGTCAAAATGCAATAATAAAGTCAAAAAGTTACTTTTTTTAAAAAGCTTTAAGTTGCTTAGATCACTGAGTTCAAAAGTGATGTCATAAACTTATATCATGTTTGATTTCTTATCCACAAAGTTAAGCACAAAAAATAAGTTACTTGCTCTATTATTGCATTTTGACAGTTAGTTGACAGCTTGTTGACAGCTGTAAGCTGATGACTACATAATTTTATATCATATTTATATTCACTTATCTAAAAAACTTGAAGTTATAAACAAAAAATAATTTTTTGACTTTATTACCGGACTTTGAAGAATTGTTGACAGCTAAATGACAGCTGCCGATAGTCATTGTTATTGATTTGATATCGTCTTTGAACTTATCGAACTAAAAAAAAAGAAAGATAAAACATAAAAAAACAAGTTTTTGGCTTTATTATAGCACATTGACAGCTATTTGACAGCTGCCAACTGTCAATTTTGAAAATCTAACAACAGATCTGAATTCAGCAACCTCAAAAATATAAACCTAGATAATAAAAAAAATGAAATAGGCTATTTCAAAAGTCTATACACACTGCGCATATACATAAATCCGTGGAGGATATTCGGAGCTTTAAAGCTCTGTACCGGCCAAACTATCCATTTTTGAGCTTTGTGGCCATTGACACAATTGACCAGTATGATGAACTCTATCACATATCAAAAATTCAGCGAATTTGACCGGGACCCAATTTCCATAAGATTTGTGCGGGGTCCTTTACTATTCTTCCGAATAGTCAAGATGTTCATGGAATCTCTGGGTAGTTATGTTTTCGCTGTTAAGTTTACTAAACACATCTTTAAATTCTCCATTAAGAAAAAGGTTCTTAAGCGGTTTTCTAATAGCTTCATCTTCTTGTAGGCCAAGTGTGTTGAGGTAACGTCTAGAGGGCGCTAGTTATACTGTCCTAACAATGTAAAAATCTGTCTAACTTTCTGTATTTTACAATTTTGAATTTTTTAACTACAAATTATTGCACTACGTTTAATTCTAAATAAAAAAGTTATACTAGGTACAAATCGATAAACTAAACCGTTTTCGAGATACAGACGTTTTAAGTTTTTGAGATTCGGCGGGAATTAAATTAGAAAATTAGCAGGTTTTGACGTTAACAATCTGCCATTGAGCTGGTACTATTATTAATGACTCACTCTGTATATCGCTGTAATAAAAAAAATGATTCCATTAGCCGATAGTCCATTAAAAAAAAGACGAAAGTTTGCTTTACATCTTCGAAACGCAAGAGATAAATGTAACTTCTTTATATATTTCTTTAATATCGTAACAAAATTTTTTACATCTTTAGTATTTCAATTTTTTTCCCTAGATATAAAGACAGAAAAGATAAAGGGATTAGCTGTTATGTGAAATAGGTTCTATTTTTTGCACTATGGTGCAAATGAAAGAAAGATAATTCATTATTTCATAAATCATTTATCAGACATAAATCATACTCACAGAAAGTTAATTTTTGGGCCGGAATAATAGGTAGCAGGATCATAGCACCAAGCTTTTTCGAATGAACCGTAACAGGTCGTCGATATTTACAATTTCTGCAACTCCCACACGTTAAGAAACTACTTGGACAACGTCTTTCGAAATACGTGGATCGGGTGTAGAGGATCTTTGAACGGCCACCTAGGTTTGCAGATTTAACTCTTCTAAATTTCTTTTTATGCGGATTCTTAAAATAGACTACAAAATCTAGATGCCTTAAAAGAACTCATTCGAATGGAGATGGCTCAAATAACTCGAGAAGTTATAGACAAAGTTCGAGAAGAGGTTACTTCTCGCCTTTCTCACTGTATTATAAATGAGGGTCGTCAATTTGAAAATCTATTGTAAGTTGGGTTGCTAAAAATACATTTTTTGTCGTAATTTTAAAATTTTGGTTTGACATTATACAAAATTCTATTACCAAAATTTATTGATATTTTGAATAAAGAATCACAAGACCTTTCAAAAGAGTTATCACATGATCCACATTTGTATTTAAAAAGAACATCGATGACGTCATCACTGTCACACAGATGACGTCATCTGTAACACAAATATCTCGCAGAAAGCATTTAAAAATAAAAATTAGCCTGTTTCAGAATTTTTGTCCAAAGTCATCGATTTACGAATAATTAATATATTCCTATTATTTGCACCATAATATTGAACATTTTTCAAAGGTCGGTACCAGACTACAACAAATGGGAAAAATATTTATGGTCAAGATTCTAAAAAACTAATTTTTCTGTTGATTCTTGTACTAGACAATTCAATCATGATTGATTTTAATGTAAGTTGCATGACCATCATTTGGTTTGAGAATAGAATATATTGCATGATATTTTGAAAGCAATGAAGAAAAGTTGAGTCAAAATGAGCCGCACAAATAATTATATAATACAATACGTTCCGATATTACGGAGAATAATGTTTTAAAACTAACGAAACTGGTTATTCTTCTGCAATTTTAAAAGTACGATTTTCAAAATTATGGCATAGAAACTTTAAATTTTTAAGAGGTACAAAATACATTCTTTTTGACTTTTTATTATTGTGTTTAACCCATTTAAGAACTAAATCTACTCACAGAATCCTCAAAATACTCACAGTCGGTGTCGAAACTGGGATTTTTAATAGTCGTCAGATTAGTATAAAATTAATGGTATAGTGTTGCCGATAAATTCAGATATGTCTCTAAAATCTTGTATATCGAAAACCATAAAAAACAAGTAATTTCTTACGTTGATTTCAGGAGGAATTTTTGAGATTTTTCAACAAAATTTAACACATTCATGGTTAGAATAAGAGAAAAAATGGCAGCGGATATCTTAATATACTTAAATTATATTTTTAGATGTACAAAACCTGGGTTATGTGAAAATGGCACATATTTAATTAGAAATCCAGTAATTTCTGGTAGACTTGAATCGAAAACATCATTTTCTTATGGAGATTTTGAAGTTAAAGCTCGAGTACCATCTGGCGACTGGATTTTTCCAGGTAAGATTTTATGTGGGAAGAAAAAAACTAAAATAATAAAAAACGAATAAAATAATGATTACATTTCACGGAAACAGAACATAACATCAACATATTTTTTAGAAATTTATCTGGAAGACCCACAACGCCGCAGAATACTAATAGCCTATACTAGAGGAAACAAACATCTCACAGGAGATGCCGGAGATGATCTAGGTAACAGTTTATTGTTTGGAGGACCAGTCAGACAACATAATGAACCAGCTAGGAGCATCAATTTAAAATCCTATGCACACAATGCACCACTCAGCGAATCTAGTCATACATACAGACTTCGATGGACGTCAAGTAAGTATGATGAAAAGGTGTAGTTGTGTTAACTATAGTTTTACTTGATAGTATTTAGATATGAGCAAAGTTTTTAGTTTAAGGAAATGCAAATCATTTTAAAGACGACTTGATTGATATCTCCGTTCAAAGTTTTTTCATTCTCTGTATAATCGTTTCCATTTTAAAATTAGTTAAAAATTGCTGATTATATGTTGCAGGAAAAATAAATGTAACCTCAAAATTTGTGACGATAAGTAATTTTTTGAGGTAGCGGAAAAACCATGATCAAGCGTTGGGAACCGACTTCAGATTTGTGTTCAAAACGCGTGATAATAAAATATCACTTTTTAGACCGGGAGATATTAGACTGAAGTTCGACGACGTCTTTCTCGTTTACGCCTCTGAGAGTACTGAAAGGTAACCGAGAGACAAGTACAATAAACTAAATTTAAAAGATGGGCTGCGGGACACCTTTGTGAAAATTCAATTTTCCTTTTAAAAAAAATAATGTGTACAGCGACGTATTTCTCACTTATGCCATGTTCGTAAGTTGAAGAGAAGTATCGATTTTATCACAAAATTTTTTTGGCATAAGTGTCGCAAGGGACCTAAAAATGGAAAACTTTGTAAGAAAATGAGGAAAAACATGTTTATTTGTCTGCCAATTTCTCATTAATGCCAATTAGAAATATGACATTATTATATTCGAAAAGCTCATAAAAAACATTGGCATAAGTCCTACTAAGGATTAAAGAAAATAGGGGTTTGGAAAAGCTGCGGAAAATTTTTATTTTCATTCTATAACTTTGTCATTTCTGCCGTTGAAAATTTATGATACTTACTATAAATAATGTACTGTGTCAAGTAGGCATCACTCCTCTATGCGTCCAATATGAAGGCATAAGTCCCAAATTTGTAGGAAAATTCATAAAAATTTTTACTTCTTTCTCGCTATGCCATTTTGCATGCACGTAGGAAACTACATTATATTATTAATTAATTTGAATTTTAATACGAGTCAGGTCGACAAAGTAGAAAAATTATAGAAAATTGCCACAATTTTCTCGTTTATGCCGTTTTGTACACGAGTAGAAAATATTATTAAAAGCCACTTTCAAGAGTGGCATGAATGCCACAAGGTACCGTCGTATGTAAAATTTTTTAAAAAGTTGTCAAAAATTACATATTGCGGTTATTTCCTCGCCTGCGCAATTTTCGATATACTTAAACTAATTTAAAAAATGTATCATAAATAACGCAAGTGTCGAAGAAGATATCTATATAAAAAATGAATATTTCTAACTATAAAAGGGAAAAATTTAAAATAAAAAATTTTTTTATGAAAAAGAAAGCTTTGTATTGGGTTTAGTTTGATTTTTCGACATATTTTTTATTACGATAATTCTTAATAACTTATAATAAAGCTGGTAGTAAGGCCTTTATTTTGATCCGTTTTCATCAAGAGCTGCAGATAAAACTATTTGAAATTTGAAAATGTAAAAAATCATAAAACCGAAAAAACTTATATTTTTGATATGCTTAATTTTAAGTTAATAAAAATTTTTATTATTTTAAGTGTTATTGTCTATGTTAGTTATAATTGAAAATTAGTAATTCAAAGTCTTTGAGGAAGCATTCTGACAATTGAGTTGGCAGCGGTTTTTCAATTCAATTACTATTAAATAAATTTTTTAATATAAAAATAAAATGTATAAAAGTACAAATTAAGTAATTAAGGTACAAAGTACCAGAAACAAAAAAACAAAATTCAATATACATGATATTAAATCAGTTATAAATCAGTTTCTTCCCTATGTATTCTAGCTTAATTCTTTCTCCTTCTTCTTCTTCTTTTTCTTCTTATTCTTCTACATTAGTCGGCTCATTTCAAGTAGATCATCCTTGCACTGTAGCGGTTAATTCAAATTATATAATATTTTTAATTTTTAAAATTTGAATATATTGTTCATAAATACGTATGGTCTATTGTGATAAAATACTCTACTCATTTACGAATAGGCACAAACGAGAAATTTGTGGCAATATTTTATAATTTTTTTTTTTCTGATCATGACTCAAAGAATAATTAAAAATCATTTCTAATATGTGGGGACTTATGCCGAAATAGTTTATTATTAACTTTCATTAAATACATGAATTACTTATATTTATAAAAATTAAAAATACGCTAAATATAAGTAAGTATAAGTATTTCGAAAATTGCGCAGGTGATGAAATAAACTTTTTAAAAATTTTTACATGCGATGGTACCTTGAGGCATTCATGCCACTCTTGAAAATGGCTTTTAGTAATATTTTCTACTCGTGTACGAAACGGCATAAACGAGAAAATTGTGGCAAATTTCTATTATTTTTCTACTTTGTCGACCTGACTCGTATTAAAATTCAAATTAATTTAATGAAAATCCAATGTGGATTTATACCTACATTTATATGACTTTATAATGTAGTTTCCTACGTGCATAAGCGAGAAAGACGTAAAAATTTTCATGAATTTTCCTACAACTTTTCAAAAAATTTTTAGCATATAGTCCTCACCAGGGACTTATGCCCTTTAAAAAAATGAATACTTTCGTTTTTTTCTTTGCAATAAGCTTTAATTTATTCACGAGAAAAACGTTGACCAAAACGTAAAATTTTCCGCAACTTTTCCAAAGCCCTATTTTCTTTAGTCCTTAGTAGGACTTATGCCAATGTTTTTTATAGCTTTTCGAATATAATAATATCATATTTCTAATTGGCATTAATGAGAAACTGGTAGACAAATAAACATGTTTTTCCTCATTTTCTTACAAACTTTTCCATTTTTAGGTCCCTTGCGACACTTATGCCAAAAAAATTTTGTGATAAAATCGATACTTCTCTGCAACTTACGAACATGGCATAAGTGAGAAATACGTCGCTGTACACATTATTTTTTTGAAAAGGAAAATTGAATTTTCACAAAGGTGTCCCGCAGCCCATCTTTTAAATTTAGTTTATTGTACTTGTCTCTCGGTTACCTTTCAGTACTCTCAGAGGCATAAACGAGAAAGACGTCGTCGAACTTCAGTCTAATATCTCCCGGTCTATTTAGTTTTGAGTAGATCTTCGAATCTCCTTTAGCTTCACAGCCAATGCACTTTTGTAATCTCACTCGTACTAATAATGTCAGTTTGTTCCAGATCTGATTGAATTGTTCTTCGATGGCAATAGATATGGGGAAGTTGGAACAGAACCAGGCTTCACAGGAAGCAATCCTGGTAAAGTATGTATGAAGTTATGAAGGAGTTTTCATTGTCCCTTTAAATATTAGAAATTATTTCATTCAAAACCAAACCTAAAATTTTTTATTTGAGCTGATTCAAATCCATTTTTATTACTATTTTGGTAACTGTGGTATTGTTTTAGTTCAAACTTGTTCTTGGCGTTGGAGTAGGAGGAGTGAATGACTTTCCAGATGACTACAAATCTGGAGAAAACGTGAAACCTTGGAGAAATTTCAAACGTACTCAAGTACGAGATTTCTTTTCCGCAAGCAGTACCTGGCATCCAACCTGGGACAATGAAAGAAAGCAATTGCAAGTGGACTATGTAAAAATAACAGCTGTTTGAATTAAATCTTAGGTGTAACAAATATTTAACTTAAAGAAAGTTAATTAGGTTTAGAATCCCGTTATTTGAGGATCATTCAAAAATTATTTATTTTTTACTACTGCTAATGCTCGGGTGTCGTTCAAGGTCAACATTATTAATTTTGTAGGGGTTCACATTTGGAGAAAATATATTTCATATGCATGACATTCATCTCTGTGTAGCATTTAAAAGAGCTTTTGATTGATATGTCCTGTTGTTTTAAATTAGAAAAATGTTTGACGAATAATTTAATTGTTTTCTAAAAATAATATGCACAGGTAACAATATCAATTCTGTAATTTTGCCAGTGGCGGCTCTTGACTTCCACACCAGGGAGAGCGGAAAAATTTAGGTGCAGTGTTGAAAAAAAAATCAAATGTAATTAAGTAGTTTTAAGTACCATTAAAATATACCGAAACTGTGCTCAATATTATTTTTTAAAGTGTGCGTGTGTTTAAAGTGTCCATTAAAGTCCATTCTTTCTTCTTTTGTCCGAAATAAACTTTTCAATTTTTCATTAATGTTAGTATTTTTCGCATCATTGATTTTTCAATAGATAACATTGCAAGTGCTGTTAGTCTGTCTTTACAATTTAATTTAAACTTTTACAATCTTAAAAAAAACGCATAAGAAACATAGTAACGACATTATAACAGAAACATTGTAGGTAACAAAATTTTACACCACACGTAAACAAATTACGTTTGATAAAAAAGCAGTGAATAGCTGTTATTTGATTACGGGGGAACTAAAGACAGCCCAAACTGCATAGTAAATATGCGCTACTCCCACTCCATCTTACACTTCTGGACGAAGGTAGCCGTGACCACCGCTGTAAACACTTTGGAAGTTTAGAGGCAAGCTGCGAGGGGCCCACGTATTCAGTGTTTTTAACTTCTCATTTTAACTTTTCCTTTTTAATGCGTTGCACAAGGCTAAGCTAACATTGTAAACTAAATTTTAATTTTTTTTTAATATGAAAATATCATGAGGGGTGGCGCCCCAGATCTCCACTGCATCAGCCGCCATGGGAATGTTTCCTTAAATTTTTTAAGAAACAATATATTTACTGCATTGTAAAATATTGCAATATTAATTTTCTTGGGTGAGTTTAATCGTTTATTTCTTAGGACTATACAACAGTGGCGGCTCGTCAGTGGAGGCTGAGGAGGCTAAGCCTCCTCTGCAGTTTTTGATAGTATTGCAAAAGTTTTCTTTAGTTTTTTATTTTACATCATATAATTATTATTTAAGAAATTTTCTCATAAATCTATTTTCATATGCAACTAATTATGTACTAAGGGAGATCTCGAGTACGTAAATATACAATTATTAAATGTTCACTATTTTTCGCGCCCTCCGAATTCTCATTATAGTCGCTGACAGCTAACTGCCTCAAGCCTCCAAACCTTTTACTAGAGCTCTATAGGATGCGTGGCCTTGAATGATGGTACGATTATGGATTCGAGCTGCAGCAGTCGACACGGAGGCTTGTTGCCACATTCCATCTCTTTTTAATAAGCGAATTCTTCAATATAGCCCTTCTTCTCTACCACCTCGGCGCTCGCAGTTCGCACGCAGTTGTATCATACAGCTTAAATTTATTACAACGCTAATTGTTTTTTAAAATTAAGCATAAACAAGTTCAAAAACGTGATAAACAATGTATTTTATGGTATTCTATGCTCGCAGTTACGTCAATATTCCTTAATCGAACTTTCGTACATCAAATTTGAGATTTTGGTAATTTTCTTCTCGGAAATGGTTGAGTTTAGGACCATGTCATATAAGGTTTTTTTTTGTTTATTTTAATGTATTCTATCGCCTTTTAAAATTAAGGCAGTCAAACTTCTAACACCCCGTATGTATACTTGAATGACGCTAAAACATGATAGAACCAGAACTGGAATTATTTTAAACAAAAAGTTTCTTACGAGTTGTACAAAGCTTAGTTTTTGAAATACAGTGTTGAAATTATAAAAATTATTACTTGCAAATATGTCAGCCAATGAGGTAAATACATGCAATCGATATCACTAGTAGGTTCAGATACTAAAGCCACCAAGTATTCTGGAAATTATTGTTCTTCATTCTCAGCCACATTTTCAGGAAAAAAGATTTTAAACAAACATAAGCAGCTAACAAGTTATCAAAACATTCAGAATATCAATCAATCACACAGTACTACAATAAAAACGTGAGCTTTTGTGACGATAACACTAAGAATCTTTTCTAGAAGGCGGTTTCCGAGATCTCAAACTGACTTGACTAATTGGTGATTGGCAAATAATTGGAATTTATGATCTCGTTGCACCATAACCTCCGTTGGCACATATGCATATTTCTCGAGATTTTCCATGACCGTTCTGTATAAATGCGGCTGAATTTCGTTGGCTTGTTGGCACTATTTTTTTACTTCAGAAAACCTTAAGGAAAAAAAGTCCAACGACATTAAATCACATGATCTGGCCGGCCAATTCTGATCGCAGTAACTGAATTGTTTCTCGGTCTGTATGGCATGTGGTACCAACTTATTGAAACCACATGTCGTCTACATCCATATCTTGCAATTTAGGCACAAAAATTGGATTATCATGTCGCGATAGCGAGTACCATTAACTGTTATTGCCTGACTAGCCGCATTTTCGAAGAAGAATGGTTCAATGATGCCTTCAGCCAAAAATCCCCACTAAACAGTGACACGTTGTGGATGCATTTGTTTCTCAACAATCACTCGTGGAGTTTCTGAACCCTAAATTCGACAATTTTGTCAATTAATGAATTCATCAAGATAAAAATGAACCTCATCGTTGAAGATGATTTTGTTCTAAAAATCAGCATCTGCTTGTTGTTCCATAATCCATTCAAAGAACTCTCTTCGTTCTGCGTGGTCAGCAGGCTTCCGTTCTTGAGTTAATTGAACTTTGTAAGCACGAATATGCAAATGCATGAAGATGCACATAGACAAAATACGTTTTAGAGAGCTTCCCGAAATTCTTGACCACAGTGCCGAATTGATGTGCCTGGACTCTCAGCAACACTCTCACGAACTGCTTCAATGATCTGAACAACTTGCGGAAAGACGGCAAATGTGTTTAAGATCATTAGTCTGCCTGAATTTTTCAATTAATCTCTTCACAATTGACGAAGTTAAATCACTACTCCAGCCATATTTTTTACGAAAATTGCGAACTGTAGCTTCATTATTTTTAAAATACTGCTCAACAATGAATGAATGAATCTTTTTTTTCGTTGGCAACACTTTACTGCAAAAATGGCGCAAAATTCAAATCTTGCGTGAATTTCGGCACAAGTCATAAATTAAAATGTGGATACACATGTCCGTAAGTGACCTTTTTTAAGAGGGTCAGCCAGACGCCGGACCGGCCTAATAGTTTCAAGGACAAAGAACAGACGCGAGACGCACCAGGGTTCCAGGAAAGGTCCACGGCAGATAGGCGCCAGGACCAGATACATATACATGCGAGCTACTTCATACCAGAACTCTTCAACGAACGCTCGGCCCGACAACACTTCTTTTTCAGTAACTTTGTTTTCAATAAAAATACTTTTGCTGCATACCGCAAGCAACCCTCAAAAATTTAAAAATAAGCATAAAACGTACCTATATGGGAAACGTTTATTTAATAAAACAAAATTTTTAAAATAACAATAAATAATTGAACAATAAAATACCTTCTACTGGTACGTGTACAGGTATTCAAGCAAATTTGAAACAAATTTAAGTTAAACTTATGACGTTATGTGTAACATTTAAAATAGACTACGAAGAACATTTATTAAATGATTCTAAATTTACAAAAATTCATGGTAACATGCTCCAACATTTTTATTGTCACTGCCAAGCCACGTTCCCTGAAATTAAAGAAAATTTATAACTAAAATAGGGGTGAAAAGCACTCTACATATGTCTTTTAGTCTACTTCCTGATCGACCGGTGTGATACTGGTACAATACTGACTCATTATGTCAATACAAGCAAGCACATGCAAGGTGTTCCTGTAAGTGCGTTACTTTAAAGAGGTAAAATTGAGGGCATTGCAGTTGCAATTTGTGGTCTATTTTGTCATGTATTCCAGAAAATTAATCAAGAATTATTACGCGAAACTTAAGCCGAGCTTGATTAATTGGTTATTTACACGGCGCGGGTGTGGACTCTTGCTTGCTCCGCAGATCGATTTTACATTGTTTTATTCTAAAACTCCATGTAGAGTGAACCCTGCGTATGAAGGTCTGCACAACAAAGACTGCAACCTGTCCTTAAATAGGGCGGAAGATATTTTAAATCTAGTCGAGGAAAACCTGAGCCGCAGTACCCGCGATATTGCAGGTAGAATGTTGCTGCAGCAGTTCATGTCCTCTTATCAAGTACAACGTGTCAAGGCTTTTAAAAACTGTGGAAAATAAATAGATAATAATAAAATTACCTTTAAACTCAATTGTCGGTAATGGTGATGCTGCAGTCGTATTTTTCTTAAGATTGGCAGAGTTCACTTGTATCTGGAAAAAATACTATTCTAAACCCGTCTCCAGATGATGCGACCACTCGCCAATATCTACCAGTTGTCCACACGCCAAGCGCTTGTGTGCACTTGATATTTTTTTACAAATGTACAGAAATTACAAATCCCAGTCTGTGAACATGAACCCTAGTGATGTGGCTAATGCAGAAGGTGCCGCATACATTTTGTTGGTGTGTCTTTTGTACAGCTTTAGCGAATATTTGGCAAGTGAAGGCATGCTTTCGAATGTCGACATACACCATTCGCACGATACGGCATTTGTGTATGTTCGACAAATATATGCACTCCGTTAAATCTGCACTCTTGCTGGTATTCTCGACCATTCTGTCATTCACACTATACTGTATTTACATTTGACAAATATTTGGCAAGTGACCGCATTATCTTAAGAAATAAAAAACTGTGTACACACAGTTACACGAAAACATCCTGTACCGTGTGTTGCGTAAACTTAGTGAGAAATAGTTACAGTTCATGATATTTATGGAAACTCTTTCACGTTACAAGAAATTGATCAAAGTGTTTAAGATCACTAACTGATCCAGTCTCTCTAAATTTTTCATTTAATCTCTTCACAGTTGGTGAAGTTAAATCAATATTCCGACCATATTTTGCGTAAAAATTGGGAACTGTAATTGCCAAATTTTCATTATTTTTTAAATATTGCTCAACAATAAAAACACGTTGTTCTTTCGTGTAGCGCTCCATTTTTAAGAACCCTGAACTGTTAGCTGTCACGCGGTCTTTCTTTTTTCGTTGGCAACACTTTACCGCAAAAATGATGGAAAATTCAAAACTTGCGCGAATTTTGGGACACCCGATATTAGTCGATATTAAATATTGACTGATTTTCTAAATTTTAGTAAATCATGCAGAAAGTTTAAAATTTTTACAAATAATGTTTTATACATTGTAAAGTCATACAAAGCAATTTATTTTTATTAAATTATTTTCCATGGTAGTTTTACTCTATGAGGGTTGATGGCAACTGGCGCCACTGATACAACTTACCACGCTAATTTCGGGTGACGAGGTTTAAAAACCGATTTACAACAAGAGTATTTACTTGATAAAAAAAATAATTTTAGTTTAACTGTTACCTTTAAATAAACTAACTCCCGCTTAAAGTTGCGCCCTGTATAAAATAAAAATGATAGTTTGGCTAATTGCCCAATATATTAAAAAATTTGACATATATTTATTTAAAATTGGTCGATGAAAACTGCAAGAACAAATTTAATGCAACCCTGACACTCACCTTTCAAATTCTGTTGAAACTCGTCCTCGCCAACTCGTCTACCATTCTCATCCAAGAACTCAATCTCCACATCAGACATCATTCCCGACGGTATGACATTATTCAGCTGTATGTCCCCAATGTCCTCCGAACTACCTACATGCAATTTATTTATTTTAAGTTACTAGAGAGGTTCGTCAAAGAAAACGGGAATGAAAACATTAAAGTTTCGATTGCTCTTGAATCATTTCCAAACTTATGGACTTCTTCACGACAAAGGATATTTTGAATCTGGAGATTAAGTCTTCTGACTGGTATTTATACTATACTGATCCGAGGCATAATTCGAAGTCGCTGGCGTGTGACTTTTGGTTCTTGATGATTTTTACATATGATCTTTTCAGTTTCCAAGAAGTTCCTCGATTGGAACTATCCCAACTTTTCTCTTGCTCCTCTGTAAAGTCTCAGCAAACTCTTGCCTTTTACAGGAGTTTTGGTATTGCTTAGCTTTGTTGAATGTTACTAATTTAAGCCTCGTACTCGCTTCTTTGTCCAGTGTATACTTTGCTGTATATAATGGTTGCTTTGTACATTAGAGTCTTGCTATACATCACTTTAAAGAGAAGCAAAACAAATTCCGAAGAATCAAAACAAATCTAATCGAGATGAAGAGTTAGAACTACCAGGAATTTGTAAACATATACACAAACATCACGTCACAAAGGCGTTAAAATAAAAATACCGACCAGAGGACTTAATCTCCAATTTCTGAGTTTCCTCTGCAAAATAGAGAGATATGTTTCTCGAAGCATCAAGAAGTCCAAAACCACAACGTGTGAACCAGCTCGGAAGCATTCAAATGTCATTTAATTAGTATATAAGACATTACCTAAACCAGTCTATAGTGTGAAATAAATCATTTACCTGTAATAGTTTCGGTGCCCGTTAAGGTGGAACTATAGACGAAATTGTCGTTGTGAGTACTGGTCATACCCGATTGGTTAACAAGTTCTCCATTTGGACCAGGACTTACTACAGCCATTGACATGTGACCGCCGCTTTCGCTCTGTTGGATCACTGTCGCCACCACCGGTATTTTAATTTGGACCGTGCTACCCGTGTGCTTCCCTTTGGGTTTCTCTGCAAATTTTCAGTAAAATCACATTTCTTGATTTATTGACCAATTTTTAGAACCAACTACAAGAAAAAGTTCTTAACGCAGACCGAAGGTAATGTTTTAGGATAGACAAATGGACATGAACCTCTTTTATGTAAAATGGCCAAGTTGTGTTATCTATTCAAGAAGATCCAGATATTTCCGATGCTGATAACATTGACGAAGAAAATGAAAATGACATGCTGGAAAGTATTTTAGCCGAGTGAAGTCAATGTCAAGAGCAAAAAGTAGACAGTATTGGAAGAAATAAATTATTATCTACAGTATTTGTACCAGAAGATGAAATTGGTAGTGCTTTTAATAATATTGAATTTGATCACGGAACGGAGGACATGTCTTCTGAGGATATATACATTTGATAGAATTGTTCAAGGCCATTCGGTAACTTATGGGAATAGTAACTGGAAAAACTAGATTTAGATGAGGCTGAAGACCAAGGTGGTCAGTATTTTGGAGAGTATGGACAACAAACAGCAGCAACATACTTTTCCGAATATTAACTTATTGCAGAACAATGTTACCTTTATTTTATTCATGTAAATAACGCAATTTTAGGTGCCTTTACGTTGATGGGGATCGCTAAGAAGATATTTCGGAAGTTATCAACTTCTGAGAAGATTTGTCCATATGGATAATGATGCAAGAAGGGGTTCTAGTGATCCATTGCCCAAAGTTCGCCCAGTGCTGGATTCGGTCAGAAATGGATATTGGGCGGTGGATCTTGAGCAACATCAGTAAATAAATGACATGATGGTGCCTTACACTGTTAACAAGTACATCCAAAACAAGTCTCGATGGATATAAATGATACAGAACGAAATTTTTTTGGACTTGAATGCTAACTAATGAAGGAAAAATATATGGCATTGAATCCTTTGTCACAATTCATTTAATAGAACGAAGAAATGTTCTTAATGAAGATAATCAACTTCAAAAACAAGGTAGAGGTCTTCTTTGATGATGACAATGTAGTGATTTTGAAATGGATTGGAAATAAATGTATAGTAGCTTCTTTCTTCGATGTCAGGTAAACCTAAAGGCACATTTTGGAAATTATGATCATCATTCAAACAAATTATGACCATTCGACGTGTTTTTTCACTGGCAATTAAAGTATTTCGAAGTATTTCGAAGACACGAATTGTGAAAAAGTTTACAGATGTTCTGTCGTCATGGACTGCTACATAGAATTGCACTCTGGACACATTCAATCCAAATGGTTGCAACAAATTGAAACTTTATGGAAACAGAAAAGAATTACGACATTACCTATATTCTCCTTATCGGCAGCGCCAGATTTGGGGGTTATCGAAATGTGACTGTGCTTCTTTAAATCTTCGGCAGACGCAGGGACCAACATCTGCTTATCCCCTGCCGGTAAGACTCTCACCAGAACCGGTATGCCTGTCAAAGGCCTCAGCAAGGCGAAAGGCGTTTGATTGGACTCGATCGCGAGTCTCATGGCTTCGGTTTTTATGGGGTCCACTATGATGGCGTTCATGTAGCTGTCGAAACAATGTATTGAGTTAAACAGGTAAATAAAAATGTGAATTTGGAAGAGAAATTCCGGGCATACTTGAGTTTTTCGGGAATCTGGGGCACATTAACGGACTCGTTCAGCATTCCGTGGGTGTACTGCTCGTGGTGCCTGAGGCCCATGCGTTTGGGAAAGCACTTACCGCAGATTTGGCAAATGTATTTCGGTGCTTCTGCACGTCGGTGAGCCTAAAATGAGAGATTCTTGAGGTTCTCATAATACACGAGATTTCTCCGGACATTAAAGGGTGAAAAGTAGATACCTACTCGTCGTAAGCAATAGTCAAATTTATTAGGTATATTACGTCCCCTATGTCATATTATTTTGTATAGGTACGTGTAGTAATCATCGAAGAAACTACAAAACTTTGGCGAAATGTATTTAAGACTAATGATATTCCTCCAAACAATGACAGAATCAGAAAAAACTTACCTTCAATTTATGACACATCAAATTTGACATTTGATTGAATCCTTTTTCACAAATGTCGCACTTATACGGTCTCTCATTGGTATGGGTGAAAATATGATTCCGAAGGTTGCCTAAAATGTTATTGTATCTTTAAAATGTATTATAGTCCAGACGGTATCTGTTTCAAAAAGTCCATATTTGGGTGAATTGTATATCCATGGAGATTTTTGGCTTTTTGGCTTTAAAATATCACTAGAAATGAAAATTTTTCTGTGCGCATAAAAAAAACGTGGGCTTAACTTTTGGCGGCACAATATGTTAAAAAAATTCGAAAAATTTCATATTTTTTTCCTATTTAATTATGTATCTTTTCAAGAGTTGATTTTAGGCGAAAATGAAGAGGAAAAAAATGTTTGTAATTAAATTTTACAAAATATGATTTGTTTCAAATCGAATGAATCATGGTTATTATTGTAAAAATACAAAAAAATTGCCAAAAATGGGGTTAAAAAACATTACTTCTTAGGGATTTTTTTTGGGGTCTTTGAGTTGGGTATAGGACCTTCATACTTGGCTCAAGAAAACTTCATGTTATGTAGAATCATCACAACAAATTTCATCATAATCGGTTCAATAGATTTTGCATAATAATTTTTCAATCAATTCAATTTGAAAAAAATTTTCAAATTTTCAAAATTTTGCACAGCAAAAACCAAAGCTCTTAGATACTTGAAAATTTAATCACATATAGAAGGGCTCTCAAGTTTTTAAACGCTTTTTGAAAAATTCGAATCCGTCAATTAGGGGAGCTCGGCGCATGTTTAAACATTGGTCGAATTTTTGTACTTATAAACAATTCCTCTCCTGAAAGCCAAAAAGCCAAAAATCTCCGTGGATATACGATTCACCCAAATATGGACTTTTTGAAACAGAACCGTCTGGACTAAAGTCAAAGTCAGGGCTGAAGTTTGCCCACAAGTTTTGACGTTTGTAAGCCTTCAGGATTCAAGGAGTATTGCGATTGACGCCCCCAGATCTAACAAATTATGGATTTATCATGATTGTTTTTTAAATTTATTACCCTCCTATTGTAACAGTTTAAGCAACGAATTGCCTCATTTTGAGGTTTACATTTGACGCCGTCGATCACGCTGTCCCTTAATCACGGACGGTCTAATTTCCTCAAAAGTTGTGGGCAATTAACAGACCGAATAATTTTCTTGATGTTTTCCAAATTAAATCAGTATCCATGTTCTAATCAAATAGAAACTTTGGATGTTATTGATATGAACAGTCAAGCAACGCCGATCGCGGTTAGTGCTGAGACAGATTAGCAACCAGGGAAGGCTCGCGATGCTCGTCCACTTTCTACTGGCCTCTATGTCGGTGAATTCACAGAAGCTATCCAAATTTAGGCGAAGTTTGTATAGAAAGACATACCTACAGAACGGATATAAAACCGTTGATCCCTTGTCTAAGCAATGTTAGACAAAGATCGCTACTCTACGACAAATTGGGGATTCTGCAAAATTTCCAAGTTGGAGGTTACTCGTCTCCTGGTCTAGGAGAAGAAGTAGACCGACATAAACCAACCAAAAACGAAAAAGAAAATATCGAGAAACGGCCATTCTCTTATTGGATGTACAAGCTTATTTGAGTATGGCCTGTCAGACCTGTTTAACGAAATATAGCGACAGTTGCTTGGCCAATTTCCTTATGGTGTCAAGAACTATGGATTAAGTACCACAGGAAAAAACATAAAGTTACATTAAAAATAGCAAAGTTGAAACTCTTATGAAACATCGAGAAGAAACAAAAATAGGCAAAATTGAAGATACGATATTCAGGAAATAATTAGGGTTGAAACCGTTGGGGGATAACAGACAATATAGGACAGGAAGATGCTCAGTCAGACCACAAGGGAAAAACAAAGAGAAATATCAAGGATATTCTAGCTATTAAAGAAGACAAAATCTAAAGTTAAGCCAAACAGCAAGAAAATTTGCAAGGCAAAGGAATGTGGGATGATAAGCGTCCTGTCGAACACCCACAAAGTGAAAGTAACGCTCCAAAGAGCAATACGTCATAGAGGGTAGTGTGGAAATCTGCTATCTAAGAAAATTTTCTACCGTATGCTTAAATTCTGAGATGTAACAGTAATGTGTACCGCAATTCCCAAGAGTGTATGCACTGCGATTGTTTCACTTGAACTTGTCCAGCAACGGGGTATGAAAATTACGAAAATAGTAACTCATAGTAACTCATCTCAGTAACTCATGACAAATTTGTGATATGTCTTTCTAAAGGTCAAAGGTCGCCCCCGTATCGATATAATCCGTATCTAAAGCTACAGCTTTGGAAAATTAAATCAGTAGTGATGCAAAAAATTACCTTTTTGATGAAAAGCTTTGGTGCACAGATGACACCTGTGAGGCTTCACGCCCGTATGGGTCTTTCTATGAGAGATCAAGGTCGATACTCTGTTGAATGTTTTTTGGCAAATCTCGCATATGTAAGGCCTCTCTGTGGAATGTATAGCGCGATGTTGAGACAACGTGGACATTTGGCGGAAAGCTGTAAGAAAATTATATGAAAGTGTAATTACACAGTTGCGTTAAAGAGCATTTTGATATACCTTTTCCGCAAGTGTTACACTGAAACTTTCTTTCATCAGTATGCGTGGGTAAATGACGCATCAAGGTGTACTGGTGAGTGAATTCCTTAGAACCTGAAATTCAAATTATATGTATATTTTTAACTCTTCTGACAAAAGCAGTCAGAAGTGAGGAAGGGAAGGTTTATTTGGAAAATAACAATCGGCCACTAATAAATACTAAATTAAAAAAAAATAATGTTCCAAACCCATTTAAAAGCTCAAGATTTTTGAAAATTTATCATATTGTATTTTTTTGTCACTGAACAAAACATTCGTCTCGTCAGTAAAGATCACCTGAGCATGTTCGGTGTTACGTTACGGGGCATTTGATACAAATGGATACCCGCCTTTACCGACACATCGTGATAATGATAAGAGATGGATGTGTCACATGAACCAGGGTGGAAATCCAAACTAGACAATGTTCTAAAGCTGAGCCCAACTCCCTTCACTACAAAGACCGCCAGGTGGTCTATTCTTGAATTTCAGGGAGTAGAACTTGTGAGGGAAGTGGGCGTGGTTCTCTTAAAAATGCACAACAGGGTATTCTTGAAAAAATATTTAGGGAGGGAGCTACTCCCAAGAGAACTTAAAATTCTCCTAGTAGAGACTAAGGGAAATAGCAAATCTAACCTAAAATTGTCTGTTTTTGTTTATTTTTGAAGTACCTAAAATGTCAAATGAGTTGAACATTTTATTACATAAATCTAAAATAAACATGGAAAACTTAAATGTAATGCTGTGGAATGACATTATTAACGAGGATGTTGAGGAAGCGGTGGCAGAATTGGCTATTAGAAGAGATATTTTGCCCCAGACAAATGCATTTCAAGTATATGTATCTGATAGAAAATTTTTGCAGTTATTTAGAGTAGATAAGCACCTCCACCTTGTCATGACATAATTAATATGGTCAACCCTTTCTTAGAACCTCTGCTCTATCCATACAAACCAAGGTAAGTAAGAAATTTGTAGTTAGTTGAAGCACAGCCTAACATAACAAAAATCTGTGGTTGAAGCATGCAATAGGTTTTTACTTATGTTAAAATAATTAAAATTTACAATCTTTCTAGGTACTTGCTGCTCTCAGGTTTTATGCTTCAGGCAGTTATCAGGAAATTACTAGCTCGAACAGTTTTGTCGCCATTAGCCAAGCTTCAGCTAGTCGAGCTGAATGAGGTCAAGAATGCATTAAACCAACCTGAAATTCTAAATAATGTAATAAGGTTCCCTCGAAATATTCTTTTCGATTTCGATCTCCACAAATTTAAATTAAATTGTCAAAATAAAAGTTTATCAACGTTCTGTGTTCTGTCAGTTTTCTGCAATATCATTGGTCGAACATACCGGCAACGCTGTTCCCCGATTTTGCTCCCTCCCTGATACACCTCGGTACGTTCGAGGTTTCAAGAATTCGGTGTTTTTCTGTCGGGGAGCTCAAATGAGGGAACGCTCCTCGGGAGCTCCCAGGGATAGCTCCCTTCTCTTACTTTCAAGAATAGACGTCCAGAACGAAAAGTTTGGTTTATAACGAGCGTTCAAATAAAAACGTGGTCAAGTTGGTTCTGAAAATTTGGACGTAGGGCGTAGCGTATAGCAAATGAACTTAAACGTCATCTGTCAAAGCGTTATATCGCCGCTATCAATTTGAATATTTTCGTTTTAAAAAGCGTTTAAAATGGTGTTTTCTCAAGAACAAAAAGTGTTTATCATAGAGTCCTACTTTAGAAATGGACGCAAGATTGATGGAATATGGAAGTATTCTATTGAGGAATGTTTCATAGAATTTCAAAATCAATTTCCCGGCGTTCTTGAGTACAAAATTTTTCAAAGTGCAGTTCAGCGTTGTGTTAATGTTTTTCGTGAAACGGGCAGTGTAACAAGAAAAGAAGGAAGCGGCCGACCTAAAAAGCGGACTGAAAAATTAAAAGAAAATGTCCAACAAATAATGGAAAATGCGCCAAGAACTTCTGTACGTGTTTTATCACAAATGGTGGGAGTATCAGTCGGTACCTGCCACACAGTGTTAAAAAAAGATTTGCGTTTGTTCTCCTATCGTTTAACTTGTCAGCAAGAACTTCATGAAGTTGATTTTCCGCGACGGGCTGTATTTTGTGAATGGTTTTTAAACAACTACGGTGAACTTCATAATATCACCTTTTTTCTGATGAAGCCTGGTTTCATTTAAGTGGTTACGTAAACTCACAGAATATGAGAATGTGGTCTTCTGAAAAACCAGATAACTTTTTTGTCGAGGGCCCTCTACACGCTCAAAAAATTGGAGTTTGGTGTACTCTCAATCGAAGGAGGATTTATGGACCTATTTTTTTTAATGGTACTCTTACTGCGCAAAGGTATAGAGAAGAAATTATCGCTCCTTTTGTTAACCAGCTAGAAGAAAACGAAATTACAAACTTTTACTTTCAACAAGATGGCGCGAGGGCACATACGGCAGGCGAGACGATGAATATGTTGAGGGAAGTTTCCAAAATCGACTAATAAGTCTCAATGCTGAACATGAATTTCCACCGAGATCATGTGATATTACGCCGTGTGATTTCTTTTTGTGGCCTTACCTTAAAAACACTATTTTTGAACTGCCTATTCCTGATTTAAACCATCTGCAGGCTCGACTTATAGACAAGATTCGTGAAATTAACAATACCCCTAGCATCTTAGAAAATGTCTTTAATTCTTTGAGGAACAGGTGTGAAAAGTGCTTGGAACAAGGAGGGGGACACTTTCAGCAGCTGCTTTAATTTATTGTTATAACAAGGAGGGAGACACTTTCCGCAGCTCCTTTAATTGTTTGTTATTGTTATCACGATTATTCTTTAAGATAAAGTTATATAGTCATTAACGTTATTGTTGAGAAATGAGGTTAAGTTGGTCGCTATAAGCTACTCCCTACGTCCAATGTGTCAGAGCCAACTTCGACCACGTTTTTATTTGAACGCTCGTTATTTGATCCACTATTGTATATCACTGTATAATCGGTTGTTAAAGTATTGTAATGCAAACAATGTTTGGTTATAAAACATAAACGATCAAACACTGAATCATTCTGAAAGTATGATGATACAAACACGAATAGAGTGTATCATCTAGTATAGCAGAGACTATTTGGTATAACATAAAAAACTCACATATTCCACATTCCCAAATCTTAACGTGCTTCCCATCTTGAAGTTTATATCTAACATAGTGAGAGGTATTACTCTCATGCTGCGCTTCTGATGTAGTAGGAAATTTAGTTAAATCAATGGGCAATTTGTTCCTAAATTCGTCTGATGCATGCAGCCGATCTACAACTTCGACCTCTTGAACCATTTGGAAATCATTGTTGCTTGAAATGTTGTTTGCAAGGTTATCTAACTGTGCAAACAGCAATATGTCTTCCTCATCCTTAATATCCTCGGTTTTGATAGCGCTACAAAAAGTAGTAATAATAATAACAAAGAGGAAAGTGTAGAGGGAAAATTGTTATTTTCTAGATTAACTGAAAGTCCAAACATTTGTACATTAATTACACTCACGTTTTAGGACGTGGCTTATTACAAAAATCTGGTTATGATGATAATATTTAGGAACATAGTTGAAGCCACATCAGTGTGAGATGCTTTGAGGAATGAGAGACAGTAGGTCATCATCATCCAGGAGGCCGTGGCGGTTCCTTTGGATAAGACAACGAGATAATTCCTAAGAAATTGTTTTCTATAAAAAATCTAAATGTATTACAAAGGAACATATTAATATTTCAAATGTCCATTTTCATACCATAGGAGAAAAGTTAGTTTATATATTTCGTTTTTGAAAAGGGTACCACAAATTATAGCTCATGGGTCTATCGTATTTTGTTTTTGAGATATGACAGAGACAAAGAAATGTTAACAATATCTTTTTCAAAAAACACGCGTTAATGTTGTTAGATTTTGATCATCTGCTCGCTATGACCTTATTCAGTGACATAATTTTTTTCAGATCAAGAGTAAAGCATTTCAATTATTTGAAATATTGCAAATGTTAGAAGAACTGAGGTTAGAAATTTCAAGTTCATAAATATGAAGTTTCAATTGCTGTAGGTCCGATAAAAAAAATTACTAATATGTCCATTGAATGGATGAGACGTCTTGCAATTATTCCAAAAACTGATTAAGTAAATAAATGTATTTTTGCGTTCCATTATAAAATAATAAGTATATTGTAAAATTATTCATAATCCTCAAAATTTACTTGGTAGTAGGTTCTAGAATTTTGGATGTTTTCAAAAACTGAACATCCTTCCATATCAAAACTTCCTACAATCGTAGAATATATACTGTATATGGATTAAAAAAATATATTAGGTTTGCAACTCAAAAATTGGGTATTACAAAAAACCGTAGGGATATATGTTTTTTTTAACACGAATATTAAAAGTTTCCTTAAATAAAAAAGTGATCCGACAAACCCTTTAAAAATTAGAAAACGCCCTGTATCTATTTCGTATAAACAAATCATAACGCCGAATTTTCGAAAATCGAGTTCGAGACATCTTTTCTGGACATATTTCCATAAAAAACTATTAACCCTAAAAACGTGTTGAAATTGATCCACAAAGGGTTCTAGGACTTCTAGGGTTGTATTTGATAAAAACAAGATTGATAAATATCCACAATTCGTTTGAATCAAGTAGTAGATACCACATTAGAATTATACATAACTTGTCACTGACAAGTGACAACCAGTAGATTATTTTTATGTTTTTGATTCCGTTACCTACCGCAAATAAAATAAAAACAACGAATAGGTAAGTTTTTAGAAATATAAAATTCAAATTACATTTTTTAGGTAGATATATTCGGTATGTGTTCAATTTTATAGAAGTTGCATCTACATATAACAAAGTTAAAATGTGAATTGCACATAAATATAAATCGAAGAAATATAACTAACCTTTCAGATGTGATTTCTTCATTGAATGGTTGGAAGGTAAGGTCACCAGACACTAAAAATTCTTGATCCTCCATTGCAAACCAACGGCAAACTTCGAATCCAATATATTTCAGATTTCGTTACTAACATAAACGAATTATTTAAATGCATCATTAGAATTAACCCCTCTAGTCAAATCAGTATTATGTTAGAAAATCAGTTTAGTAGGAATAAGAAACAAAAAATATGTAACTGACATTTACATCAATATAATTGTAAAAAACAAATTTTGTTAACATTAGATTTTGTTTAAAATGAAAATTAAAAATTGAATAATAACTTTTAGCATCAATATGACTAGTTTTTTCAATCACCAAAACTGACCACCTACATACTTGATATTTTCTTGCAAACATAATTATATTTCAAATATCTACTAGTTAGAACTTTCTTTTGAACTAGCTACATCTAATAAAATAATTATAAATACCTAATACATAATTTCAAAGTCAAGTTGTGGTAATAAACCGCCATATATTCTTATCTTGCAGAGGCGAACTACTGACATCTACACAGCAATAACGAACTTACGGGAGATTAGTAGCAGAAGGACGGCAGCATTAGCAGCTATCTTCAATTTCGTACACTGTCTAGTGTCTACCTGCATTTACTTTAGAGAAGTTCAAAATGAACATAACCTAAAATTTTTGTTTACAAAATTGAATGGAGAAATTAAAAGTAAATAGGTAATAAGTACTGGAAATATTGCTTATTTTTAAGAAACTAATTAGTTATGTAAATTTGTAAGCATTTATTTTTCACCCTAATACACAATCTAGTTTCTGTATAAGGTGCATAAACTGATTAAAAATATGATTGGCTTGAATACTGAATTGGATACTAAATTGAGGAAAGATTAGACTTCTATATTAGGCAGTAAATGTCAAGTAAGTACTGGCGATATAAATTTTAATGTGGAGATTACCTAATTTATATAATATACTGGCAGTATCGGCACATGTACAGAAGACTGCTAATTCAGTTTTAATGATATTAAGAAAACCTATATTTCATTATAAAAACGTCTGTGATAAATAAAAATAATTTCATGAAGAGTATTGTAAATAACTATACGTTTTGATCAGATATAAATAATTTTGTAGTATTACTACAATGTATTTAAAATTATTTACTCCAGTTAAAAAAATTTCATAATTTACAATTTTAGGGCTATTCTTAAAGAGGCTTCGCTTAATAATTTGCAAAAACAGAAATACATTTTATTGTCTCAGAAAGTGATTGTGAGAGCTAGAAATATGTGCAAAACGATGAAGGATAGTGAAAAAATCATAAAACAGGACAGTGAATGTCGAATCCTTTGCCTGACATATTTAAACGGAAATAAGGTTAGTATGTATTATTACTTGGTGATTCACGATTTATCTAAATCTCTCAGTGGCTGTTTTTGCTTTGTGTTTATTAAATAAAATAATTCAGTTTTTGTCTTGTTACAATATGGTCATCAAGGGATGAATTGGATTAAATTACAGTAATCGTGTTGTAAATTCTTAATATGTATTACACAAATTTTTGCTACCTCTCAAACCGTAGACTGTTTTCTTATATGTATAAAGAAAATGGAGCTAGTCCTTATCTCACTATAGTTAGATTGACGGAAACTAATTCAAATATCATATCACTTTATTAAATATGTACTTTTGGTAATTTTAAAGAATAATTACAAATATTTTTGTATTCTTTTTTTACTTACACATTTTATTTATTTTTGTAATTTTGATAAGCATTTTCATAATTTTTGTAATTTATCAAAGAATAATTTACACATAAGATTAATAGGAGGAAGTTTTAAGGTAAGAAGACAAGATGTAGGTAGGTATCTAGCAATTGCACCTAAACGTAAAGAAGATATTTTAGAGTATTTTGAAGCAAACCTCTGCATGACATCATAACGTATCTGTAATATTGATTTGGAAAAATGCAGTCTCCATCCATGCTGCTTTCAGGAAACCCTCATCTGTTGCCTGATGATTGCGATTGGAGAGTAAATTTATTGTCAAGTGATTAATCTAGGAAAACAAAGTATTTTTAAATGAGGTTTCGTGGACAGACTAAGCTTTGCTTACAAGAATGAGTCTCTATAATTCTCGTAATGTGCCTACAAGGGCCAAGAAAATCCACACCTGCGATGAAAACTCACTTTTAACACAGTTTCAGTATTAATGTATGGGGTTGGGTTTATTGGAAATAATCTAACCGGGCCCATTATTTTATCCAGAAGACCCAGTAGTGAGTCATATCCAAATTTTTTTTGAGAACCAACTACTTGAATGACTGAAAAATGTACAATTAAATTTGTGTAAGAACATGTTATTTATGCACTAACGAAATTAGAAACTACCCCGATATTCTAGTTTGTACAACTTAAAAATTAAAGAGACAATTACAAACTTGCAGAACGCAAAACAGTCATCATTTTGAATTGTTTTTGTAATTTGTTAGGTACTGTACATATTGTGGTATGTAGCTACATTGTTATTAATAATTAATAAAGGTGCTTTTACTTTGTAATGTTAATTCTGGTTAAAAAATTACAACAAAGTAAAATTGTGCAAATATCGGATGAAAAACCGGGAAGGTACAAATATGATGAGGCTTACAAGATTATCACAACACCAGCTAACCTTGTATGATACGAAACAGTTAAATAAACCGGTAATAATGGCTGATAATTAAAATGACAGAAACCTGTTAACGATAATTTTTGTTTGGAGAATCATAAGATCGAAAACTTACAAATTTATTTTTTTTGTGGGAATATTAAAAGATATTTTGAAGTCCGCAGAGAGAAAAAAAGTCGTATTTTGTACAGGGCCGTCCAAAATAATTTTTATTTCAAAAATTTTTAGGTATTTAAAAATTCCAGTAATAAATGTATAAGAGTTGTATTATTGTGACGAGTCGAATAAGTCAAGAAAGTGGTATTCTAACAGTACTGTATCCATGTAAAATTAGAACTTTTAATTCGAGCCCATTTTGAAAAGAGCCATGGGAACTTGATTTCAACATTCACTTTTAAGAGACTATAAATTCTTAGGGAAGGTTAGAATAAAAACTTTTCATATAAAACACACCTTTCAAAATCATCTGATGAATCCATTTCATTTTCCTCAACTATTATAAAGACAGCCTGTACATATACATCAATTTGTACTTTACTAAATAATTTCTATACTTTTCAGACAACTTTAAATTATAATAGATATTTCAAACGTACACAAAAAAGAAATATGATAGAGTTTAGGACTAATAAATAATTATTCATTTTAAAATCTGTCTGTTAATTAACAAATAAAAAACGCGCGATTTTCCAATCTCATATAGCTTTCACAAATTTTTTTTTAGGAGCATCAACAAAAAGATTATTTTAATTTGTATACCATAAACCTTGAATTCCTAAATTGTCTTAACTCTTTGAATGTATGACTGGTTCCATATAATCTACATTTTTCTCAATTTCACATACAGGGTATAACTTTAAGTGGGGGTCAATTTTTCAGGGGTAATAATACGTGTTCTCCTGAATACGAATCTAAAGTTCTTTTTTTTTTATCAAATAAATAGTCTACTTATAATTAGTTTTTTAAAATGCAGTTTAATACTAGTGTACGCCGCCACTGTAATATTCACGTTTTACGAATACATGAATTGTAGGCAACCTACAATGCATGCGAAGGGAGATAGTACGTGCGAGTCAACGGTGACGAAGCGCAGGGCGTTAGTGTAGTAGTTGTTCCGCATTTGGAGACAGTACATACATCCATAAGAATAAATAAATATTTAGTTACTCATGTATGAGTACATCTAATTGTGAATTTGAATGTTTTTCATCTCTGGAAGTCATCAACAGACTATCTATTTTTGTGTATTTAATTTATTATTATTGATTACTGCTACAGTTTTTTGCTAGATTAATTGTTAAGTACCGTTTGTGTGGCGAACACCCACTCAACAAAGCACACCGTTATTTGAGGTTACACTAGCTTCTCAGCGGCCGGATACGAAAATTACTAAAAAATGGTTTAAAAAAAATTAAGTTTTTACGACGGAATTTGAAAAAATAAACTATTGATACGTGTTTCTAAAGGTCAAAGCAAGCCTCTCTATAAATATGACCCCCGCTCAAAGTTACACCCTGTATATTTTGTAAGAAATATTTTGATTTTATTTCAATTTCATTATTTTAAAATTTGTATTTTTAAATAATCCTTTATATTTATGGAAAGCTTGTCTCTTTAAAGCTTTGATCCGACAAATGTAGACTGTTCGAATGAAAAAGGTATAAGAAAATAAGTAAGTGGCCAATTTGTCAATAATCAGGGTAAACCAGGGAAATTAATAGATCAATAACATGGCAAATGCAGACATGTCCTTCTGGAAAACGTCTATTAGAAGTATTAAAAAGTAGTGATATCGAAAAAAATAATTTTCGGTGGATATTTGTTTTTTATTTTTTTTATGCGTAAATACCGCATGTGACACTATTTGAAAGAAAAGTTTAAGTAAGTTTTAAAAAAATTAACAATTACATACGTTATCGTAAACGTTACTGGATTCTATCTAAAAAGTTTAAGAAATCTTTTACAAAAGTAAACAATCCCAAATAATAAAACCGTTGAACCGAAAACGCATAAAAAAAATTGAAAAAAACACCCTACATCTCTAAAACTGATCATTTAATTTTTGTCAAATTTCGAGTCTGGGACATCTTAACTGTCTCTTGCCCATCTTTTTCTTATCGAAATTGGTTAACGCTGCTCTCCTAACAAAATATGACATTCTTAAACTCAGGCAGTGTCATAGGCCTAACATAATTATAAAGTAGACACACCTGTGACTACTGTAACAGTAGCAAAGTAGTGATGTGATTAATTATGCGTTCATTATAAATAATTATTTTATATGTGGTTAGGTGGTACATAAATATTTTGGTTTCAAGATAATAACCGTTTCATTTGCATGAGATGTATCAAATACAGGATGATTCTCGATTGTACTGTGTTAATGTAAGGTATCAGTTTTTGATTGGATCGAATCAGTCTTGCAAAAGAAAAATTTTAATATTTGTTTATCTACGTATCGGGTGTACCAAAATTAACGCAAGATCTGAATTTTGCGCCATTTGCGCGGTAGAGGTTGCCAAAGAAAAAAAAGTCATCGTGAGATTAATTGTGAAGAGATTAATTGAAAAATTCTGGGAAACTGGATCAGTTAGAGATCTTAAACACTCTGGACGATCCTTCAACAAGTCGTTCAACACAAAACATCAAAGTAGTTCGTGAGAGTGTTGCTGAGAGTCCAGGAAGATCAATTTGGCACGGTAGTCGAGAAATTAACATTTCGAGTTCCCCCCCTGTTGCCACATTCAGTTGATTGACATAACTTTCATTTATATGAAATATAGAATTTGTATCACGATTTTTAGTCTTAGTAAATTTATTTTATTACCTCGGTAGGTACGACAACTTTGATAGTGTACCTGAGACACCTGTTCTCAGTATCGCTTGACATTATGTTTATGTTCACAACTACTGTAATCAACTATCAAAAAAACTAAGCTTAGTAAATTCAAACAATTTTTTTGCCTCTGTCTCTTGGACTATTAGGAGAATCTATTTCAGTTCATTTTCATGGTATTGCCATTATGCGTATTCACTTATTTTGTAAGACTGAAATACTGTAAACGAATTGTAGATTCATATGGTGTGTTTTTTGTCACCTTTCTCAAATGTAGGGAATGAAATAAAATAAAAGGGTCATTTGCATATTAGGAAAAAATACGGACATGGTCGGATTTTCCCTTAGTGCCGCCCTGGGCACCGTAAAAAATGCCGCCCCATTACCCATACTCTACACAAAATGGATGAGGGTTTAGAATACTTTTTGACTTCCCTTTTTGACTTTCTCAAAATAAATGTTGGATTAATATTTTTGAGGTTTTTGATCCCCCTGTATAAAAAATAAATTATTAATATGCAAACTTGTGTATCTGTTTTTCAATAAAGCAATATTTTTTAAATAGAATGGCTTCTCCGAAAGTATTAAAAAATAAGTAGAGACCTAGAATATCCCAGAATGTCGAGTATTAACTAAAATTTAATTCCAAGCAACTTTTCCATATTACTTTTTCACGTAGCGTTAAGATTTAAGGTACTTTACTCTTTACTGTTTTTACTTTTTCCAAATTTTTGAATTTTGCCGCCCCTGGGAATTTGCCGCCCTGGGCAGTAGCCCCTAGTGCCCCTAGTGTAAATCCAGCGCTGAATACAGGGTATTAATTATGCACATAAACTTTGAGGGGTGATTCTTTGAGTTTAAACCAAAATGTTATTTAAACATGGGTCCGCATAGCGATAATTTTCGAGATACAGGGTGTTGGAATTTAATTTTTTTCTAGAAAAATAAAAAGACTGATGCAGAATGATTTAGGCTAATAATTTGTCCATTTGGCTCATGTCCATATAGCCTTTTTGGTTTAAAATCACTAAAACCCCTTAAAGTTAGCTTACAAATTAACACCCTGTAAAACACAATGTTTAACTCATTAGCAGCGACGGAATTAGCTCACTGCCAGAGTTAATGAGGCCACTTATGGTAACAAAATCGATTCGACTTACTAAAAGGAAATAAGTACATTTGTTTAGTATAAGTTAAGTTGTTTACTTGGGGTGAATAAGTTGACTTGAGGCAACATAACTTTCTAGTAAAACTTTCCTCTACAAAAAGTCTCTCAGTGTGGGCGCTTCATTTCCCTCGAGTGCTTCTTTATATAAAATAGCTTTCTCATTGTCAGACAGATAATTGAAATAAGCTGTGGAATCACATTTCTCTGAATTTATAAATTACGTAAATGCTTACTACTGTTACTCAAACGCACATCGTGAATGTTTTTTAGTTTCTTATCGATGTTTGCTTGTGTTACTGAGAAGTATGGAGTTCCCAATAGCGTGCTAATATAATTTGATTTACATATAGTTAACCTGGTTTTCCCGAGAATAATGTGGTCGAATAAAGAACAGAATATGTTTCATTACTAATGTCAAACTATAGTAGTGGTTAGATGTTAGTCAAGTGTTAGTGAACATGATTTGTTTGCTGCTTTTGTACGTTATTGTTTTTGTAAATGCAGATTACACAGTGCCCGACGCCAAAATTGAGGCCCTGTATCCCAAGGGCTTTAGGGTGTCCATTCCAGGTTTGAACATATATAAGAATTTTAGTTTATTAGCAAATAATAATATTGATTATTTTCAAGGATAATTCGTTAATAGTGTCAATCTTTTATATTAATAGCCTTATTATTATTTTTTTATTGATATTTAATATTTTAAGTATTTGCGAGTAAATGTAATATTAATTAATAACTATACCTAACCTAACAGTGTAATAAAATATATTTAAATGCAACATATACGAGATGACTCATAGAGTCTTGATTATGCTGCAGATAAACTTGGGGTATTATTTCACAACTTCCTAATTTGTCGCTTGCTCACAAAACTTTTTTAAAACTTTGAAGTGAATACTAATTCTTAGTACCTAATTAGTTTTCCACATACAGGGTGGGCCAATAGTGTGAGCAAGTAAAATAACTCCCTTGTTACTCATAATACAGAAAAAAGTTTATGCAAATGTTAAACAGAATCAAGAAACCTAAACTATAAAATTAATTTGATGCATACAAGGTGATGAGTAAAAACTGGACACGCCAAATATTACATTTTTTAAATGGAACACCTTGTACCCACCACTTGGAACAAAACAATTAGAGTTACAGGTAAATGTTAGACAAAGGCTCCAATATTAGCTAATATCGATATTTTATACAGGGCATTTTTTATAATACGATCATTTTTAGAAAGTTTAAACTTGATTTTCTAAAATTTTTTTCAAATGGACCACTGTATTTTATTGTTCACATATCGGTCCACTTCAACTTTTATTAATTCTTATTTATTCTATGTCTAAAATTGTTAGTTTTTAAGATATATAGCAACATTCCTGACTATTTATTATTTTATAGAATACCAATAGAATACAAATAAATATTAACTAATAAAATTAACTCGAAATGGAATGATAAATTATGAACTGACAGGTTGACACAATGTGACAGTTTTTTCCAAAGCCATTTCGTGCGACCGAAAATAATAAAAATTAGGTTTTTCCAGAAATGTTGCTGTATCTTAAAAACTAACAACTTTAGGTGTAGAACATACTTGATTTTAGAAAATCAAGTTTGAACTTCCTTAAAATGATCGCCGTATTATAAAAACTGTATAAAAAATATCGACATTAGCTAATATAGGAGTCTTTGCCTAACATTTGCCTATAACTCTGTCAAATATTTTTGCTCCAAGTGTTAGTAGTTGAAAGTTAATCTTCTTAGAGGTCATGATTTTCCAAAATTCGAAGAATTTTCTACATAACTTGGCAACCCCGCACTAAAATGTAAACTGTGTATATTACCATATGTAGAATTTTCTCAGAAATCCATATGTTAAAAATATACAGGGTGTCCCATTTAAAAAATGTAATATTTTTGGCGTGTCCCGTTTTTACTCATCGCCCTGTGGGTTTCAAATTAAATTTGTCCTTTAGGTTTTTTGATTCTGTACAACTTTTATATAAACTTTTTTTCTGTATTATGAATAACAAGGGAGTTATTTTACTTCCTCACACTAATGGTCCACCCTTTATATCTACGATGTGGATAATATTGTTAATAATTAATTAACAAATACTCGAGAAGGCAATTGTATTGCCATTGGTTTTTGTTTTATTTGCTTCTACTTATTATTACAAATGAAGAAAAGCGCAAATATTACAAATTTTTAAAAAACCGAATTTAAAAAAATCTGCAAATAATTCATTATTTGAAAAATCGTTTTTAATTGTCATGATATCAAAGAATGGTTACTGAGATTTTTCCCATCTAATTTCTGGGACAGGTTACATTAACTTTAATATTCTTTATTTTTTAATTAAGTGCATTTTTCTGATTATTGATTAACTTTATTTGTGACAATGACAAAATAAATTTAAAAACAAAATTGTTTTTTTGTCTATAAAAAAGGAACAGGTGTAGTCTTTCTTACAATCATATAGTTATAAAAATAATTTAACTGTTAACAGAAGGTAGGTTGCAAAAATGCAATGTAGCAAATAAATGTTTTAAAAGGATAAATTCTTTTAATATTACACTGACGCAGAATTTCTATAGTGTTTCAGTTCGAGTGAATCAACCTTAACCACAAATAGAACTCAATAAATAAAAATTGATACAAATATGGTGTATAGTTGTGGTGCACATTTAGACATGAGCATAATTTACTGTAAAATTTACAAACTTTTGTAGGTCAGTAGCGTAGGAATGGGTAGTAAAGTGGGATTTCTTTACCCCAACTTCTACGCCAATGACCCAATTGGGATTCATTTTTAGATTCCGTGGACAATTCTACATAAATGTTTGCTTGTTGAAAATCGCTATAATGTATCGTTTTACCGAAAAACTCAGTTGAATGGGAGACCGTTCTTCTAATAAGAAAGACAAACACTAACTAATATTTCAAATCTTAAATCTGTTTTTGTGAAAATGTGCTAAATCATTACAGGCAAATTCCAAATTTTGCTTCAAAAATCGTGTTCGTCCTTGAACCCTTATATGATTGTTATTAACTTTAGCACTAAGGTAAATTCGGTTAGATCGGCCTGCTTCGACTCAAAGAATCTCTCATTACACTATTGCCCATTCGTTACAAAACACCATGTGTACTGTTTAAAAAGTGGGTACCATTGCCAATTGCCAAGTACCTCAAAAAATGTGTGTACTTTTTTAGATGAAGAAGGAATCAAACTGTTTGCTTTCCATGGCAAGCTGAACGAGGAACTGAATGGAAGAGAAGGTGGCACATTCTCCAGGGATATAACCAAAGCAAAAAATGGAAGGTGGACTTTTATCGATCCTTACACTAAGCTAAAAGAGGGTGATGTCTTGTACTACTGGACGTACGTAGATTACTTTGATGGAAGAACCAAGCTAGGCTACACAAATGATGATCAGGTGTTTGTGGTGAAAGGTAACGTAAAATTTAGAGTTACCGACGTGATTAATATACATAAATATATAATTTTTTAGAACTGATTGATGAAAGTATATCCATAGATGTTAGGAATAAAGTCTGTTCTAGTACGAAATCAAACCCAAATGTTACGAACATTTGTGCAGGGGATTTGATATTCAATGAGAATTTTGATGATAATTTATTAAATAGTAAATTTTGGACGATAGAACAGAAATATGCGGATGCGCCTGTAAGTATAGATTTGGGTTCGATGGTCCAAGTACCTAAAACTGGGTATAAAATAATTAATACCTGACGTAGTGACAATTTTGTATCCCCATACGTGAACAAAGGTTGCTTATTTTTGGATCTACGGGGTCGATTAGACCAGCAAATCCTTTTTTCTCATTTCATGGATGGTATTTGTATGCTCATCATTTTCTATTCCTTAGAAAAATTTTAATAACTGTTTGCAAAGAAGTATTTGTGATTTCCATAGCATTCTATGATTTATTATTAATATAAGTAGTATTCTGCAAATAAGAGAGTTAAAAAAAGAACAATTAACAGAAATAAGTAAAAGGAGTCTTATACAGAATGATGCAAATTTTAATCATACTTGAGAATATGGTGAAAGCTTGTTAACTTGTATTATAATAATTAAGAATTGACTGTTTTTTACGCTGATTTTGATTATCCTGTAGATAATATCCAACGCGCCTAAGTTCTAACCATAATGCTAATGTCACACTATTTTCATTAACCAAAACATATTAGAAGACCTCCATCTGCAAATAATAAAATTAAAATGATTTTCTTTTCTGTAACGTCTAATATTACGTTCATTACCCTGTATTACATTATTTTAATATTCGTTTTTTTTATAATTTTATTATATTTACTTTAAGGATTATGAGTTTGTCATGTACATGAATCTGCCACAATGTTTACAAGACAACAATGGAAAGCTCAAAATAAGGCCTATATTAAGTGAAGAACATTTTGGAAATGGGTTCGTGACGTGGCCAAAAGGTTATGACTTTAATGAGAAGTAAGTTTAAGATTTCAGTATTAACATTTAACGAGAATATATTTCTCTTCGAGAGTGTTACATTGTTACAAATCTTCAATGAACTTTACTATTTACTACTATTAATAAACATAAGTAATTTAGTTGACGTAATTTTTTTATTGCAGTTGTACGGCTACAACTGGAACTCCTGCTTGTAGAAAAAGATATGATGCTGGATTCATTTTGCCGCCTGTAATATCATCACAAATTTCTACCAAAAATAAGTTTAGTTTTAAATATGGAAAAATAGAAATTCTAGCGAAGTTACCGAGAGGCGACTGGATATATCCAGGTATTTCTAGCTTTCTTGATTTCAAACGTAATTATTAACAGCTAAATATAAACATCTTCTATTAGTAATAATTACTAAAAAAAAACTATTGTAAACACTATCGCAACGACGATTATAAAATTGGATTTCAGTATTCGGGGTCGCTGAGGCCACGTGACTTTCCACGCGTATTGCGAATGACGCTAGAGGCTATGGTTGTCTAGCGATGTAATGCTTGAAACCACTACAAATTTTATAACAATAAATACTACTACAATAATTTTTGTCTCGGAAACTATAAGGATTTTACAAAAATTTGTTTACGATGTTGACTCCATTTCTCATGCCGCATCTATTCGCAAATTTTTTTGGGATCGTATACAGCCGTTTAAAATCATAAATTCACCAATTTTATTTATTTATTTAAGTTAACAGACGAATCCAATAAAAGCATAAAAACAAACATAATAAAAATGGAATTAAAAAATAATCATAGTCTGACAGATCCATCAAATTCCTTAACAAAAGAGGATCGTAAAAAGAACTATTTAGCATCTAACGAAATACGCTTTGTTATACTAGAACTAGAACAGAAAATAGCTATAGTATCCTGTGTAAAATCGTAATATATTGGTTTGAGGAGTCCGCAAAAAAAGAAACTTGTATAGAAATGGACGTAGATCAGTAAGAAATCTATTTCTTTGCTTAACCACTTACATAAGAAATTGGCTGAAAAGTACTTACAGCGAGGTTCCAAGTCGTTTATTTGGAATCTATTGAATAGGATTTTAGGTACAGTAAGTATTTATAAAAGGATTTCTGAGGGTTTTTAGCTTAATTTTTATTAATTCAGTTACCCGAATTGCATACGGCTGGAGCATATTCTAATTTTGACCTAAAAAAAACATAAAAAAATAATATCACATTATTGCTATTTCTGGAATTTCAAAATCAAGGTATCTGATTATATTTGTTCAGTATATAATCATTTAATTTTAATTGAATTCCATATGAATTTTTTTAGAAATCGAAACATTACGCACCAATTATTTAATTTTTTAAAATCTTCCTGTAGCTTTAAACAATCACTGAAGTCTTTAATACGTGTAAATAATTTGTAGTCATTTGCATATAAAAGAATAGACCACTAGTTCCAAACTGCAAGCATTTATAAAGTTTATAAACAGTAGAAGACCAAACAGCGGGTTTTGGGGTACCCCAGATGTAACTTGTAACCATGGTACCATACATTGAATCTTCTATTAGATGTGATGAAAATAACTGAATAAATGGTTATACGAGTCCAAAATTAAATGGTAATATACGACTAAATTATATTGTATTGTGGAAATGCAAACATTGTCATAAACATATAATGAATTGTAAATAATATATTTCAGTTGCATTTCTTCGAAAATATAAAAATAATAAAACAATAAAAACGACACTGTGTTCTACAGAAAAATGTTGTATAATCATAACAAACGAGAAACCCTCCTGATATATCGAAAACCAATCAAATTAGATAGGATTTGTTTACACCACTATATTTACTTTGAAAATAAACTTCTATCAGTTTTCTCTATCTATCTTCGTTTAGCGCATACACAACAATCCTTCACAACATGTATAGATGGATTAGGACTTGTTTTGGGAATTATTACTTTGTGCGAGAGAAATCACTCTTTAAAATTTGCTGCTTCTTGAAATCGATCGTTTCTCGAAAAACAATTTTATTTTATAAGTTCGGAAAGGATGTCTGAAGAGTAAATACATCCAGGGGTGAAAACTCGATTTCCGGATATATTTTATGCAAATAGAATATTTTTTAACACCTACTGACTTACCTCATTGATTCGATGAAAACTTTTTGGCACCGCTGACTTCTGTTTGGTGCATGACTATGCGTTTCCGTGTGTTACCTTAATTTCTATTGATTCATCGCTACTCTTTCAACCAGTTTTAACAGTTTTCATTTCAAAGATTTTGATTATTGAAAATGGTGTTTGTTCTTTCTAAACTACATTTGCATTATTATTTATTTAATAATATAATATAAACATCAATCATATATTTAATTTTTAGAACTATACCTTAATCCATTGTATGAAGAATACGGATCCAACTATGAATCCGGTCAAATTAGAATAGCCTTTGCTCCAGGAAATGACAAACTGAATCAAGTCTTACACGGAGGTGTAATACTAGGTGCTAGCAATGCTGCCAGAGAGGCCGGAATGAAGTCAGTTAGGACGCGGGATAAAAACTGGTCGGATGAATTTCATAAATTTGTCGTCACTTGGAAACCAGGTAAGTGAACGTTTGTATATGCGCGAAATAATCCGGATAACAAGATGTTTTCCTTCAGAGAGCATAACCGTAAGCGTGGATGACCACATGTATGGCAGCATTTATCCTCCAGCCGATGGATTTTCTAAATTAGTGAATGAAGGTCATACCAAACGATGGAGACGCGGATCATCCTTAGCACCATTTGACAAAGAGGTGAGTAAGTAAACGAAATGAAGTGATTAGAGATATAAAGTAGCAATCATATTAGGCAGGTTTACCAGCCACTGTTTGCTGTTAGGTATTAACCAGCAGGTGCCATTTTAGTTTTTAGTAGGTTGGTGGATGTGGTCGCTGATATCGCCGGTATCGCTCGTATCGTTGCATATGCTTTGCTTATTCTTTAGAGTTAACCAGGTTCTACTCAAACCTTCTTCGTGATTCATATTATTTGGATACTATCCGATGTCCAATGCTTTACATCTCACCAGGTCGTAAAACCCTGTTGTTCTCACAAGTACCTGGATGTCTTCAGAATTTATTGTATGTCCATCTAACGCATGTTGGGAAATTGCAGATTTTTCAGTCTGATTGAACCTTGAGGCTCTTTCATGTTTTTTCTTTCTTGTAATAACCGATCTGTTCGTCGCACTTATATAATCCTTCCCGCATTCACATGGTATGTGGTATATTCTAGGGGTAAACGGAGGGTCAAGTCTATTATTCGTGGAACGACGTAGGTCTCTGCTTCATGTAGCATCGCCTTGTTGCGAGGTAGGTTGTCTGTCCTCTGGTGCAGCCCCACGTTGGGCGCCAGGACTAGGATTTGCCCCATTTCCGCTAGCTCCCGGTTGAAGAGACCTGTCAGTCTTTCCTCTGAGTATCAATAAGGGGTCGTAGTATCATGGTGGGGTTGGGTGCCATCATCAAGGGAAAATAAGATTTCCGATCCTCCGTCATCGCGAGTTCACGATACTCTGGTGGAGTGTCCTCGATCTAATTTGTTGTGAGTTAACTTAGGACATTTTGGAAAAGAAGTTTTGGTTCGCGTGTCTGAAAATCACTGTCCTTATTCACTAATGTTTATGCATTCTGTACGGACTCCGTAGAGTTCCTGTACGAAAGCTTGTAAGAAGCTTTGTTTTTTGTGTATAGCTGACAGCGTTCGAGCTTGACTTTTGTGTATTTTTTGTAGAGAACTAACTCAAGAAGTGGTATAAATGTGCAGTTTATTTAGGCTTTTATTTAGCTTACAGAATAGCAGCAATTTTGAATTCTTTTTGTAGGCGAGTCACACTCTGACCAGGACTAGATTCCCTAACTAAGTGCAAATGATAATTGTGCACGTTCGTTCACCAGCGAGGTGGATTCCGATTCATCTGCTACTGTGAAGTCTGGTTTATTGTCACTCCATTCTGGCTGATTAGTTTGTTTGGTTGAGGTTTGGTATCTGAAACTTAACAGAATTAATATTGACCCGAAGGTCTGGTGAGAGATAAATTCTGAGCTCAATCCATTCCGCGAAAATTTCGGAAGTGGAACGTAATTTTTATTTTCCTCGTCCCTCGTCGGCGATCTCAGGGGAGCCTTTCACATAGGTCGTCATCACTTGATGGAATGGGGACATTTAGCGTGCTTCCCCTCATCCTGCCGGCTCGACAGTCGAAATTTGGAAAGATCGGCGATTGTTTCAAGTCATTTTATATGTTGCAGATTGCTACGGATGTTGCAGAGGTCTGTCGTTGATACATTTGTGTTCTGAATGTTACTTTTGAGCGTATTGATGAGCGTATTCGAAACATAATCGATTTTTAACATGATAAGAGAGAGAGAGAGACGTTAAAGATTCCTTAGAAATGTTAATATATCTTTGACCTATCCTTGTCGTGTCTTAGCTAATGTATCAACAATAAATCTGCCATTTCTGTATCAGAATGACACCATAGATTCAATCCAAAACAAATTTTAAACTACTAACAGCTGTAAGATAATAGCAGACTGATTAAGGTTCACAATTCGTTCTGTTTTTCAATTGAAACCACCGGCGTAGATTTTATAGAAGTTAATAACGACAAAAATAGTTTTAAATTGAATCTACATATAGTGGTGTATTGGTATCGATAATGGCGTCACAGAACGGTCGAAATCGCATCTTGGACAATGGTGGTCTTCTCAGACATCCTCTAGTGTACTCTATGACTGGTCACATCCAATTGCTTCCGAACGTTTTGCCTTTCTTCACTTTCAATATATTCCGTGGTGGCTCAGCAAATGCGTCGCTGCAATTGAGGCGGTTTGCGTCGATGTCGTACAGTGGTCGAAATGGAGGCAATGACGCAGTAACACCCCTCTAGTCTTTCGTACACGTCTCTGGCACCTATGCGTGCGACTATCATTTACCTCTGCCTTCGCCATTTTCCAAAATAGTCGAATTTGAAACATATTCATAACTGTTTGTGTAGAACGATTTGAAAATTTTATCAGCATCGGTGTACTCGTATTTGAAACAAATTTTCAAATGAGCTCACTGATGTTTTATTTAATTACAATTTTTTTAGATGTATTTAACCATCGGTGTTGGTGTGGGTGGTTTTAATTTTCAAGATATGAATGATGGAACCAAACCTTGGAAAAATGCAGAGCGCTTAAGCGTAAGGAAGTTTTACAATGAAAAGGATAAGTGGAAGAATACGTGGAATGAAGATAGCGCTTTGGAAGTTGACTATATTAAAATATGGGCAGTATGAAGATTACTTAGTATTTTTTGCCATATAATGTGTAGAACTTGTCTAAATGTCTGAGTAGTATGTAAGTTGATAGTTCCTTGATAAGTATTTTTTATTATTTTTAATAAAAAAATAAATTAAAGTTGTTTTAATTTCAGCACTAATATTCACATCTTGTATATTTATACCGTATTGATGAAGGGTATTTGACCATTTTTTTTATACACAAATACGGTATTAATCCTTATCATTTTTAAATAAGTTAGAGGCTTTAAGCATTCCATGCACATTATTTTACTCTTTTACACCATATAATTTAAATGAATATCTTATGAGTAATCGCAAAAAAATTACGGACGCGAGAATAAAATTCAAGCGCCTCGCTTCGCGTGATGCGATCGCCGACCCTCCCCCCGCACCGTCTTGCCTACTGTTTAGCTAATAAGCCGAACGATAACGCGTGATCCTTTAATAAACTGACTTGGAGCGAATGGAGGTGACGATTGATGACTGTGTTTTCTTTCTGGGTGTTGTTGGAGTTATAATTGCGTTCGATATTTTAAGGTCACATTTTTGTTTTGTATTTGTTGTCTTTAGGTAGTCGGAACATACATAGATACTTGCAAACATACTTTTATTTCATTGAGTTTTAATAATTTGTTTGTTTTTTTCTTATTATGAATCATTTAAAACATCATAGTCGCATTTTTGTTTCGTGTTTGTTTTCTTTAGGTAGTTAGATACCTAACTACTTACTTATTAATTAAAATTGATAGGTCCTGAATATAGGTACTTTAATTTAATTCGTTTTGTTTTCACATTGTTGGTAGTTACCTATATTGTTTTAAATTTAAAGGTTTTGCGTTTGTAGTTTTGAGTTCGTTTGTTGTCTTTAGGTATATAACTGGCATCATTTGCAGGTCTGTGTTTGTCTGATTTAATACTTTGAGTTCAGTAGGCGATGAAAACAAGATGTTGACTGCTGTGGTTATCAGGTAATGTCATTATTGACGTATTTCTTTAGGATTCTCATCAGTCCACACATGCAAAATTATGAAGTGTTCGCAGTGTATCAAGACAATTAAATGTAGGTAAAACTAATGTTCACAAAACTTTAAAAAAGCAAGTTCTTCGGACATTTCATTTAACTCCTGCTCAAGAATTTGAAAATTTAGATCCCAACGCACGTTTACAATTTTGCCACTGGTTGGTGAATGGCTTCGTAGAAGATAATAAGGACCCCGCACTTATGGAAAATGACTTTAGGTTAATTTTCTTGAAATTTTGCAGATTGATAGTTCTCAGTATGTAGATCAAATGTCTCAATGGGCACGAAACCCTATAACCCCTCCTTCCCCCAAAAATAGAGGCCCAAGGGGCTAAGGGATATAACTGATTTCTGAATGTGAAACAATTTTTATTCTTGTAGTCCAACCAAGGGCTACCCCAAACAACCACCACCGTGACCCATCAACCACCGACCACTTTGGTTCATCGAGCGTGGATCATTTGTGAGCCAAAACACTTAGACGAGGAACTATAGCATTTACGATTTGCTCTTGGAGAAAATGAATACACGAAAGGGAATATCGAGCAGGATATCGGAAGGACAATTAAGGATAAAGCTATAGATGAATATATGGCAGCAACGTATCTGCTATGCTGTGTATGCAAGGACACACTGACAAGATCTTAAGGAAACAAAATTAAATCATGTGCGACACTTCAATCACCCTCCATTTTTTTATAAGTCGCGAAAAACCGCCTTTAAATACAGAAAATACCGAAAATCACAGTTTTGGAAAATTAGGTACCTATAAATGTAGAAACCGGCTAAATATGATTGACAATTGGAAAAATAAAATGGAAGTTACTGCTTGAAGTTGAAATTACTCTAACACCCTCCAGTATTTTTCTAAATAACTCCGAAACCAATTAAGATAAATGTATAAAATTTGGTAACTAGCTTAACTCTTACGTGCTCAGTCCGCCACTAAAACGAAATTTACAAATTTTCATCACATACGTTCCAACACTAGGGGAAGGGGGGTAAAATTTACCATAACTTTTTTATGCAATGACTTTTTTTACTTTTAACTGAAAAGTATGAAATTTTATAGTTACTTATTAAAAAAAGGTACTCTTGGTTCATAATGGTAGAATGTTCCATTTTTGTGTAAAATCCGTTTAAAAATAATGTTACATGCGTTAATCACTGGGAATCGAAATTGTCAATATTTTTTATCATCGCAGGTTTTGAATAACAAAAATGTGTTTGGCGTTATTTACATTGACAGTTCAGTTAAGTTCACACAAAAAAGTTACGGGATATCCAGTGGCCCACAGGCACTAGAAAGAGAAAAAAAAATATGTGTACCAAATTTGAAGTTTCTAAGAAAAACAGTGTTCAAATTATTTGAAAAAAACTAGGTTATCTGTTCAATATTTAGAAGGCTGTATCTCAGTAGGCGTGTACTTTTGTATATGTTAGGTTAAATAGTCGTGTTTTCATCCAAGGAACCTGTGGTCAAGCGTTGTCCATCCTTTTCCGGGACACCCTGTAGGTATGTATACAAAATATGTTATGTCATCAGCCGTTTATTTTTACATATAGGTATAGTGCAAAAACAAACTTTAAAAACTCGTTATTAAAACCTTGGTAATTTTAAATAGCCAAAATAAAGTTCCTAGGTAAGTAATAGTAATTCATAATTTAACATGCCATGGCCAACAGATTGGTAGACACATTTCTAAATATAATTATATGATTTGGGAAAACCCTAATATTAATGTGTTGTTATTTTAATAAATACGTAAAATGGCAAATAACTGTGGAAATATATTATAATGATTCTTGATATTTTGTTTAACCGATGGACGAAAAAAATTGATAAGAGTAATATTCAGTGAAATACTAAATAAATTGCTCAACATTTGTTCTACCTAAGTTGTAATATCTTAATATTTTCTTAAATATCAAAATTGTTTTTATAGAATAAAAATTTCAAAAAATTCGTGATTAGCGACTTTGAAAACCACTAGGTGTGAGTAACAAGTTTCAGCCATAATCTTTAAATTTTGAATGCTTTTTTACATCTACATTATTGTTGGATCCGCCACCAGCGACCCCAAAATGTACTCATGTATCTGGCGCAGAACTTTTTTTTGTGTGGTTGTGTAGTTTTATTTGTAAGATTTTCTTTCATCTTTGTATTTCCTAAAGTGTTTGAAGTCTATTTAGAGCGATTGTTAAAATTATGTTTTATTTTAACAATTATTGTTTCTAAATGATGTAATTACTCCAGGATTTTCTATCATTATGAAATTAAAATCATATTTTGTTATTAACATCTTCGAGAAATATTAATACAATGTCATTTATATTTATATAGAAATGCAGCATTTACTAACTGTGCTACGAATAAATATATGTATTTGCCATGGGTATGTCCAGATGCTTATCACGTTCTATTTTCTATAATTAGCATCAATTATTCTGTTTAATTTTCCTCGCAATCAGTTTTTTTTAATCGATTTCTCGTCTGTGTATCTTGGACTAGATATCTTGTTTATGGTAGCATTAATTGTACTGCGCCTTTGTTATTTATTTACAGATTATCCTCTTACTCCAAATAAAGCAATGCAAACCAGTTTCCAAAAGTCAGACCCATGCGCATTCCGATATCAGGTATTTATTTTGACACCTATACTGAATTTGTTGAAACATTTGTAAATAACGTTTACAAATTAGCGATCGGTAAGTTACTAGAATTTCCTCGAAAATTTCCATGTAAAATGTTGTTAGATAATTAATTTCTATTTTACATAGAGTCTTCGGTATATCCCTCAGCTATAGAGGACGAACGCCACCCACCGTGCATAAAATATCTCCTTGGTGTGAGCCGACATTGACTGTTTTGGTGGTAGTGCTAAATATTTCTTATAAAATTCCAAATAATTAACTGTCACGTATCCTAGACTTGTTATTTTAAACGTTCGTGATATACAGGGTGACCCAAAAGTGACGCCCGTCCTTCTAGGATTTGATTAAGGAAACAAAAACGAAATAAAAATCAAGAGTGGAAAATTTTCCGATTGCTTTCCGTTGTTGAGTTATTCAAAAAAGTATTCAAAAAATTAAAAAAGTGAAAATCCATTTTTTTGTCTCAAAACTGAGGTCTGTGCTTATGGGAACGAAGACATATAATTTATAACCAATAGTAGATATGTATAGTTTTCGATTGTCAGTTGTAACTTGGTGTAAGGATTATTTTAACCTGAAAAGGATATAGAAAAACATTTTTATAATAAAACAAACTAAAACCATAATGTGCTTAAATAATAGAAATTGTTTTTACAAAAGGTGTTCAAATAAGTTGCCTTCTACTTCAAGACAAAGATTATCACGATTCAACATTGAAGCATGAACTCTTTGTAGCATCTCTTGGTCTATTAACGCGACAGCAGCGTATATACGGACCATAAATCTTTTCTTTTAAATAACCCCACAAGAAAAATCTAGGGGATTCAGATCTGATGATCTAGGAGGCCATGGTCCACTTCTTCCAATCCATCTGTCTCGGAAGTTTTGATTTAGATAATTTTATATTCGTAAACCATAATGTGATGGAGCTCCATCATGTTGAAACCAATAATTTAGTCTAACTGCTAACGGAACGTCATGTAGCAATGGCAATGGTAAGTTTTCATTTAAAAACATACAGCTGCAGCAAATACATCTTTGAACTACATAAAGATTTAATAACCCAGCCCAAATGTTTATTTTTAGTTTTTTTAATAACTCAGCAAAGAAAAACAATCTGAAAATTTTCCACTCTTTATTTTCGATTTGTTTTTGTCCCCTCAATCAAAACCCATAAGGACGGGCGACACTTTTGGGACACCCTGTATATCTATATTTCAGTGTAGGCAAGATTTACTATTATAAACGCATTATTTTCAATGCATTTTCATATTATTTAGTTCTTCCCTTCTGCACACCCCTGCTATTCCAAATACCATTCCTACTTTGATATTTCAACAGACTTCATCAAAATATTATTTAAAACCTTCTTGACGTGTTCTGTGGTAAAGATTCTTGATTTTTCCACTTTATTTCCAACATTTTTCCTCTTAAGAAAAGTTATTAACCTCGTTATTAACTTAGCATATTTTGAAATATCAACAGCTTTATGCAAAAATATTGTGGTCTTGAGTATATTCAGCCCAAAGCTTCCTGCAGATTTTAGACTTTTACTTTTTGAAACAAAATATGCAAACATTATCTTTTCTGTGATATTTTAAAAATTTTCTTGTTACACCACCCTGCAAATGCCTTGAAGATTTTCTCACATCTTTCTTTGGGCTTCTTAGGAATTCTGGCTGAGCGTCCTACTTGCCAAGCATTTTCTAAGACTGCATCTGCACTTTCTTGAATCAGCAACGTACAAGAAGATTAAGTTGTGGCAAAAATATTATCATGGAGAAACTTCTAATGATCAGTTGGAAGTTTTGCCTATGAAGTTTTAGGGGAGTTTTGAAAATTGGTATATTTATAGATCCTGACGTGCTCTTTCCGTATTTTTACTTTACTACCTCTTTTTTTCCCGGAAGTAGCCGCCATATTGGAAAAATGGCGCTCCAAAACAGTTTTTCGACAATATTTCCTTTCCGACTCACTTTACGGTGAAAATAATAATGAATTAAACTAGAGAACATTTCCTATAATTTATGTATTAACCTTTTTTTCTGTGAAATGAATAGTTTCGGCGTACGAGCGCCGCAATGTCTACTCCAACAAGCATATTGGCAAACAAACTTATTTCCACACCACCATGAGGTAGAGTTCCTGGCGCGTTTTTTTTAGTGGTATCCCCAGTAGGCCTAATCCACATGTGATGCACTGTTAACTAAATTTAGTGCATTCTCCTTCACTTCGCTATACCTGATGGACCAGGTTTTGCGAGTTCTTCGTCTTCAGAACTGAGCAAAACCTAACGGATAGTAAGTCCGCGATAGGTTCTCGGTTGTTCTTTAATAAATTCTTTAAATAAATTTAATATTGCATCGTTGCCACTGACAGAAGCAGCAGCTAGACAACATTCGTTCCGAACCTATCACCAGGTTCAGCAGTGGTATGGAGTTGGAAAAAATGCAGAGCGATGGGGGATGGAAAAAAAACAAGAATGGGCTAATTCGTATCATCACACTTAAGCCCCCAGCTCCAGCAAACTTGCTAAAACTAATTTCTTGTAAATGTAAAAAAGGATGTCGGGGAGCCTGTGGATGCAGAAAGGCTGGACTAAAGTGCTCCGTTATCTGCGCGAATTGCAATGGTAGGTACTTGCGATAATTCGGATGTTGATCAGCAAGACAGTGACGAAGAGGAAGATACGGAGACAGTTCTTCAGCAAACCTTCGACGAAATCGAGGAAGAAGGTGATGAAGTCGAAGAAGAGAACCCTATCGCGGATAACTTGGAAGAACTTCCTATCCGTGAGGTTTTGCTCAGTTCTGAAGACGAAGAACTCGAAAACCTGGTCCATCAGGGATAGCGAAGCGAAGGAGAATGCACTAAATTTAGTCAACAGTGCATCAAATGTGGATTAGGCCTACTGGGGATATCACTAAAAAAAAAACGCGCCAGGAACTCTATCTCATGGTGGCGTGGAAATAAGTTTGTTGGCCAATACGCCTGTTGGAGTAGAATTTGCGGCGCTCGTACGCCGAAACTATTCATTTCACAGAAAAAAGGTTAATACATAAATTATAGGAAATATTCTGTAGTTTAATTTATTACATAACTATTTTCACCGTAAAGTGAGTCGGAAAGGAAATATCATCGAAAAAATGTTTTGGAGCGCCATTTTCCAATATGGCGGCTACTTCCGGAAAAATAAAGAGGTGGCAAAGTAAAAATTCGGAAAGAGCACGTCAAAATCTATAAATATACCTACCAATTTTCAAAACTCCCCTAAAACTTCACAGGCAACCCCCTTCTTGAGCACCAACTGATTGGACTATAACAAAAATGAAATAGCCAACAGGATTCTTTACAATGACACTTCAACTCCAGTTTGTAGTAGTACGTCGCATCATACTGTTTTAATAGATAGTCAGATAATATTGAGGTGACTGAAATGGAGCGGTCAAATCATTTTGAGAAAAATGTGACAATTGGTAGACGCGATGGGAATAATTATCCAGATTTTATAAATGTTGCTAAATGTAATAACTGTACAATTACTATAAATATTCTATCATAATAATTAATAAAATGTAATGTTCATTAAATATTTCAATTTATTTGTTCATAAAATATACATTTATAACTTGAAATCGCTTTTTTTCCCTAGAGAGGTATCTTACCTCACTTACCTCCCGTTGTCCATAGCAACTTCCACTTCTACGGTAAAATCCACTTACCTCCTTAAAAACAATGTATTAATAGACTATTTACTATACTGGGAGCAGAAAAAAAACAAAATAATAGATCTGGTTCTTGCGATTATATCATTATAATATCATTACGCCATTATATTATGAAGAATTATTGATATTTCAAAAATGTTATTTTTTTTTGTCTCCGATAATGTCCAATGCTAAAACTCACATTAACATTAAAACCTTAATAGGTTAAGAAACCAGTTTATTTATGTTCGGTTCGTTAAGCAGTCTGCCGATTCCACAGTGATTTGCGTGGAGGTCATCTAAGTAAGAAACATTAACTGCTTTATATCCAGTAAACAATGTTACTGAAATTACTTGCGTTTTTGTGGTGCAGTTTTGTTGTTACACAAGCCCAGTATGAAGTGCCTGATGCCAAGGTGGAAGTCTTTTCTCCAAAAGGATTTTCAGTATCTATTCCAGGTGAGTTAAAAATATATTTTTCAATTTTTATCTGTTGAGTAAACAAATAAACGCATATCGAATTTTTTTATGTATAACAACCTACATTTGTATTTGCTTTATTGTTAATTTAAATTGAGCGTATAGAAAAAATTATTAACAACATTTAATTTCATTTGAAAATAAGATTAGTTAACATTTCCAAGAAACATTTATTATTTAATTTGGGAATCTTATCTAATATTAATATTTAAAAGTATTTTGTTGGTTCATTTTTATGGTTTGGAAAAAACATATTTTTTAAGTTTATGGAGAATAATATTTTCGTCTTATAATGAATAAATTAAAGTATTTCGGCAGCTCCTAATCTTGTTAGCTCTATAAATAGCTGCACATTGTACTAAATGTATCTTATCAGAACAGTAGTATAAAAAAGAACCACAACTTGAGCTAATTTTCGATATTTCCGGCACATGATGGTATATTTGAGATAACTAATAGATATACAGGGAATCTATATAAAGACGGAGGATGAATTCGAAATTTTTTTATTTGGCTAAGTGTGCTAGAGCTCGTTTCATACACGGTTAACGAAGAAACACGCCTTCGCGACTGCAAAACACAGTATGCACTGCAAGCTGCTACGGTGAACGCGACGCCGCGTCAATATCTTTCTACCTCGGGTGACGAATGTGGTGAATTCCAAGAAAGTCACGTATCATCGTACGGACTGTAGTTATAATAGCCAAAAAATAGCAATAATTATGTTGTTGAAGACGAAAGTGGTAGTATCTCGAAAACTCAAGGAATTTAAACTGATGACGTGGCAACTAGGTCGGTAATTGTTCAATCAATAAACTTTGATGGCACATTCTAAAACTGCTTCCAATGCCTATTAAATAGGCATTGGATGTTCCATTTATCATGTTACAGAAGTATTGTACTTCTAATATAAATGATAATAACTTAGCAAACATTCAGCGAAGTAAGACGAGAAATGTTCAACTTGAGGTTACTATGTGCAAGAAAATTGTTAAAATTGTTAAAAAATATTGAACATTTACACAGAAAATACTGTCATAAAAATTCACACAATTGCTCCTCAAATCGCGACAGGAAAAAAAATGTATCAAACTTTCATAAAATATTGTTTGAAAATTGTTATGAAAATGTATGTGAATGACGAATTTTCTCACATTTTTTTTTGCCACGATTTTGGAAATAATTTTGTGAAGTTTCATGACGTTCTTTCTGAGTCTAGTTTGTTTTATTAAATTGTTTTTAAAATAAACTACTTTGTATTGTGATAAATCCAACGAATCAACACTCGGTAATAAAGCATTCCATTTCTGAGATATATTCACATATTTCTACGTTATCGTTTTTTATTTTTATCGGGGAAATAAAACAATATAATTCTATGTTGAGATTTACTAAAATTTAATCGAGTTATAGCAGTTTTATTTAAAAAATCCTGATAACATTGTTATTCACAAACGGCTGAATGTGGTGGAGACGGGGAACCCAAAAATCAACGTGTCGGAGAAAATGTCTTGGGACTTCATCGGTATGGAAATAATTTATTTTCGTCCACACTGTACATATTTGGAGAAATATAGAATGCATTATCGCAATTATTTAAGTAATCTGTTTTAGAGCAAGTGACCCAGAAGTAACAATATTTATTTCAAAGTTTTCACTTGTAAATTTTATTAAAAATTGTTACATTTTAATTTCGTTATTGTCTAAAAATAATTAGAACCAATTTTGTACTCTGTTTATTTAATTGCGGACGTAGATATTTGTTACGCTTTGAAAGGTTGTTCCAAAATTTTTATCCTTCAGCTGTTTATTGCTATTATACAGGGAGTTTCATCAAACAAGAAACACAGCGAACTTAATGAAAAATGAATCGGATCGAAATAGAGCAATTATTCCGCCACACACGTATGTCTTAATTATTACAAATTTGCTTTTTTCACCTATAAAGTTGAAAGTTTTGAGTAAACAGTAGGAAAATTTAAAAAATTGCATGTAGATATTCATTTTGTGCTAATCGATAAATACAGGGTGTCCCAATGTTACGTGCACATGGAGCTAACAAAGTTTCCTGAGATCAAAAGAAGCATATTTACCTAAATTTACCTCTACCCTAAGTTGCTTCATTTATCCGCATGATTGCATACATTTCCGATTTATCTACAAAGTTGAAGGCATCCATTTTGTGGTCAAATTACTCCATGTTAAGAGCAACACTTAGTATAAAGGAAGACATTGACATATCAAAATATGTATTATGTATTTTCTTGAAACGTCAAGGCGAAGACTATAAACCAAAGAAGTCAAAACTTTTGTCAAATAAATAATTTGAAACTTTTATTACACAAACACAGATAATATATACTTAATGAATAAAGTATGTTTAGATTAGAAAATTTAAAAATATAATAGATATTAGTTCTTCCTTTTTAGGTTGCATACATATTTGGTGTTGCCGATGCACGTCGCCGTGATGAACTGTATCAATTAAATTTGAATGATATAGAATCTATATCATAGATGATTTAGGATCAAAGGTCATTTGTGATAAATGAAATTTATATGCCTCTATATTATGTTGCATGCTGCCCAGAAAATTTTGAAAGTAGCCATTTTTGATTTAACTATTCAAATTGGAAGGTTGCAGGCAAGTAATAGGAATACATCAGTTTGGTAAAATGCCTCCAATGAAGTAGCTTTATGTACACGGATTATTAGGACACCCTGTAGTATCACCAAATCAAAATCTATTTCAGTAGTTTTTTATGCTATTTACATGTTGATTGAAATAGTTTCGTTTCTTCCGAAATATGCGGATAAACCATAACAAAGCACGTGATCAAAAGTGAAAAATATGTTTAAGCTGTCAAAATTATGCAGACAGCTATCCACTAAAAATAATTTGACAATAAAATCAGCTCCTAACATTTTATTTTGCTGGAAATTTAGATGATGTTTGGTCTTTGAATGAGTTATTTCTTTACACAGTTCCTGGTTCAATTATGATTTAGGTTACATTTAAAAATGGAACAATAGTTATTTACACCATAAAGGAGGTAAATTATATTTAACTGCTGCATGGTGTATAACATTTTATCACAGTTCTTTATGGTTCATGAAATAAAGATAGGTTTTATTTTTTGACATTTCTTAATCAATCCATTTTGACATTATTCGAAAGTCGCCTTGGTTGTTTGGATTTTGTCAAAGAGTGGTGCCAGAATAAAAATACTGGTGTTTCTGAAATGTCACTACTAGCATATTTCGTGGAGGAGTCAAGAACTTTAAAGTCACCGGCGAGTTTGTGGAGTGAATACTCAATGATTAAGTCAACTATTTTCATAGAGGAGAACGTAGATATATCAAAATACCCCAAGCTGAGAGCATTTTTGAAGGCTATATATCTAAAAAGTTTTTACAAGAGAACAAGTCTACGATTTTCTCATTCAGGCACCCGACAACACATATTTGCTAATGATGGAAGTGACGGTTTTAGGCATTGTAGGAGAATGCCGTTCTGATGCGCTATCAAGCAGGTAGATGTTACAACCAACCAGTCATCAAGAATACCCTTTCTATGATTCCTAATAAAATTTCACAATTTTTGAAACTGGAACATCCTGAAACATATATAGGCTATTCATTCCGAAGAACATCGGCAACGTTTCTGGCTAATACAGGACTTGATGTATTAGCAATGAAGAGACATGGTTAATTATTGCAGAAAGTTATGTTGCTGACAGTTTAAGTAACAAAAATGAAATAGCCAACAGGATTACAATGACACTTCAACTCCAGCTTCTAGTAGTCGCGTCTCATCATGCTGTTTTAATGGATCAGTCGGATAATATTTAGCTTCCGGTGACTGAAATGGAGCGGTCAAATCATTTTGAGAAAAATGTGACAATTAGTAAACGCGAGGGGAATAATTATCCAGATTTTATAAATGTTACTAAATGTAATAACTGCATAATTACTATAAATATTCATTTATAATAATTAATAAAATGTAATGTTCATATTTATTTATTCATAAAATATGCATTTATAACACGTAATCGCTTTTTCCCTAGGGAAGTTACCTCACTTACCTCCCGTTGTCCATAGCAACTTCTAGGGTAAAATCCACTTACCTCCTTAAAAACAGTGTATTAATAATCTACTTACTATAGTGGGAGTAGATATATTGTAATTTGTCATTATCTAAAAAAGTTTAGTCCTGTCAAAATTGTAGAAAGTACAAAGTACAAAGTCCTTAAAGTCCTTCTAGTATCCTAAATAATGTTTTAATTTTCAGCTACCAATACATTTTAGCAGGTCGTGTAACTTATCTTGCTCGAATTAAGGATTTATTAAAAAAATGTATTTTTTTTTGTCATAAGACAAATTTGCCTGGATTTTTTTTTAATGTTTCGATGACTTACATTAGCATTCCGTGTAAAACTGTAGCTTTAACACTTTGAACTCTGTAGTTTAAAGTGAAATATTTTTACTTTAACTAGTACTATATTCCTTTAATTTTTTCCAGTATTTTACATACTTTGAATATTCTTTCTAACCTTATACCTATTTCTGTTAATACTTCTGCAGGATACAGATACGAATGTAAAATACGTAATTATTAAAATATTTAACGATTTTACATGTTAAGGAATGAATTAACGACAACTTAGGAAGCACGCACTAGTTAAGTGTGTTTTACGTAAGTTTATTAATAAGAATACCTATTTACTATTTGTTCAGTAAATTTATTTAAATTTAAGCTACTTATTCGATTCGTATTCAGTGTAAAACACTACTAGTAAACCTTGGTTATAAATATACAATTTTTTAAGTAAAAACTAGTTTTTAGAGTTTAATTTTGCATACCTCTGTGAAGTGAGAAAAATATTCCTTCTCAGTATCCTAAAATCAGTAGTTCATAGGTAAATTGCTAAAAAATGCTGAAAATCCCGAAAAATCGTGGAAAAGCCTAGTAATGGTCATTAGCAATGCTAATCGCTAATGAAATTTATTTGGCCCAATGCAACTTCTGTCTCAATCTATTTTGGTGTGCTGAACACGAATTTGGAACTGGTTTCTTCCAAGTAAGTATTTTGAAAATAAGCCGGAAATTGCTGAAGCCCCATTTCGATGATTTAAAATCTGTAATCTTGGTTTTGAGTCGTCAGACAGACAGACTATTGATTTTAGATCCGCACGATAGAGTTACGGGGACATTATTATTTTCTTAGGCGTCTTCACACTAGTGCTCTCACACTGGGGAACAATACAATATTTGTAATTTTTCTCTCTTCTGTCTTCCATATTGCTAACAAAATTCGGGATCTTCACGTACTCAATCTAAACTTAACAAGCAACTAAAACTCGACTACCCGATTGACTGACAACACACGCAAGAATGCGGCATCGATTTCCCATGCGGTGACGTCACACCTGCCGGTTCAGCGAATACTCAGCGCGCCAATTTATGATTTTTTTAGATGACTTGTAGGTGATATAAAATTCAAATTTTTTGCAGAGAACCTTAAAATTGCAATATCTTTCCGTTAAGCAAGTAAAAAAATTGCTGAAGGAGCCCATTGTCTTGGTATCTTACCTCAATTTCTTTCAGATCTTGATGAAATCGTTCACCCTGCTCCTCGCGATAATCTTTTAAATTTTCAAGAAAATAGTTGAAATAAGAATCCAACAAATGATATTTTACTTTCATCAAAAACTCTGAGCATTGATAGTTTCTTATAACTTCTGCTACAAGAGTACCGCCTTTTGTGGTTCCCTAAAAAGCTTTGTGAAAATTCAGTCACACTGCTCTATATTTGTCATTCTTGTTACAAAATGTTTATCGTGTGAGGTGTGTAGCCGTAGTAGCAGGAACGAAATCAAAGGATCGGGAAAAGGAGTTTCTAAATATCTTCAATAAAGAAGACGATGGCTCTTTGGTGTACGTTCTAGGTTTGACGAATGAAATGAAACCTAATCCGAGAAATGGAAATTGTTCATAGACTCTTCGAAATAGAGCTTGAAAGCGATACTATTACATGATGGAAATAAATGCGCCTGTACTTCCATTTTACCATGAACTACATTAAAGAAAGTTATGAAAACAAGAGATGCGTTCTGCAGAAAAAATATAGAGAGCATTATGGCAAGTTTTTGGTGACTATATCAATAATTTTGGGGCAACAGTCAGGATTTACCAAGTCTCCCTGTTTCTTGTGTCTCTTTGGGATAGTCGACTCACTACAATGGCATTCGACCTAGGAAATCACATTGTTATAGAGCAACCTCTGATCGACCCCTTGAAAATACTGCTTTCTCCATTTCATATAAAACTTGTTCGAACGGAACAGTTTGTCAAGACTTTGTAAAAAAACTGGAATTGTTTCCAATATCCGAATTTAAGTGATGCTAAATTGAAATAACGCGTCTTCGACAAATTAAGTTATGGAACGTCGCTCAAAATATTTTAGGCAACCACAAAAGTGAAGAATACGATACAATATATAGCAGAAGTGGTAAGAAACCAACGCTTGGGATGTTTAATGAATGAAAAATCTAATTTTTTGGATTCCCTCACGACCTACTTTCTTGAAAATTTAGATTATTATAGTGAGGAGCAGGGTGTACGCTTTCATCAATATCCGAAAGAAATTGAAGTAAGATACACAGGTGATGTTAATATGACAGTGAACATAGTTGATGTTGATTACTGAAAAGAGAAACTAATGACAGCAGTTCGAAAAGAATCCGAAACCCACTACGCAGGTCGTTCGAGTACAAAATAGTACGTGCAAATCTAAGAAATATACAGGTATAGTTTGTAGTTTGAATTTTTCCGTTCTGAATTGGGAAGAAGCGCATTAAAATGCATTGGAATGAGTTGGTACTCGTTAGTCAGCGTTTCCGCGATTTTTTAGATTTTTCAGCAACTTTTAGGGATTTACTCAATTGCTCTGGATGCTGTAAAAAAACTAATAACGGAGTTACACTTTTTTTATTTTTATTTATTTATGCCCATGTTACAAATGTTATCTAATATTTGTTTCTAGATCACGATGGGATTAGATTGTTTGCTTTCCACGGAAAAATTAATGAAGAATTGACTGGAAGAGAGGCGGGTACCTTTTCAGAAGACATATTAAAGCCGAAAAATGGTTGGTGGACATTTCATGCACCTTATCAGAAGCTGCAACCTGGTGACAAAATATATTATTGGACTTACGTGGAACATTTAGGACGGGGCTACCCTAAGGATGATCAAATGTATGAAGTGACAGGTAAATAATGTGAAATTTTAGGGGTTTATTGCAAATTAGAAACAAAAATATTTGAGTTTTTAACTCACATTGTGGACAGTGACAGTTTCCCAGCAGTGTTTTCATTTCGCGAGGCAGTCTAGGAACAAATTTTGTTAACCTTCCAATTTTTTTTTTATGTATCTTGGTCTTTCAAATAATTTACCTGGATTGTACACAATTATATTAGTCGTAAATTTTGATATCAGTACTTTATCCAAATTTTAAGCACATATAATATACAGGGTGTCCCAAAAAAAGATTCAGATAAAAGTTAACTAAACGAGGTCAGAAAAAAAAATGAGTTTTTGAAGGTGAAACTTAATTTTTCTCTGAATATCTCGCCAAGAACGTTTTGAGCAAAATTTATAGTAATTTGACTGAAAAACTAGACGATGACCTTGGTTTGACCTAAATATGATCAGTCTCCAGAAAGGTCTTCTATCACATTATAATTATTAACCCAACGTGTCGAGTTTCAAAAACGTTAGTCTAATAGTTTCAGTCGATTGCATTTATTAAGTTCTATCATATCCCTTTTTTATGAAACATTTGTTTGACCTTGCAACTTGTGTTGGAGGTCAAATCCAAAGTCACCATCTAATTTGTCAAAATCCTACAAATTTTAGTTGAAACGTTTTCCTCTACAATAGGCGTCATGAAAGATTTTGAAAAACTGGTCTATGATGTTCGGAAGTATTTACTATTTCCAAAAAATATCTTATTCCTGTAGAAAATAAAAGGTTTAGTAGAAAAAACTTACAGTTTTCCTCACTTCATCCTCCAATATTCTATTGCGTTTCATGGCCGATGCATCTGAGATTTTTCCTTCCATTATTAACGTGGTCAGAGTTGCATCATTGCTTTTGCACCAACTAAATTCAAAAGCTCGTGAGGCCGTCACTCTGTCATATCTTAACTCATGCCAACAGCTTTGATGTAGGTCTCGTCTCTTCTTCAACTTTCGTGTCATCTTCATCACTCAATACGAGTTTTTTCAAAAATGTGTCGCAGGACTGTTCTTTGTATTTCAACACCAATTTATGCATGGATAAACATTTGGTCACAAACATAGTCTTTTTGATATTTTATTAACTCGTAGTTGTTGAGCTTTCCTTTCTTTCCATCTTCCAGAAACTTTTCAAATACCTAACGTTTCCTGATTATGGTGTTGGTAACACAAAACTAAGCAACTGATAGTTGAAAAACACAAAATATTTAAACGAAGAAACTGCGGATATTGTCGAAGTACAAATGGAACTAAATGACATTTACATAGATGTGACGTAATTCGCTCTGATTGGTGTTCAACCTATCATGGCGGTTTGCTGTATTTTGTAGTTTTATTTTATCAAAAATATTATCAATTTCGCTCGTAATACAAAAATAAATACGTTTTTTATAATACATGAATCATATTTCATTAGATAAATACATAATTTTAGTGATTCTTGGTTACTGTCATCATGCCTATTCTATCTTGTTATGGATAGATGTTGCTAGTATCATAGTGGTAATAGTTTAAATAACTAGATGGATTTCACTGGGTCTGATGACACTTACAGTATATGATAATTCAATAAACAAAGAAATCTAAATAAAAAATTCAGATCAATTTGGAACGAATACACTGAAGATGAATTTTTCGAGACAAAACGTTTGAATCTGGTTCGGGCTGAGGCAGTACAGTATTGGGGGTCATGAAGGCTTGCAAAAAATGTAATAAAATTTTTAGGGTCGCATTTAAAAAAATGAAGTTGGTGATGGTCCTGGAGAGACGAAAAGTTACATACAAAAATTGATTATGCCATTCGATAGAGGGCAAAAAGTGGCCATGAGAAAGTGTTCTTCCTTTTTCAATATCATTTCAAACAAGGCTGAAATGAAACAAAAACGGATTTCCAAAATTTCGTTTATTTTTTCAAATATTTCGAAAACTAATCATGTTAGCTTTGATTTTTTAGAAGCATAATGTTGGTCCCCTGATTACGCAACTTTCCTCCCATTTAAGCTACTTCGTATCTCTTACCGTTTGCCATGCCTATATTTACTTGAGTCGCTTTATTTAGTACATAAAAAATTACCAAACTTGCCAACACATTCCAGCATTCACAAATATAGCACTAGGCATGGTGGGGACCTTGTGGTTCTTATCTCTCGAATAAATATGACAAAAAATAACAAACTATATTACATATATTTTATATTACTTTTTTACAGAATTAATTCCAAAACCTACTTCAAGCCCTACAAGGCCAACAGTTACAACTTCACCACCAGTGGCGCCGATAGTTACATCAAAACCTGTGGGGGAAACTGGGTACAGCAGTTGTCAGAGTACACCAACAAAATTCAATAATGGTAAAGGAACATGCAAAGGAAAATTATTATATTCTCATGGTTTCTCAAGTCAGGTGATAGAGAAATATTGGACGGTAGCACAGCAATTTGCTGGTTCTCCCGTACGTTTCAAAACTGATTACTTTATACTATTTACGCATCCTTCTACGAATTTTGACATTACTAATCTTATTTTCTCTTATTTTAACAGTTTCTTCTTCTTCTTCTTCTTCCGTAATATTTGTGTAAAATAACAGGGTTCGTATTTTAAAATGGCTTCAGGCTACCCTTTGGGGCATAAACTGCAGCATCGCTAGCCTCCGAAACAGTTTAGTTCTTCTTTCCCTGCACTACTTCTCTTTTTATTAAAAGAATGGTTTGATTTGGTGGTAGTAGTTACTAACACCTTGCAAATATGTGTAATTTCAGAAACGGTAGACATATTACTATTTTTAAAGCAACGTACATTTCAGGATTACGAATTCGTTATATACGTTAATCGACCAGAAACAATACAAATAGTAAATCGAAAACTTAAAATGAAACCAGTTTTGAGTGAAGATATTTATGGAAGTGGTTTTGTTACCGGTGATTTTAACTTGGGAGAAAAGTAAGTATGTCTGTTTCAAGCCAATTTGTATTTACACGTGCATGAGTACTTGAACAAAAAACATATTAATTTTTAAACCAGTAAGTAGTAATAAGAATAATCGTGAAAATATAAATCTTTAAAAGGCGGGTTCTACATCTGGTAAGTCAAACATTTTTTTGATACGCTTAGACAGCTTCAAGCTCTACGAAATATCAACGGTATAATCAGACAAGTTCTACTTCTCAAATATATTAAAATAAAATACTGAAACTTGGAAGATGCGGCAGTATAATATCATTAAACATGTCAGTTATGATAAATATTACATTTATTTATTTTTCTTGTAGTAATTTCGAATAACCATAATAAGCTGGTTTGAATACTACAGGGTGTTCCGCATAAGAACCGACACAGGGCAGGTGCATGTAGGGGTTTCCAAAATATTGTAATTTAACCAAACTTATCTATATACAAGTGAGGCCCTAAATTTCGAAAGAAAATAATATCTCTGCAATGCTTTAGCGCAGAAGAACCAAATTTGGTACATGATTTAGGTTTATTACTGGTCTTCTTTGACTATGATTTAAAGTTAATTGAAGCACTGCAAGGTGTTCATTGGGGATGACTCACCCGTAAAATTGTTCAGAACTTTTTTTTCATAGACCGAATTGAAAAATAATAATATTAATTCACAGCAGAATTTAACTTTAAAAATTTTGTTACTCTTGTTAAATTTTAAAAAACTATGATTTTCAAGAAAAACCGAATTAACTGAAACAAGATTTTAACAGTGTTTATTAGAAAATAATCGAAAAGTCAGTACTTAGTTAAATGCAAAATATTATTTCAGTTTTTTTTTCATTTATTCCTTAACAAATGCAAATATCCTTACAAAACTTTGGGGTTTGAAGTTCTTTGGGTAGAGGAATTGAAATCTATTCACATTTTGGTTAAAGTTCATAGAGGGCACTAGTAGATTGAATGTGTTAAAAACGACATAACTTTTTTATACTTTAAGGTTTTCATCTTTAGTATCAAATTCTTATTTTACAACTTTTTTACGCAAAAAGGTCTACTTTATGAAAGTAGCCATCTCGCACCGTTTTCGAGATATTTGGCTACCCAAAGAACTCCAAACCTCAAAATTTTGTGTAGATATTTGCATTTGTTAAGGAATAAATGAAAAAAAAACTGAAATAATATTTTTCATTTAACACTCTGTATCTCTTTAACTATCAACTTTTAGACTAAGGTATGTTCGGCTAAATCGCAATATTTTTGCTTGGGGAATCTACCCATGAATTTTGGCCCATTACCTCGGGGCCACCCTACATATTCTACACATCCATCTACTATAAAAGCGGCGACCGCAGCGAATTTTAATCGGTTATTTTTGGGTCCCCCCTCATATATGTAAAAGTTTATAATAATGATTATATAAAGGGTGGTTCTGAATTGGCTCTCATTATTGGAAACGAAAAGGGTAAATAGACTTTCCAGACATAATAATGTTAAAAGTCCCAAGAACGAATACATGAAGTATTATAAAAATATTTTCTAAAGAATTTGAAATAAATTAGGTGTACCTTGAAAAGTGTCAAATATTCAAAAAAGACTATAATACAAGACTCTTGCGCAACCAGTGGCAGAGGTACTGGGAGACTCCGGCGTTAAGAATGTCAAAATTTCGATACTACTGAGTATTATGTAATTACGATATTAATAAAGTTTACTTATTTCTCAACATGTCTACTTTATTCAGAGCTGCAGTATTGAAACTAAAAATAACTTTTTTCCACGCAAATTCTTTACATTATTTGAACATTATCTTACAAATACATGCAATTAATACTTAATATGTTTATTTCTAAGCTGTACAGGTACAACCGGTTCACTAGATTGCGTCGTGCGACCTGATGGAGGATTTATTTTACCACCTGTGTTATCTTCTCAAATAAGCACCAAGAGAAAATTCTCTTTTAAATACGGAACTATTGAAATCAAAGCTAAACTCCCCAAAGGCGACTGGATATATCCAGGTGAGGTTACCTATAAATGAGTAATTCTTAAATAAATTCATCAAGTTACCTTGTTTGACGAGTCACACAATTATACCTAACACTAAAATAGGAGCTATGTGAACCAGTATGTTAATCTGGGTAATCTTTGGCAAATATTAACTTAAATAAATACAGAATTTGTTAGGTTAGTGACTATATGATAATTAACTACGAGAAAGTGAAAGAGGTGCATTGTGTCACTTTCCTAAACAAAGGATAAATCTGCATAAAAAATTTTCGCTTTTTTCAGGAAATGATCAGAAACAACTTCAAGTTCATGTTCAGGTGATAAAAATAGAATGTAGAGTAGAAAATATCGAGATGAGTAGCTGTGCTATTTTTCTGCAATGTCTTCGACAATGTCTAAGTTCCACGTGGCCAGATTGCGTTTCGCGTCTCTTTTGTAAATTATGTTTAACAAATTACCAAAGAAAGTCCCTAACTAGAATCTTAAATCAACTGTCTGTGCTATTCTTCTGTAGTGTCTTCAACAATATCCAAGTCCCACGTGATCAGATTACTTTTCACGTTCAGGAAATTTATTTCTTTAAGTTGGAACTTAACAAATTACCAAAGTATAATCACTGACTAGGACTCTAGATCAAATGTCAATCCAAGAACGTTTCTAACTTATACTTCGACATTTGTAAATTGAAGCGTTTGCCAGGATTTCTGTGTTACCTACAAATTAATTATTATCTGATAAGTAGGCTTAGTGCGGCACGGAGTTTAACAGGACCGTAGTCAGATTACGAATGAAAATATTAACATGTTTACAGAAAATATGTCGCGTCGCATAGTACTATTACCTAAGACGATAAAATGCCTATATAAATTTAAATGACACCCCTTACCCGAAACACCTTAGTGTTGAGACAAGGCTTGCGTGGCATATTGGAAGGAGTTAAAACATATTACTACGTGCTATTCTAAGTTTTCTTTAGTGAAACGGCGATGTTTATCGCTTAACTTGTGTAGGGAAAATGACCGTTCAACGTCTACTGTTGACAACGGACAGTATGAGAAATTTTTGAGGTATGAACTATATATTAATATATTTGCTGGTAACTCCTGATCTGTACCAGATAAAACTTTACATTAATATATCTTCCAAAATGGTGTATCCTGAATATTTTCCAACACTCTTTGCATTTTTTCTTTTATCGTACTACTGACTGGGCGTATATATTTTTTTATACATCATCCATTATATCAAAATGTTCATTTAGGAATAGTCCATGTGAATTTGGCGTTCTCTAATTTGTTTAATGGAATATTGCTTGAAAGAAAGGCGCCTGTAAGTTCATAGAAAAATACAGAGTACAAATCGGGTCATTTCCTTTAATACGTGTATCCCTGTAGCCTTCGGGATCACTGTCAAACCACATCTGAAATAATTCTTTGCTCTTTTGGTATTTTACTTCACTTTTCTCCCCAACTAATAGTTGTTAATGTAAATTATGTTACTATTTATAAATAGTTATTTAAATACACACCAGGAATGCAATTTACAGCAGAAGTAAAAAAGAAAGGTCTCGACGCGACACCAACTACTACAAAGTTCCGTAAATAACTGAACAGTTCAAAATCCGAGTCAGCTGTGAAGGCCATCGACCCTCGCGCCGACTCTGTTAGACTCTGCACGTGCACTAAGCCTATTAATAAGTATTAGATCCAAAAAATAGTTTTTTTTTCAGAACTGAGAAAATTCGTAGCGTTTAATTTTAATTAAGCGGATATTTTAAGGTTATGCTTTATTCACTTTACATTCTTGTAGATTTATGAAAAACATCGTTTATACAAGAACAACCCGCATTTCTTAATGGGAATTTTCCAGTGATAAAAAGAAATTCAAATTGAAGTTGGTTTTACTAAATGCAGTCGTGCATGGAACAATTTTTTGAAGTATATCATGATGTTAACATTGCATACTGTGTATGTCTGACTCTCTTATTAAAAGACATAAAAGAAAATTCTATGTGAGCAAGAGCAAGTCCACAGTCTAATAAATTAATAAGTTTTCATAATATATTGCTGAATGTTTGAAGAAATGTGCCATTCCTTCAGTATTTAATTTTTATTTGTTAACATATAAAAGTCTGCAGCTTGTGGGTGCCAAGAAAAAGGATATTAGCATCATTATTTTTCCAATAAATAATACCTACATAACCATTTTACAGTCTGCAATGATAACAATCCATGATGCTGAGGTGCAACGAGGATCTGCAAAAGGATGGATACATTCTGTAGCAGAAACTATACGATATTTATAGGAATTTTATGGTGGTAAATTGACTACTAAGAGTATGTACGAAGTTCTGATGTCACACCGTTGAATATTTGTTTGTTTGGCCATATGAATAATTATAACATTTTTTTGAAGTTTTGGAAGAATCGGTTCGACATGAAGTAAATATAAACTTCCTTCCAACAGTTAGACGCAACCACATTTGATTCCAAACGATGATATTTGAATTTATGTAAGCATTATATCGGAATGCGCATGCGTCCGACTGTTGAAAACTATTTTGTATTGCCCTAGGAACACAGCTATGTCGTTGTGAAACACTTTGTATAATAACAGAGATCCTTGTGATGGTTATGTAAAAGAAATTAAAGAGTATTTGTTTCTATAATAGAGTGTGTGAAATGTAGGAAGAATTTTTATTACTGCAATAATATTCATTGTTTGCCCCGTGTGAAGATATAATTTTTATTGGAAACACAGTATTTTAGTCAAAAGTAACTTTAAGTAATTTGTCGAGTTCTTATTAAGACTAAAACACTGTAGGGTATAATCTAAATATGATTCAATCAATCACGTATTGTCAATCATTAATAATAAAACACATTTGAATTCACCTACCTACTTCAGACATAGTACAGCTAAATCCAATTATTTTTTATGTTTTCAGAGCTCTATTTGAATTCAGCAAATGAAGATTATGGACCTGGCTACGGCTCAGGTCAGATAAGAATAGCTTTTGCACCAGGCAACTCCGACTTAAATCAAATGTTGCAAGGAGGGATTATATTAGGGGACAGCGTTGCAGCTAAATCTTACGGAATGAAAACCGTCCAGAAACAGACAGGCTGGTCGAACGAATATCATACATTCAAAGTCACCTGGAAGCCAGGTATGTTTAAAAAGTCATTTATTGTCTATTTGTGTAGCAAAAGGTTATTACATTAATTCAAATCGTTCTTTATCAACTTGAGAAGCAGTTGTTGTGAAACATAGTGCTTTCAAAATATGTAATTAAATTAACTCAACAATTGGTTGAACAATTTCCGGGCTGATTGCTGCTTTCTTCTTCAGAAAAAAGTTTGAAACTGGTAATTAAGTCCTCTCGTTGGTACTAATTTTCGCTGCGTGCACTAGTTCATGTCGTTCTGGTGCATGGCTTGTAAGTAGTCATTGGTTCTTGACCTTTACGGATGGGTTGTTTTCAAATTCTAAATATTCTAGATCCTCCTTTCGATTGAAATACCTGAATCTTCCGGATTTCCATTACCTCTTTGTAGAGTCTGGCCAAAATCTTTCCTGTCTCATTAAAATTCTTCTGTATTTGTTATTATTCAAGTGACACTTGTACTGCTTTAACTTTTCTGAGTTGTAGATTGTATTAATATTATATTTAAGATACGGCCTATTTTTTCAGTACATGCTATCGTATAGGGCAAATATGTTGTAATCAGTATTTCATTTTTCTTAGGTTTCCTCCAAGAGCAGTAAGTGCTGTTGCTTCTCGTCTAACATTCAACACATTGTTTCTAGGCTGGGTGGTGATAAAACTCATTGTTCAGATAACTAGCCGTGTGAGTAAGCTTTCTTTGGTACTTTGAAATAGAGTTGATGACACAGGTACTCCAAGTTGTTCATAAAACTTATCCATCTGGACCTTTGTCAAATCCACTAAATTATTCTTATCTTCTGCAACGACCTTTCCATGCAATTTTTCTAAACATTCCTTATTTGGTAATTTTGTTAACAACAATGCTACGTCAAAACTCACTAGCATTTCATCTGGATCTAGTTGGATTTTCTTGGTTTTGTCAATAAAATCTCCATTTTGACATGGGGTTCCGTCTTTTCACTAGGTTTTTCATTTGGTGTCATAGGTACATTCATATTTGGAGCAGCATATTCGGCTTGCGAACTCCTAAGACCAAGGAGAAAGAGCAAAATCTACCAACAACGTTTTAGTACTATCTAAAAGGATGTACTTACAAAATAATTTTAAGGAAATAAAATGTTAACTTCAACTACAACACCTCAAGGAGATAGAGACCGCCTTTCGCAAGACCAGTAGCAAACACGATCTGCACTAAGGCTTCGGCAATCCGTGTATTTGGAATATGGAATAATTCATCACCAAATATCAAGGACTAAAACGACATGGATTAATGATTACAAGCGTGCACTGGAACACCATTGATCAGTGTACTACCAGAGGACCTAATTTCCAGGTTCAGAGTTTCTTTTGAAGAAGAGAGTGATATGTCTCTCGAAACGTCACAAAGTCTAAACTCATGACGTGGCAACCATCCCAGAAACTGTTTTCATAGACACTTGGCACGGAAGTCTGCAATTCAAATTAAATTAAACTGGTTTATTATCCATGCTCTTGGATTATTTCGGTTTATAGCAAATTTTGACAAATAATTTACCCATTATTATTAGCTAATTAATTTCTTCAGTAACGTTTCATTTTATGTTATTACCAAGGGAGTAAAAATAAAATAATACAGTTTCATTGACTATTTGGAAAAGTAACATTTTTTTGGAATATTATGTTCCTCAAAAACTCATTTTTAGGAGCACATATTGAAAGATTTCTTATCATAGGAACGGTTTTGGTTGAATGTTCGTTAAATATATCTGACTGTATCGGTTTAAAAATTTCATTTGTTCCTGAAATAGAAATATCTAACACATTCATTTTACAGAGAGCATTATTCTGGCTGTTGATGGCAAAACATATGGAACTATTTATCCCCCTTCTGATGGTTTCGTCAGTTTAAGCTCTAACCTGCAAATTAAAGATGCGCATAGATGGAGGAGTGGTACAACTTTAGCTCCATTTGATAAAGAGGTAAATTTGATCTTTGCTATTATTTTTTTATATATGTTTTCCGCCACAAAAATATATATATTATGCAACTGTCTATGTCACAGTTACATCAAGTTCAATATCATTTGTAATATTTCAATTTTAAATTTGATTCGTTGCACTAATTACCACAAATGAACAACGTAGCGCCTGGTATGTTGTAATTTTGTATGCATTTTCGCTAAACAAATTTCTAGGGTTATTATATTGAAAAAAAGTTTAAATCCTACTAAAACGTGTAAGGAAGACGTATAGAACTGATTGATATGAGCTTTGTTGCAGATGTACATAACGTTAGGCGTCGGTGTTGGTGGATTTAATTTTGAAGACAGAACTGACGGAAGCAAGCCGTGGAGAAACGGTGCGCGATCGAGTATGAAAGACTTCTACAACGCCCGAGAACAATGGTCCAGTACGTGGAACAGTGACAACGCTTTGGATATTGCCCTCGTTAAAGTTTGGGCCCTTTAATGTGTTCCTGCTGGATTTATTTAACTGTTTCACATCTTCTGACTCGTCATAAATTATTGCTTCCGATCAAGGAAGTCAGTAGTACCATGACTTTTATGTACTGAAATATAGATACGTTTTTATTTGACTTTTCATTGATTATGGGGCTAAAAAGACAAAAACTAAATGCATCAATATTATTTGTTTAGTGACTATACCACTACAAACAGATTTTTTTTATTAAAACCGTTTATCTACATTTTTTTTATTGAACGCTTCCGAGAACCCTTCTTTTTAATCAGTCGCCCATTAGACACAATTAGATTCTAGAGTTCCACGATCTCAGAACCACTTTCATCTTTCCTTTCTATAAAACTCAAGACATTATCTAAGATTTATCGGTAGGTATTGTATATTAATTTTGATAAAACAGATCATAAAGAATTTATTTTTGTAAAGTAATCACAGCGTTCAAAAGCTATAAGATACAATTTTCCGTTAGTATCTATTTCCTTTTTTTTCATGATATTTTTTTATAAGAATATTGAGGTAGACAGAATTGACCCTAAACTATACTACTACAAAGAATTAAAGGAACAATATTTCATAAACATTTTAGTGATTTCTGAAAAGCTGTTTTGAAGCCGTTTTGAAGCTTGTAGTCTCTAGTTTCAAGTCCTTTTAACAAAAAATTTTTTGAGCTATCGAGGAATCAAATGATATACTTCGCAAAAAAAATTTCCGTAGGACTATTGGTACCGAGATATTGATGGTTGAATGAAAAAATACTTTTGTCTTTAATCATCGATATCTCGGCAACAATTATTGCACATTTAATTCAAGGGCGGTTTTCAAAACTTGAATAAATTCTCTACAAGGATTCATGGTTCATGGTTTGTGAAGAAAACATTTTTTTTCATCCTTAACATTAATTTGAAAAAAGTAGTAAGAAATTTAATTTTTATGATTTTTTTAGAAAATCTTGCGCTAACTTACAAAAATTGATGAAAAAACTAATGCTGGGAGAAAATTTTACAGCTCAATATACCAATAATAACCCCGTAAATTGACAAGTTCATCTATCCAACCTTTTTTCTGTTCTAAATGATCAAAGTTTTGGAAAGAGAAACACGTTTTTTGCTCTTAAACATTATGCAATTATTATAAAAATAAAAAAGAGGAATTTGTGTCAGCTTTATCCACAATTTTACATTAGAGATCGCCTAATTAAAAAAAAAAACAAAATTTTCAAAAATATTTTATTTGAAAAATTATTTTTTGTTATTCAATTATATCCACTTATTTTTTATGGTTATTGTATAGTTCAGTGTACCGAGCTATACAAATTTCTCTCAACATTAATCTCTTCATTAATATTTGCAAATTAGTGTCAGATTTTCTAAAAAACCGTAAAAAGACATTTTCTCGCACTTTTTTGAAATTCATGTCAAGAATGGAAAAAAAATTATCTGTTCACGATAGATCCTTGCAGAAAATGTATTCAGGTTTTAAAAACCGTCCTTGGATTTATTGTGCAATAATTTGTTGCTGAGATATCGATGATTAAATAAAAAAGTCATTTTTTCATTCAACCGTCAATCTCTAACCAATACCAATACCATAACCAATAGCAGTAGGAAGGCCTTTCAAAAAGCAAGTTGATTTTACAAGGTAATTGGCTCCTACATTGGTTGACCTTTCCTGTCAGTGGACAGACCAAAAAAAAATATATGAATTTTGCTATATATTGGTTTGCCGTCCCTATACACAAATTCACCTTACCCATGTGTCTTGGAAAATATAGTTTTCAAGCTAGTTCATTTATAACGTACTTAAACATCCCTAATCAAGGAATGCCCAGGCCAATTCTATTCGACACTGAAAAGTGTAACCTATGATCAAAATTACTCCGATCGGATCACCCCTGCGCCCAGCGATCGCGACGGAACATTTGTTACACTTTTAGCGTTACACTAGACTGCCAATGTTAATAATCTCCTGTCAAAATTTGCTACAAAAATTGTGGATTTAATAAAACTATAGTGTTATTAATAAATCTATTTTACTACGTTTTAAAGTAATAATAAACTGATGATGAATTAACGATAAACTGAATGAATGTGTGGCAATGTCTATAATTGTATATTTATTAGAATAACTGAACCATCATTTTATATTTTTTCAAGGTCTTTAGATGCTAAAAATAATTAATTGTGTATTTCTCGGTTGAATAGCTAACCGGATATTGTTTTTAAAAATAAAACTTGGTAAGTGCGGTTCGATTGGATTTTACATTCAGGAAATAATTCTTCCAAATACGTCATAATGAACGTTGCCTGAAGCGTTTATTGTTCATATCACGAATATTTATGAATTAATTATGGTACCTATTACAATTTAATCAAACCAAACAATTAAATATCTTAAAAGATGAAGGCCTGTAGCTTTCTTTAAGGGCCCCATATTCTTTAAATAGTGTTTTCCGCAAAGACAAACAATTTCAAACATTTAATAACTGAATAATGTAAAGCTTGTCGAATAATAGGAATTTTATGTTATGCCACCTGAGTATTTTCAAATACGCCACAGTAAAACGAATAAACAGGTGCAAAAAACGATCAAACCATCAAGGTTTTAGGTACTGAAATCTACGAAAATACTAACTTTTTTATATATAACTCCACATGTAAATAGTCTTATAACATTTACTTGCTTAGTCCTACATATAAAATTGTTTACTTTTATTTGTAAGTAGGTACGTGAAAATAATTCTTAAAATGTGGGATTAGGAAAACAGAAAACGCATGTTTTACAAAAGCTTTTTTTAGTTATTATTTTATTTGGGTAAATTTAAATGGTAACAATGAATAAACAAAACATCAAGGATTTTATTTTTGTGCTTACTTTTGTTCTACACGTTTTACTTTTCAAGATTTCAGTACCTAAAAATGCCAGAAATTTCACCATTTCTCGGCCAGGGATATGGCCACCTTAAGAAGCAACAATTGCATTGAAGTGATTGACCGGAAGCTGTTTATTTTCATTCAAGGAAGATATCCTTGAAGCATAACCCATTAACTTTTGAAGGTCTTGTTTAGGGAGTTCGAGAATTAAAGTAAAATTTTAGGGTCTATTGCTAGTCTAAAGGTAAGAGGGTCATTGCGAATATAATGCTTCTTTATAAACAAAAGATGTTCACGTCAAAAAAATGTGAAGTTAATAGTTTATCTTTATACTCTAAAGTTTTTTTTTACCAAAATTAGAATGCCCTCGGAACAAATAAAATATTTTAATAAAATTATCCAAAAAACTTGATTATTTTGCTTTTTTTTCATTATTTATTGCTATTTTGCAGCAACGGCAATACATTTAAACATTTTTACCTTAAAGTATATTATGCAAAATTCATTTCTAAAACTTTTTTTCTTCTTGAATATTCTTCCAAAATGCATAGGTTCCAAGATATAAATAAAAAACTCAGATAAAATAGGTATTTTTTATCTATATAAGACAAGGGTTTAAAGGGTTTTAAGTTTATTTATGAAAATATAATATAATTTGCTGAAGTTCCACTAACTATTTATTAAATTGAATTAAATTAATATTTTTCAATATTTACTAATCTTCAATTTAAAGAAACATAAAATGCTTTGTTCTTCCTTTATAACAATTTAGGTGATATTGAATTTTAGAAAAAAATATATATATAAAAGCTACATATATATTTGTTTATTGAAGTAGAGAAATAAAGGAACAACAATTATTACTGATTGGACCATAAGTTCAAACTACTGGCAAAAATAAATGTTTTAAATCCTTATTGCAACAAATTATTCTGTATTCATCGTTATCTTATAACATAAAAGTTAACCTTGAACTAAACAGATTTAGCGCCTGAAAATGTAACGTACCTACTACCTACTACCTATCAGTTTATCACAGTTTTTTTTTACACAAAGTAAAACATTCTTTGAAGTTATTATACCAAGTGAGAATACCAATGTTTAATTGTTAGGGGAGATACTACGTCGTGCTTTTATAATTATATCGCTGATTGAATGAATATTGTATATTTCACTCAACCGTTGTATGAACACAGCTTGCTATTTATACGGACGCAAAATATCTAATATAAATGATATTTACAAACCAGAAAAAAATTACAATATTTGATTAGCGGTAGTTTATTAATCATATTACCCATTTTATTCTCGGTTAAAGTTCAGAGAAGCTACATAAAAATAATTTTAATTTGTCACAATGTTATTAATACTTCTAGTTTCTCTTAATTTGCAAGAAGGGAGTAGTTCTGATTGCTCAGCTCCTAGTGTGACAACGGTTAGTGGGACACATGCTCCTCAAGGAAAGATTTGCCCAGGGGATTTGATATTCCAGGACAATTTCGATGACTTCAAACTACCTGTTTGGCAACACGAGCTGACACTGGGGGGAGGAGGCGTAAGTACTTTCTTTATATTTTACATACAACTACTATTGATGTATTTGTTTGGATAATCTTAATGAATTTAAAATATATTAAATTCCGATTTTGTTCCTTTGAATATTCAAGTGTTGTCTTACAACTGTAAATTGTGCATTTTTAATGAAAAAGTTCATTTTTTCCGGGACGATATTCATATAATAAATGGATTTTTAAATGATTATTTTTTTCATTCATTTAAAGTTCATTTTTTCCGGGATGATATTGATGTAATAAATGGATTTTTAAATGATAAAAAAGACACGGCTTTTTGTATATAAAAATATCTGTTTGTGATAATAATAATAATAAACGAAACTCTTCCTTTTTTTATCGAATTTCAATTTTTTCTATGTATTATTTGCACAATGCTATTATATTCGTTTTATTGTTCTTATGGCCTGTTGTACAATTGTTCTTAAATTTTCTTTCTGTTTTACAACAGCTACAGTTTATGCAAGAGAAGAAATATAACAAAATAATAACAAAAATTAAACTAAACTTAAAAAGATATATGTCAATATAGTTTAACGTTTTTGGAAAAGAGAAGAATTTTATTATTAGTCCTTGAATTTTTATCCTATATAATGGTAAATTCAAAATTCTAAAAGGATTGTCCCATTTAGCAATAGCAGTAAATAGTTAATAATTAATAATTATGGAAAATAAAAACATGTTATTAATATAAAAATACATCTGAAATAGTACATTTGTTAAATAATGCAATCTTTCACGGAAATATCTTGTATTTTTGTTGTTCTAACACCATACTCGATGAAGACCAACACATAAAAGTAATTATTATAGGAAGAATCCCACATTTAGTAAGATTTTTTGATAGTAGCTATTTTTACGTATTGGAATTTATCAAGAGAGATTTTAGAATAAAAAAAATATAAGATATTTCTCTGAAAGGCTGTATTATTTAACATCTTCGCTATATTAGGCATGTGTCTCTATATCACATATCATTTTTTAATTTTTCATCAGTCATTCTTAGGAATGTTTTTTTTCAGTTTATTTGAATTAGCTTAATATTTTTGTAATGGATTAAAAATAGTTCAACATTGTAATAACAGGAATATATTATAGAAAATAACAGAAAACTTTGATTAATAAATTTAACGATATGAAATTAGAAATAGTACGAATAAATGAGAAAAATAACAAAACTTTTAAAGTCATATTTAACTTGACGATGATGTAAATGAAATTGGAGATAATAAATTTCAAGTATCGTGTAATTTTTTTTGGTTTTTATTTTAATTTATTCAGAATTGCTTATCTCCACATATCTCCTTGTGAGTAAGATCCACTTCATATTTGTGGAAGGGCGAAATGGGCGGTGACTATGAGACGCCTTCATTATAGCCATCCTTCTCTATCGCATGGATTTCTATGTCTTACTTTATCGCTCTCACGCAACGGCAAATCGACCATCGGTACTTTTCGAACCTGTATACAATCATTTCACCAAAACTATTCAATTTTGTATTAAACAAACGATACATTAATTTACAATACAAAACATGTTTCTATAAAATCTATGTAGATCATAAAATTAAGAATGGAATTCGTTTAACCGTAAGTATCAAATATTTATTTTAAATGCTGCCTATTTTTAAAGTAAGAAACTATATTTCTGGGTAGAAATTTAAAGTATTTAAATAAATAAATAAATAATTTTCTTGAATAAACAAAATATTTTCTTGTGTATATACAGGGTGTCCCGCATAAGAACCGACACAGGGCGGGCAGGTGCATGTAGGGGTGTACAAAATATTGCAATTTAATCAAACTTACTTATATATAAAGTTGCACCCTGAGGAATTATTAGCCCCCAAACTGGGACCCTAAGTTTCGAAAAAAAATATTATCTCTGCAACACCGTCGAAGAACCAAATTTAGGTCTCCTTTCTGCTATAAATTATTATTATTATTTTTCAATTCGGTCAATGAAAAATGGGGGCTAATAACTCCTCAGGAGTGCAACATTGTATATAGATAAGTTTGGTTAAATTACAACATTTATGCGGGACACCCTGTATAAACATGCGATCCCTTAAAATCAAATGTAGTACATTTGAAGCAAGAATTTTTTTTGAGTGTACGGCCCAGAATTGTTAGCACAATTTTGTAGTTTTAAATGTAGGTATTACTGTTTGAAATGTTTGAAAAATACAATTTATCGATAAATATACCCGTTTAAATATTTCGATTATAGAAAATTTCAGTGAATCAAATAGATTCACTTTTATAAAAAATACTGAGGTGAACGTTATTTTAGAATTGGGAATTCCAATGGTACAACAATAACAGGACTAATAGTTATGTCGAGAATGGTATTCTGCACATCAAACCAACTTTGCTAGCAGATGAAAAAGGAGAAAGTTTTTTGTATTCTGGGACCTTGGACGTAAACGGGGGATCACCCGCAGATCAGTATGTTTTTTAATTGCTTTATAATGTTGTAATTAAGATTGAATTTGTTATGGTGTAACGAAGCATACAACACTTACACTGAGAGAGTGTAAGACTTCTAATTCAAAGCCAAAATCTATGTTTATTATGCTGGATATTTTTTAACCACATTGAATTATAGGCTTTAGAAGCTCTATTATGTCACATGATTTTTAAATTAATTTTTAATCATCAAAAAACCCTCATTGTCGAATTCAGATTAAATTTTAATAAACTAATAATATATCGGTTATTATCATATATAAATGCACTAATGAATAAAAAACAAGTAAAAATCGTGTGTATCAGACATTTGCTAAAAGAATATTTTTTAATTGAATCCTCTGTTTATGATAGTACTTGATAGTCTACACTGAGGGAAATATCATCTAGCCCCAAGTAGAAATCGATTCTAACAAAATTTCTGTTTAAAATAGCCTTCAGAAATGTTACGATGTTGCCATAATAAAAAATATTTTGCTAAAGGAGTCTGTTAGCGGTTAAAAAGTTTTTTGCTAATTTTTTATTTATTGTTGGCAAACTGTCTTCTCATTGACAGATTATAGTACCAAAGGTACTACAGTATAATTTGACGAGTTTTATGACAATACCAGCAAACACCTACCTCCTTCTACAAATAAATGACTATTTAGACACAAATAAATAATTTGTTTTCCATAACTATGTGCACTGAACTAGATTCAATTATTAACTTTGTATTATTTCCTTTCATATTCATAAATTTACAAGTAAAAAACAATATATCTATATTGGACAGTCTCACCATCTCTTTCTTTGTACTTTTAACTTTTTAAATGTAAAACAAAAATTATGGGCCAAATTATAATAGAAAAAATCTTCTAGTAAATCATAGATTTGAGGTAGTGAAATCGTATTAGCAAAATCTTTTTTAAGTTTGGTATATGATGTTTTAACAGTAATAAGAAAAAATTTATTATAGATTACACAGGTCTACAAAAGAAGTGGTTGTGTTCTTTCTAGAACTAAGCTAAGGGTCATTTCCAAAGTAATTTTTTGCATAGATCAGAATTGTTCCATCACGAGATATTCTAACCTAAAAGTGCGAAATCGCTGTTTTTGCTATATTTGACCTGATCGCGAAATTTTTTTTTTCTACAAACGAGTTATGCCATCTAAAAGTAGAACTCTTACCCTTCAAAATGCCGTTTTCAAATTTGAAAAACAATTTTTTTTCTCGGAGATACCATTACTTAAATGAAGTTTAGTACTTCGATTTCATAACAGCAGTATCAAAATTGAAAAATGTTCTTCGAACAGCGAATGATATATATACAAAATTATAATTTTGATGTTGGATTCGGATTCAGCGACCCAAAAATCATAGGAATGTATATCATTAGCTGTCCGAAGAACATTTTTGTACATTTGTATAAAAACATTTGTACAAGAATATTTTGTAGTTATTGTAATCCTGAAAAGTTATTTAAATATGACAATTCAGAAATTTCCTTTACAAATAATATGTTATAATTTTGTCAAGCATCTAGTAAGTTGAATTTCATACTGTTTTTTAATTTAGCCCTAACAAGAAGAGAAACTACTTTTCTGTTGGTTATTTAGCCGATACTCTACCTGCAATAATAAAGAAGTCAATAATAGGGCCACCTTATTTTAAAAGACTACACAGATTGCACAGTTGCTAATAATAAATGCCATAAACAATATATTTTAGGTGCACAAACCCACAGTGGTATGGATGTGTTCGTACTGGTAATAAAGTCCACGTCCTCAACCCTATAAAAAGCGCTCGTATTCGCACTGTTGATTCATTTGCTTACAAATATGGGAAAAGTGAGGTTAGAGCAAAACTTCCCTCTGGAGATTGGCTATGGCCAGGTAGGTACATAATTTTGGTTATAGTTTAGAATTTTTAGAAAATAAATTAAGAAACGCAAAAAATAAACAATTGTAAAGAGACAAACATTAAGAGCCTCTTTTATGTTTAATGTATACGGTGATCAATATATCCTGAAAACGCATTTTATCGAAAACCACTGAAGATAATTAAATTCCGTTAAATAGCTGTTGGACTTTTGTATTTGGGTTTTTTCTGAGTCTAAGCTTTATGCCAGCAAGTCCACGACCACCCACACCTTGAAAGAGGAAACTGAGCGTTGTACCAACGCAATTCAGCCGCATTTCACAAACTAAATGCGATTTTCTATCATTTCAGCAATATGGATGATGCCTCGTTGGAACTCCTACTCCAGCTGGCCAGCATCTGGCGAAATAGACATAATGGAAAGCCGTGGTAACAAAAATTTAGTCACCTCCAATGGCATTAATATTGGAACACAGCAGGTAGGCAGTACCCTTCACTGGGGCCCAAATCCAGACTACAATAAATTCATGCAGACACATTTCGAGAAAAATAATAAGTCTGGTTACGATTCAGACTTCCACAAATATCAATTAGAATGGACACCAGAAAAAATCGTATTTTCTCTGGACGATACAGTGATCGGAACAGTGACCCCACCAGATGGTGGTTTCTGGGAACTCGGAAACCTTGCTGCTACGGGAGTAGAAAACCCGTGGAAGAGGAACTCTAAAATGGCGCCGTTCGATCAAGAGTTCTATATCATTATAAATTTAGCAATTGGTGGAATTGGTTACTTTCCCGACGATGCTAACAATCCTGGAGGCAAACCATGGCTTAACACATCACCGAAAGCTTTAACAGATTTTTGGGAAGGTCGTGAGCAATGGCTTCCCACGTGGAATATGACAACAGATGATACTCATCTCCAAATTGATTATGTACGAGTATGGGCTCTCTAACTTCTTAGTTAAATTCAGGGTGAGTCAGGAAGAATACACGGGGGAGGATTCTATAAGGAAAAATAAAAAAATACACATATTGTCATTCGATTTTCATTTGTTTCCAACGTTATAGCGCTTTGATAAAATACCCTACAAACATTGGGTTACTTTGTATACCTCGCTTTCTAAAGTTCAATAGTATAAGGTCTTGAAATCTTGGAGTTTAATTATTAGTAAAATACTTAATTAGTACTTAAATAGAACGTTAACATTTCAATGGTTATTCAACTGAAAGTTAAGGTATCAGTAACGTTATTATAAGGGTCGTGTTCTTACTGGGAAGAAAATCAGATAATATGTTCATATAATTTTTTAACACAAACATGGGGTTTATTCATCCTTCCTACTCACCCTGTATACATAATATACAATGTTTGTATAAATGAGAAGGTACTAATAGTACCAGATAACATATTTTTAAACAAAATATACCTTCATCCAAATTGGTTTCATTTGGGAATAATTAAAAAAATATTTTTGGAAATATGAAACCAATGAACGATTATCAGATTTTGCATTAGGTACAGTAATATAATCTTCTATTGGCACAAAATGTCACCCCAATACAGATATGTAGCCTCAGATATGCAGTTATCATAACCAGACTCGTTATGAAAATAAAAAAATATGTAATTGGAAAGAATTACATTTAAGAGACAAAAATTTCAAAAATATTTTATAATTTGTACCTATACACCTTACCTTACCTTGCCTTGCCTTGCCTTACCTTACGTTAACTTACCTTGCCTTGCCTTGCCTTGCCTTACCTTACCTTACTTTAGTAACTGACCTGAAAAATTGTTTGTAATTGCGGTCAGTGGCGTAACATTTTTTGTTTTGAAGAGGTACAGCTATAATAACAGCACGCCAATGGAGTTACATATTGAGCTGAAATTTCAAGTTCTGATAGATAGTCATAGCCTGTGCAATGTAAAGATAATTTGCTCATTGCGGTTTCACCAAATGAAAATATTTGGTTAATTTTTAATTTAAATACCCTGTAGCTTTAGAGGCACATCTGGCCTAATTATCATATTTTGTCATAATATTATCTGATAATATATTTGTTTCCTCATTAAATACACCCTGTATATTTCACCTTAGGAAATTACTTATAACATATTAGTTTTAATTAAATAAATGATACGCTGATGTATACGATTTTAATTTAGATCTCTGCCTGTTTTCTAATTGTGATTAATTACAACAATAAATTAAAATACAAAAAATGTCATGATTTTTATTGATTCTGTAATTACTTTTATGAAATTTCAATTCTATGATAAGAATGTCTCTAAGACTGTAACGATTAAGGGTATAAACAGACAGCTACACATTTTAATACAATATTTGAAGAAAATTCTCACAGTACTTCCGCATTTTAATGTGGTAAGGCTTTTTCAATAAACTTCTAAAACAATATATTCAAGTGTTTTTCATGACTGTAGTTGTATCACCTGTAACATTTAATTTAATTTAGACCTTTGAATTGTTGTTTATTTTTAGTAATTTTTGAAAGTAATAATCTACTTACTATTTTCGTGAATGATACTTAACATTAATCTGATAGAGATAATATCGACATAAAATAACAGAAAACAATACATCTGTTTGAAGTATTTTGGATAAATAACACTCATAAAATTGTTTCCTATGTCAAAACCTGATTATGTTAATTTTAATCTTAAATTCTTTTTTTTTTGGCTGGTTGAAATAAATCCATAAAAACATACCCTTAAATGCCATAGTAGTGGAAATAGGTCGACGTAAAATAACTTAAGCTTAGAGCTAAGCTACTAAACTTTGTTGGTGTAATTGTCTGAGGTTAGACATATTTTGCGAGTGTCACCCTAAATTGTGTCTGTAACCAAGGGTTGTCAGTAAACAAACAATATTTTTTTAGTTGAAATCACGTTGAAATCCTAAAACCAAGAATGAAAAAATGGAAAATGTGTAAATTCCTTCTGAAATTTTAGAAAAAGCTAATGCGGCTACTGCAGGCATCATTTCGGAGAAATCAAAATCTATATACAACAAAGAACTGAAGGAATTTCAAGATTGGAAAATCAAAGAAGGATGAAAGGCGTAAGTGAAGATGTCTTGCTGGCTTATTTTTTCAATTTAAATGAGAAATTAGCTCCATCTACATTGTGTATTAAATATTCCATGTTGAAGTCAACTTTGAGAGTTTAAAAGAATGTTGAAATTTCTAAATTCAGGAGACTAGTGACATTTCTAAACATTTTCAACCAAAAAAATCCAAGGTCTTAGAAAGAGAACAAACAAATCGAACAGTTTTTGCGTGAAGCCCTAGACGAAGATCATCTTATGAATAAGGTAGGTTCTACTGAATAGTATAATCGAGTTATGTTTATTAAATTTGTTGTTTTTAGGTGGCCTTTATAAATTAAATAAATTTGGTGTTTTTGGTGCTTGCCGTTGCGAGGAATTGACCCATCTAAGCCTAGACAATATAGAGGATAAAGGGCAGTATATCCACCATCAAGATTTCAAATACTAGAGCGAACAAACTAATTGTAAGAAGCTTTGCTGTGTTAAATGAAAGATTTTGTGTTAATCCTACTGAATTAATTAGAAAATATTCTAAGCTAAGGAAAAATGCACATGCCAATGTGTTGGTATAAATAAGCTATCAAAAATCCGTAATATTATTGCGCGATTTTTGGGCTTGACAGATTCTAATTTATATACAGGGCATGGCTTGCATCGCGCATCCGCAACTCTTGGCCAATGCTGGAAGGGATATTACAACACTCAAACGTCACGGTAGATGGAAGTCATCTACCGTGGCAGAAAGTTATATAGAAGAGACAATTTCCAGCAAAATTGATATTGAGGAGTGCAGACTCCTGAAGCAAGCACAAGCAAAGGGGCAATCTGTTCTATAAATTTACCTCAATCACAAAATGATTCCAATAATCCTTTGGCATCAAATTACGGCTTTACTACAAATGTTAATGTTAATATTAATAAGTAGGTAGATTGTAAGTTTGTAGCATTTTAGGTTATTTGTTGACTTATTACTGTTTCAAATTGGTTTTCTAATAAAAGCTAGAAAAATAAACCAAACATTTGTCTTTTTATGATTTCTATAAGTCGCTAGTGGGTTATAAGTCATAACTCACTAGTGACTTAATAGGCCACATTATTCCTTTAATATCAAAGAAATTTTAGTATCATTATATACAAGTGTTGGATAAAATTATTAATTAGTTTAATTTTAAGAAATAAGTAAGTAACCATCAAAACATTGCTGACTACTGTTTGTACAAATTAAAAACTCATACATTGTTATTAAAAAATAATTTAAAACTTTAATATAAGGAAGTGTGTATTGGAAATTCGTAAAATATTTGGGAAATATTCTTTAAACTAACATTCATTCATTGCATTGAAAGTGATTTTTTTTATATTGTGCCAGGTAATAAATTGAAAAAAACTGATCATCTGTTTCCTTGTGTGGTGTGTTGAAAGAATTGAACAACTTCCCGCTGAAATTCACTACTCAGATGAGATCTCATGTCCCTACTGAAATAAAATATGAACTGAAACAAAATAAAAAAAATAAATTTCTCAAAATTCAATACAATACTTTTTTTTGGCGCCCAACAAACAAACAATCTTCGCAATATATATCATACAAAAGAGAACGTAAAGAATCAAATATTTATCTTCAGATGAATCAAACTTTGGAATAAGTATTAATTTTTGATACATTTAGTTTTACAGTATCAACTAACCGTTTTGTAAGTTAAAAAATGTATGAATTAAGTATTTATACATCAAATATTGATAAGGGTGCTTGTGAAATAATATATTAAGTACAAACACACTTATTATTGAGTAAACAACTCCAGATTGTAAATGTATCTATGTTATTTTCAATAAGAGTACATCAATTAAATTGATAATTAAAATCCCTGTGGATATTGTTTGGTACTTCAGCGTTCTTAATATAACTTTTTAATTTTTATACGATACAGAGTAACAATAAATAGGGATATTTTTCTAACCATGCCAAGAAGAAAACACATTAACACAGTTCCTAAAACATAAAACGTATCCTTTCTAACGTGCATTAGGTCTATAATAAATAAAATGCTGGCACCCTTTACAAAATTCTATAACATCTTCTTTCCATAATTATAATAAATGTTACACACCTCCAGGAATATATAAGAACATAAATATTATCTAATTTTAATGTGTTTTTTTTAATCAATATTCAGTAATTTTTCAAGTACAGATAATAATTTTGACAACTGATGTGCCTGTCTCTTGATAAATACAGATATATGAATTCATGTCATCATTGTTATTGTTTTACCACCAAAATATCTTTGTGATGTAAATGAAATATCGTATATTTTTAAAAATTACCTTTTATTTACATTGAAAAATGTGTACCTATTGCACTTACAGAGAGAAATTGATTTTAATTGTTTACTGTCGGCAGCCAAGTATTTATAGTGCTTTGGTTTAATTAATTTAATACTTTTCACAAAATTTGTGTAAAAATTAAATATTTTTTTCTGATTTAGAATATCTTACATCCATTAGAAACCTATTGAGATATAACTTTATCAAATAACCTTTGCGGTTCTACATTAAAAACCTATATTATATCATTTACCCCAACCTAACTCAGGTGTCGCATGGTAAGTGTAGTATTTCTAGTATTATTCATTTTTTTTAATTTTCCTTTCCTGATAAATTCCGTAGTAATAATTTTAGGAAAAATTTTTCTCTTAATTTGTTTTTATTGATACTGAGTTATGGTACTGAGTTACTTCTTAAGATTTGTTGCAGCGTTGTTAATAACGCGTTGTATTTGGTGTTGCAGTGGATTGCCTCCCAACTAAAATATGAAGAATATTTTCAATAAAACTAGTTCTTCTTCCCTATAGTTTGATGTCTCAGCAATGTTTCGAAAGAGTACGCCCATGATGTTTTTCATTGTTTCTTTATTCTACAATTCTATCGTGTTACTTTATCCTACAAAATAGTATACTTTTCATATACTTTAAAAATCTGTTAGCAGATATAAAGATACCTCAATTCCTCTTTATTTAAGAAAAGTTTACAGGTAGCTTCAATCTCTGACGAGGATGTACCTATACACATTACACATTCATCCAGGATATGCAGCTGATACTCTTCTTCTCAGTTACAAACCCTGGCAAAATCGAACTTTATATTCATTTAAGATCGTAAAGCTTGATTTTGCTTAGTGAAAGTAGTGATGTAATTTTTCTAGCCGCAGCGGTTTTTCACATTTCCAAAAGTCAAACGCCTTTGAAAATACGCGTTTCTCTGAAAAAGGTAGAGCTAATGGTCAGAAAATTTCTGATATCAAAGTTTGTGAATCATTAATGCAACGTTAATCACTACGATTAGGTAAAATTAAAAATAAATATACACATAAAAAACCTATCTGGGATACAACCACAAATATGACACATCTTTAAAGCAATAATTCTAGTTTCTTATCATTGTCCTATTTTACGGTATATGTGTGGTAATTGCACCGATCAAATGAAGATTCATATACTTTAGAAAGTTATGATTTGTGAAAAATGCTTGCTTTAAAAGATGAATTAGAAAATAAAAATATAGTTATATATAAAATTTTCGAAATCGTTATTTTCTTAATATCTGATAATTTGGAGATTTGTACACTTCGAAAAGGGGGCTGTCAAACCCATTATCAATCTCAACTCTTTTGCCCATTAAAATTTAGTTTAAATTTTCAATAAGAAATTTGAAACCAATAAAAGAAAGGACAAAAGCATACACATATTATATTACTAAACGTTTTTTAAAATATAATTTTTTAATAGAAAACATAAAGATGGCTTAAACTTAAACATGATTAAGATGATAGGACAAAAAAATTACATTCTTTATGATTTTTGCTTTCCATATAAGAGCCATATTAGATTATCGCAATTTCGAAAGCTCATTTTTCTTATTACGATGATGTGTCTTGACAAATTTACATTTTTGTGTTTCCCTAAATATCAAATTGTTCATTTTTACAAAAAAAACTTGTAATCACTATTTTCCTCTAATATTATTTTATTAATACATAGCTCTGGATTTTTTACTTTATTAAAAAAATAATAGAAATAATTTCAAAAAATTTCTCAAATTGAATTTGATAAGGTTTTAGAAGAATTTTTGAGTTTGTTTGAATTAGTTAATATCTATAAAATAAACTAAGAAATTAATTACCACCTCAAATAAAATTTTAATAGTTCAGTAAAATCTTTATTGATTAGGTACGTTAAAATTTAGAAAATTAAAACCGCATATAGATAGTACTCCAAATTAATTAATTAAAAAGTTTGAAGTATATCTCGACACTTTTTATTTGAAAATTGTATTTTGAGTTCTCTTAATCTTAACATTGCAATTAAAGTTTAATTGAACTGTCAAAATTGAATTTAATTTGGATATGTAGATGGTTTAGCATTCCAATGGAAAAAAGTAAATCTGATATATCATCGACAGCAGAAAAAAGCTGAATCCAAAAATATGTAAATGTAATATGTTGTTCATAAGAAAAACAAAAGTTTAATACAGTTTCTTTGTTCGGATACCACTACCAGTACCTAATACGACATTTTCCGTAAAAAGTGTCCTAATAATGTTTAAGGTCTATTTCTGTTGGTTTACGATATACAGGGTAGGAAAGTACCCATGGTCTATCTGAAGTTACGTGAGAGCGATAAAGTAAGCCATAGAAATCCATGCGATAGAGAAGGATGGCTATAATGAAGGCGTCTCATAGTCACCGCCCGTTTCGCCCTTCCACAAATAAGAAGTGGATCTTATTTGTGGAAGTACGTAACTTCTGATAGACCATCGGTACTTTCCTACACTGTAGAGTGTAGAAGTAATTTTGATAGAAAACACAGGCTTTTAATTAAAAATTGTAATTTTTATTAATTCATAAAGTACCTATACAGTTTTCCGACACATATTCCCTTTTTGTCGTAATTTTCTATGATCGTTTTGGCGTGGGTGGTCGTGGGCTTGTTGGCATAAACTTTAGACTTAAAAAAAATCCAAAGAAAAAAGTCCAATGGCGTTAAATCGCATAATCTGGGTGGCCACCAACACGGGAAATTACACGACCAGGAAATATCTTATAACGTAAATTGATTTGTTTCTAGAGCTGTATTGAATGTGGCACCGTCTTATTAGAACCACATGTCGTCTACATCTGTATCTTGCAATTTAGGTACAAGAAACTGGATTATGTCGCGGCAACAATCTTACTAATTGTTATTTTTTGAAGAAAACTGGTCCGATGATGCCCTCAGCCCAAACTCCTCACCAAACAGTGACACTTTGTTTCTCAACAATCACTGGTGGATTTTCTGTACCCTAAATGCGACAATTTATCTCATCATAGTTGATGAAGTTAAATCACTATTCCGATCATATTTTTGCACAAAAATTGCGAACTGTAGCTGCCAAACATTCATTATTTGTAAAATAATATTTTTCAACAATGAAAATGCGTTGTTCATTCTTGTAGAGCTCAATTTTTAACAATGCTGAATTGTCATCTGACACGTTGTTTTTTTTTCGTTGGCAACACTTTACCACACAAATGTCGCAAAATTCAAATCCCGATACTTAGAATTACGTAATTATATTGAGTGATTCACAATTAATTTAAACACGTGATAAAATATCTGTGAGACACTTGATATTAAACAAAAAAAAAGGTATTTAGCTACTTATTACAAAATGAAGAGAATGAAAGTTTAACCATAACACTAGAAGTAAATTTATATTTGTGGGTTTACATTATTGCTCATAGGTACCTAGCACAATAGTGACAGGAATTAGATTTTTAAGCTCTAACAAGTTGATAATATTAATAATTGCAATTCACTGTTAGTCATACATTATGCACTACACTGACTCTACATGGCAACAATACGCTTAGCAACAAAATTCATATTTTTCGGCTTATCACCAGAATCTCTAGTAGTTTATCTCATTTAAAAGAGCTTCGGTCTGCACCCAACCACATTTTAATACAGAAGTTGTGATTAATTGAGATTCCCGTACTCGTAACGATAAGATAATTTCCAAATAGTTATAAAAACCCTCACGCATAGCTAATTCAGCAGTCCAGCTTTACCGGTCTGAAATGTTACTTGTACCATTAATCGTCCTTATCTCCTCTGGGTTATTCCAAGGAGGAAACGCTGCTTGCAGTACCTCTGTCAGTATAACTACAGCGAGTGGAACTCATGCCCCTCAGGGAGAGATATGTTCTGGAGATTTGATATTTGAAGAGAATTTTGATACGCTTGACATGAAGAGATGGCAGCACGAGCTGACTCTTACAGGAGGAGGGGTAAGTAATTTTCAATTGAACTGTTTAAATTCATATTTTTGATTCACTATTGATTATACTAGGTGAAGTTTTGAAATATGCTAACAATGTATTTTTTCTGGAATCGTTCGGAAATGTGTGCTTTCTCGGTCCAATTTCAGACCTCAAAATACCGTATTCTAGTATTTTAGTTCGTTGCTAAGCTATCGTCAGCAAACAGTACTAGGCCAAGCAACAGAGCAAAATAATAGCCATAATTTGACATAATTTTTTTCCATTTATCACATTTCAAACGTCAGTATTAATAAAACCGATTTTAGAGAATGGTATGTTACATAAAAAGTGTTTAAAATTTACCGTATAATTCAAAAACGGCACAGGGTGTTCCAGTAAAAAAAAATCAGCACTTGTATACAATTTTCTTATGTCGAAAGGTCCGCAACTAAAAATACTAAATGACGTGTCCAAGCGTTTTTCCACAAAGTAATTACCTACCTGAATTTTAAACGAATTTGTTCCTTTCATCATGAACGCACTGTATACTATTTTGTGTAATTTTAAAATACAAAGAAAAAATAAGAAGCAGGGGAAGCTTTTCCCATGTAAAGGGAAGGGAAGAGCCACAAGATTCTGGCTACTGGCCTCAGTGAAAACAAAAAGAACTTTCTACAAAGGATTTTTTTAACGACCGTTCTAAACTCAGCCATTACATCACATATAGTTCTGCATGAACGACTTTTCCTATAAAACGTACGATATACGATGCAATATGTGGTTTGTTCATAATGGAGTATCAGCACATTTTGCGTGTGCAAATGCTCTAGATAGATTTTTTATTCAACAACTATCTGAAACACCGGATTGAGCGAAGTGTTCTTGTTGGATGGCCAGCTCGCTCTCCCGATCTATATCCACAATTTTTTTTTATTTACTGTCATTTAAAAAGTGTTGTTTACGTAGATAAAGTTAACACATACATGAATTACAAAAGCTTAAAATGAAATTTGCAACAACCACAGAGGTACCAACGTAAATAAATTATGTTACCTTTATTTCTACGCGTCTGTGTACCTAAGGTTACAGACAAGTTAGAGAGATCTTTCTTCTTGTTTTGTGATATAGAATACTCTTTCCAAGGCTGAGAATAAATATGTTTACGAGAAATATTGAATAAAAAAAACACTGGGTGTATTACAGTCAAATGTGTATATAGACCATGCGGATCTGTTTTGAGGTGGATGTAATAGGGGGCAAGCAATTTTTTTCTGGATTACCTCCAGTACACCTCACATAATAAAAGTGCAGATCCCTAGATCTGGGCGAGGTCCGGAACATTTTCAAAATTGCAAAAAATGTTTAGACAAATTTTAAAAAATACCTATTTTATCTGAAATTTTTACTTATATCTTGGAACCTATGCATTTTGGAAGAATATTGAAGAGGAAAAAAGTTTTAGAATTGAATTTTGCACAACATACTGTAAGTTAAAAATGTTTAAACTTATTACCGATGTTGCAAAATAGCAATAATTGATGAAAAAAGGCAAAATAATCAAGTTTTTTAGATAATTTTTTAAAAATATTTTAATTGCTCCGAGGGCATTCCAATAAAAAAAAACGTATAATAAAACAACACACCAAATTTCATTAAAATCGGTTAGATAATTTTCGCAAAATAATTTAAAAAAAAAAAATTTGAAAAATTTTTTTCGAATTTTTAAAATGTTGCACAGCCTCAAATAAAGCACCTAGATACTTGAAAATTTTTTCACTTAGAAAGACCCGCTCAACCTTTGAAATGGGTTTTGAAAAATTGAAATCTGTTGATTAGGACGGCGACAGTAAATTTTTAAAGTTAACTCTCTTTTTTATTTTTAAACAATTAGATTAAATTTTATCAATTTGCAGTTTAGTTTTTTTTTTAATTATAATTTTGAAGTTCTATTTTGTCTTAATTTTATCTGCAGTTAACAAAAAAATTAATTTCCAAACAAAAAAAAACAAATTTTTTATTTTGTTTAAACAAAAAATATTTGAATAATTGTAATAATTATAACTAAATACATTCATATTCAGAGTGTTGAAATATATACGTAATGAATTTTTTTAATTAAAAAAATGCATTAGCTAAGGGTAAAATATACAGTATACCTGTATTTAATGTATAAATAAAAAAACTTTGTTTATAACAAAATATGTGCAAATTAGGCAGTTGACATTACTATATTCGAATTCCTTGGCTCGCGAAACATCGGATTAAAAAAAAGATCGAAATTTGTCCATTAGAAGCCGAGATAATGCAATTTTTTTCGTACCTTCGCATTTTGAACCTCCGAATTCAGTCTCGGAGCGAAAGCCCCCTTCCCCACTTTTCGTGTTTTGAGTTACTTTTCGCGCGTGTGAGCGACAGCTTTTCCGCTGATTTATCTATGTTGCCGATAATTTATAGATATGAAAATTTTTTCCAGCTTAGAACTCGAAAAAATTAAGCCACTGGATCAAATATTATTCCTAAATTGTTTATAAATTAACGGTAAATGACGATATACTTTGACCGCTTATATCTCGAGAACCAATAAACGGAATTTAACTTTTTTTTAAAGAAGCGTCTTTCTGAGTATGTACTTTAAAATTATAATTGAAAAAACTAAATTGCAAATTGATAAATGTAATCTAATTGTTTAAAAATAAAAAAAGAGTGTTAACCTTTAAAATTTACCGTGTCCGTCCTAAACAACCGATTTCAATTTTTCGAAAACCATTTGAAAGGTTGAGCGGTTTTTTCTATGTGAAAATTTTCAAGTATCTAGATGCTTTATTTAAGGCTGTACAACATTTTGAAAATTCGAAAAAATCTTTCAAAAATTAAAAAATAATTTTTTTTTGCGAAAACTATAGAACCGATTTTAATGAAATTTGGTGTGTTGTTTTATTATACTCTAAAGTTTTTTTTACCAGAATTAGAATGCCCTCGGAGAAATTAAAATATTTAAAAAAAAAATATCCAAAAAACTTGATTAATTGGTCTTTTTTTCATCAATTATTGCCATTTTGCAACATCGATAATTATTTTAAACATTTTTAACTTACAGTATATGTGCAAAATTCAATTCTAAAACTTTTTGCCTCTTCAATATTCTTCCAAAATGCGTAGGTTCCAAGATATAAGTAAAAAACTCAGATAAAATATATTTTTTAATCATTTTTGCAATTTTAAAAATATTTCGGACCTCGCCCAGATCTAGGGATCATTTATTATGTGAGTTGTACTGAAGGTATTACAGCAAAAATTTGCTTGCCCTCTTTTACATCCAAGACGTGGCATATTTCGACAGATCCGTCCTGGTCTAATAAGAAACTTGTTCTTAAACACCTTGAATGATCACTACTTTCAATATTTTATATTAACCACTTAACATTTTTATTCTAGAATTGGGAATTCGAATGGTACAATAACAATAGATCCAATAGTTTCGTTCAAGATGGCAATTTACATATTAAACCAACGTTATTAGCGGATGAAACTGGAGAAGCCTATTTAACTTCGGGTACACTGGATATCAACGGTGGAGCCCCAAGTGAAGCGTAAGTCTTAATTAAAATATCCGTTCATTATTATACATTACTCAATAGAACAGCTTTACTGACATGTGCTTTAATAATGATAGTATTTTCCTATCGAGTACACAACCTTTTTCTCCACAAAAAAACTTTTTTTTCAGATGCACCAATGCTCAGTCGTATGGATGTCTCCGTACTGGAAATGCTGACAATATCATTAATCCTATTAAGAGTGCCCGTCTGCGCACACTATATTCCTTTAACTTCAAATACGGAGTAGTTGAAGTTCGTGCCAAACTTCCAGCTGGAGACTGGTTGTGGCCAGGTAAGGGTTTTCTTTCACTTTCCTTTAAACGCATTAAGGCAAATGAAACTAATTCTAAAAGTTTTTTCTATGAATCTTATTAAATGAAATTTATAAAATCTTTGATCTTTGATATCAAAATCTAGGTGTGCAAAATATATCTGACTTCACACAAAAGCTAACAATTAATAATTGTCAAAAATAAAAAATTCAAAATAGTCCATTTAAATACACATTTTATAAAAATCTGTTTAGAAAATAATCGAACATTTAAGTCTATTTTTTATTTGGTCTTTGTTTAAATATATTATAAGGCATATTTTAGTATAAACCAAAATTTAATCGCCTCACCAGGGGCGTACGTGTAGGCACCATCATTAAAAAAAATAATATGCACGTAACTAACATGAAATTTAGAAATTATTTTAAAATTAAAAATTATAACTCGAAAATCGTTTATTGTGTGATGAAAATGCAAGATACCTGTTTTATTAAAAATATGACAGTAAATTAAACGCGCCTATTAATTTTCCTGATTATCCAGTGGCGTAGTTTTTCTGGGGGTTTTAATTAAAAGGCTCCCCTAAATCTCCGCCACTGGTTGACAGATTTATATAGAAATATACCGAATTATTACCTTTAATTACGTCAATTCCCCAAGTTTCGTCAATCTACGTCAAACAACTTTAGAGATAATTGAAAAAATGTTATTTTTTTCAAAAACTTTAATCTCTATCTGGGAAACTAGTGACTTTAAGGCCTTGGTTTATTAAGGCTTTTGGGACTAGAATGACCCAAGGAATCATACTCTTAACTTATGACATAGACTTAGGATACACCCTGTAGGTACATATACAGGGTGATTCACTTTTTAGATTTAGATTAGGACTTTAACCATCGATAGATTTCATCAAAATAATGTCACTTTGAAGTATACACTATTTCTTCCAAAGGCTTCCTTTTAGAGATATAAACTCTTGAAAAATCATTTTTTTTTTTGGTTTTTATAGCTCTATCTATTGTGAATATAGATCAATTATAGGCGTCCGTAAGGGGCTCTGTTTATCTATATTGTAATGAATCCATAAGAAGTCATTTTTCCCAAAAACCAAGCATTTCATTTAAAAATAATGTCACCTTTTTACTGTAGAATAAACCGCAATGTAAAAAAATATATTCATATTGAAAAATTTCCAGTGGTGTACAAATTATATTAAAAATAGGGACAATTAGAGCCCCTTACGGATGCTTATGATTGATTTATTTTCATAATAATTTGTAAACTCTATAGAGCGTTTCTCAAGACTTTATATATCTCCAAAAGGAAGCTTTTGGAAGAAAAAGTGTATACTCCTAACATTATTTTGACAGGTCTATATACAGGGTGTTTCTAAAATAGGGTTCTAAACTTCTGTTGCGTTTATAACTATTAAAATAAGCTAAAAAGTTCTTATTAACATGTGCCCTAAAACGCACCCTTAGGAAGTTATATGCCTTTAAAAGGGCTCAAACAAAACTGTTTTTTTTTTCTATCATTGACAAAATGGTTGCAAATAAATAGAAAAAATTTATGGGTCTTATATAACTTTTTACGTTAAATAACATGGGCTACTCCGTTTTTCGACATGCAAATCATATGCGTCCCATTTAGGTTGGTGAAGGGGATTTTCGGCCCGTAATTTTTTTTATTTCAATTTTTTTACAATTTTCTCTACAGATTTATAAAATTTTAACAATTTTACGTCAAAAATATTATCTTTGTCCAAATCGATATTTCCAATGGTTTTCGAGTAAATCGAGTTTAAAAATTACTCTGCTCTTTAAGTTATTAGCTCAAAAATTACAAAAATCTGTTTACCATGGCAAATAAAATACTGAGGTTGCCACAATGCTTAACAATTTAAGTTTTTGATAAACTGTCAATTGAGCTTTGCAGTGTTTAATTAGTAAAAGTGGTGAGTGGAAAATTTAAGTATACAACATTATTGCAACTCATAAAATGGAGTCATATTCAAACACGGAAATGGCAGATATGCACTTTATGTGCGGTCGTGCGGCTGGAAATGCATCAGACGCGAGGCGTCTGTATGCGGCAGCATACCCGAATAGAAGACTTTCTTCTCAACAGGTATTTCAAGTGCATATCTGCCATTTCCGTGTTTGAATATGACTCCATTTTATGAGTTGCAATAATGTTGTATACTTAAATTTTCCACTCACCACTTTTACTAATTAAACACTGCAAAGTTCAATTGACAGTTTATCATTAACTTAAATTGTTAAGCGTTGTGGCAACGTCAGTCTTTTGTTTGTCATGGTAAACAGATTTTTGTAATTTTTGGCCTAATAACTTAAAGAGCAGAGTAATTTTCAAACTCAATTTACTCGAAAACCATTGGAAATATCGATTTGGACAAAGATAATATTTTTACTTAAAATTATTAAGATTTTATAAATCTGTAGAGAAAATTGTAAAAAAATTGAAATAAAAAAAATTACGACCCCCTTCACCAACCTAAATGGGACGCATATGATTTGCATGTCGAAAAACGGAGTAGCCCATGTTATTTAACGTAAAAAGTTATGTAAGACCCGTACATTTTTTTCTACTTATTTGCGACCGTTTTGTCAATAACAGAAAAAAAGACCAGTTTTGTTTGAGCCCTTTTAAGGGCATATAACTTCGTAAGGGTGCGTTTTAGGGCACATGTTAATAGGAACTTTTTGGCTTATTTTAATGAGTTATAAACGCAGCAGAAGTTTGGAACCCTATTTTAGAAACACCCTGTATATGGTTAAAGTGCTAATCATAAAAAGTAAATCACTCTGTAGCCAGTGGAGTAGTTGTTTCCTACCATATCGTTAGTTACAAAATGTATTCCACCTAGTGCAGGTATTAATTAAAAATAAAATGAATTTTGATTTTTTTAGCTATTTGGATGTTGCCAGCGTACAACCAATATTCAGGTTGGCCGGCGTCTGGCGAAATCGACATCATGGAGAGTCGTGGAAATAAGCAACTGTTCAACACCCAAGGTGTAAACATCGGAACGCAGCAAGTAGGCCAGACTTTGCATTTCGGTCCAAATTACAGTTACAACAGATACTCATACGCTCATTTTGAAAGGAACAACGAAGCCGGATATGATACTGCCTTCCATACGTACCAGCTTAAGTGGACTGATCAACAAATAACATTCCTCATTGACGATAATGAAGTTGGGACGGTAAGTCCACCCGCAGGTGGTTTCTGGGAACTTGGAGAACTTGGCGCTACAGGATTGGACAATCCATGGAAGTCGAGCTCTAACCAAAGAATGGCTCCTTTCGATCAAGAGTTTTACATACTCCTGAATTTGGCCGTCGGGGGTGTCTCGTACTTCCCCGATGATGCTAGTAATCCTGGTGGAAAACCATGGACCAATAACTCACCTAAGGCAGCTACCGATTTCTGGTCAGGTCGTGAACAGTGGCTTCCAACTTGGAATGTAGGGACAGATGACTCTCACTTACAAGTTGACTACGTAAAAGTGTGGGCCATATAATTCCTTTGTAATTTAAACAACAATAAATAAAAGCTATCATAAAATCACGAGATTTTTCTTATTGCATCATAGTCCCAACGAGATTAACGGAGAGATCTTCAGAATGCCCTAAACCAGTAAGACATTAAATAACCGCAGGGATAATGTTTTTTGCACTCTCAAATACTGAATAAATTTAATTAAAACTAAAAAATGTAATATTTTAATATAAAACAAACAAATCGTACCTACATGAAATGATTTTCGCTTTGGTTACTATGAGACCGAATATTTATTGTTAAGTGACATCTGCTGTCATTAGAAATTTTTCCAAGACAATACATATTTCTCCCACAACTTTCTTGCATAGTTGTTACGATTTCAATTGGAACTTGTGAATCTTAAAGCACAGGACCGTCTGCACTTCTCTTGAAATTTCATCTTATGCTTTAGCCATGATGTGTCTCGTAATTTATACTTGAATAGCAATTCGATGAGTCCGGAATTGGTAGACCAGTCCATCTGATGTAGAATCGACGGCGGCGCGCCGGTCGTCAAAGCAAACGTGTATTGGTCCACTAGATAGTAAATAATTTTTTGAATGGTATTTTGTGGTTTTAGGCCAATCATTATAGCTTTTATTCGGGAAATAAATACTATTAGAAGTTTCTCTGCGGAATATTGTTATAACCTGTTATAAATAAAATATCAAAAAATCAACTCGAGGCTAGTTGGGAAACTTTGTTTTAACAGAGGTCAAAGTTATGGAAAAGTGGTTTTTTGACTCACGTAAAAAGCTATTATTCATAGCGAAAAAAAGTTACTCATAATACAGAAAAAAAGTTTATATAAAAGTTGTACAGAATCAAGAAACCTAAACTACAAAATTAATTTGAAACATACAGGGTGATGAGTAAAAACGGGACACGCCAAATATTATATTTTTTAGATGGAACACCCTAAGTATATATTTTTAAACATATGGATTTCCGAGAGAATTCTGTATATGGCAATATAAACAGTTAATCATTTTAGTTCGGGGTTGCCAAGTTATATAGAAAATTCTTCGAATTTTGGAAAAAATATGACCTCGAAGAAATTGTATTAACTTTCAGCTACTAACACTTGGAACAAATTAATTAGACAGAGTTATAAGCAAATGTTAGACAAAGGCTCCTATATTAGCTAATATCGATATTTTATACGGGGCATTTTTTATAGTACAGATCATTTTTAGAAAGTTGAAACTTGATTTTCTAAAATTTTTCAAATGGAACACCCTGTATTTTATTGTCCTATTTTATTCGCATATCGGATCACTTCAACTTTTATTAAGCATGTTCTATATCTAAAATTGTTTTTAAGATATAGCAACATTTTTGAAAAACCTTAATTTTTATTATTTTATAGAATACCACAAATAAATATTAAATAATAAAATGACATGAACTGACAAGTTGACACAATGTGACAGTTTTTTCCAAATGCATTTCGTGCTACCGAAAATAATAGAAATTAGGTTTTTCTAGAAATGTTGCTATATCTTAAAAACTAACTTTAGGTGTAGAACATACTTAATAAAAGTTGAAGTGGACTGATTTGTGAATAAAATAGAACAATAAAATACAGGGTGTTCCACTTGAAAAATTTTAGTAAATCAAGTTTGAACTTATTATATAAAAAAATATTTTTAAAAAATTAAAAATATTTTTTTAAGTTTAACACTCTGTATGTTTTTAAATAAGCGTCCCAGATAAAAACTTAAAATTCACCAAGGAATAGGAGGTTTGGTCACCATTTGTGAATCACCTCGTATATTCTGTAGATATTTGTAAACCTCTAGAAAAAGTAAAAATAGGAACACTAATCGTACAGATAAATAGAAGTTGAATGTTATTTTCTATTTGGTACGAAGAATTAATAAATAATTTCTATCTACAATTTAAAAAGTGAAATTAGGAACTTGTGAGAACTTATACCAAAATGTAATACCGTTCGGGCTGATCGTGTATTATATTTTACCTTAACCACTCGCAAATTTGGTACATTTATTTCATTGAGAAAATTTTTCTCCATATCTTCTGACAGCAGCTTTGGCGTAGCCCAAACATTCACCCAACTAATCGGTGTATTCCACAAAGGTGTAAGTAATAATACTTTTTTATTATTTAAATTTAATAATAATTCGATTAAAACTCCGTTTAAAAAGATATATTGATTTAATATATAATTGTACATCCTGGAAGGGTTTATGGCACAAACACCCCATCCGATTTCGCTATTACCCTAATTATCGTCTTAAATCAACTCCTAATAATTTACTTAGACTCTAGCTAATATGTTACAAGTATAATTTAAATGGCAAGCTTAAATATTGACACCTTGTTTCAACTCCAAGAACTGGAAAGGCACGTGAAGAGTGCAATGTTTATGTTCTACTATCAAGTGACCTCTTCGGTGCGACGCACCCACAACTAACACAGTCTCCCCTTTCAACAGAACAGGCCCGTCTCCGTTATTGTCCTCGGGATAAGACATCTTCATCACTCGTGTCTGGGGGTAACCTAGCTTGGTATTTCCCGTAACCGTATACGAACGACTCGGAGGCACGGGGGGTGGCCGCTCAAGATCCAATCCGAATAAATTGCACGTTTGCTGTATTATCTTCGCGTCGCATTTTTCTATGGGGTCAGGAGGCGGCGTGCCTGCTATCGGCTGTGGTCGGGGCCTAGCGCCCCCTAGCCCAGTTCGCGATGTGGGAGGTTGAGTGGCGTTCTTGATTTCCTTCTCTCGTCGTAACGTCGTCCATCTGTATCGACAGTGCCAACCCCTCCAGGTGGACTGTATCAAAGTGGCGGCCTTCTGACGCGTATCCGACCTTAATTTTTCCAGGTGTTGCCTTATGCCCTCACTTAAGAATATATGCCTCTTCCCTAAAGCCCAACTCGTGGAGACCAGGCTTTGCTGTTTAGAGATCGAGTCTAATACGTGCTGTAATATTAGATGGCAGTCATCCGTGACCTTTTCCTCGGTTCTGTGTAATTTAGCAAATGGTGCTAATAGCCGATATCGTGCATTAAAAGCTTTGAAGCGCATCCTGTGCGGGTAACCGCCCGCCATCAAGTTAACAGTTTCCAGGACTTGTAAAGAACGTATCTGGCGGACAACAGTGCCGCGGTCGAATCGGTTGGGGGTCTCTTGCGAATTACTGCAGATACATCGCACGAAATGAGGTCTCGCGTGAACCAGAGTCCGCAGTAAATTGTCGAGTCGTGTGTGAAAATCTTGCGTTAGAGTGGAGACGGGTTCATCGCCGTTTAAGAGGTCCGTGTGGGAGGTGGGCGAGATTCTAAAGCTAACACCGCGAGGCACGGTCTCCACCGAGTACAAAGCCTTCAGTTCACTTCCGAATAAATGCGTGGCAAAGCCGAAATTGCAGTTGTGTTTATAAAAAACTGCAACGAGGTCGTCGGGAACAACGTCTTTGTTTGTGTCAAGAAAGTCCGTAGCGTCGTACACGACTCGACCCGCAAAATGCTGGATACCGAATAGTCGTGGATCGAGAGGTTTGGGGTCGAATAGTCTGGTATTACTTTTATGTTGCACTTTTATTTTAGACACGTATGATTCCGCTGTACCACGTATCGAGCATTCGACGTCTAACATACTCAGTAAGCCCGTACGCAGGGACGACACTAAATCGATGCAAGGGACGTTGTCAACGTAGTCCACTTCCACTTCACAGTTAATGCCTTCGTCCCGACACGACTCTATGCTAGATTTAAAAATGTGCGTGTTGTAAAAGTGCTGCATCGTTTCCGCGCATAGATTGATACACAGATGCTCCAGTTGACTCGGCTTGGGATCTTCGAACCCGAACATGTCCAAGATTCCTATGAATCCATCGGTCGCGTGCCTCACGGCGTTATTGAGGGCCGCCATCGACTTACTGCCAGCGTTGGTGCTGCCGCCGATAGTGGAAGCGTGCTGGCTAGTGACCTCGGCTTGATTGTGTACGGATTCGTTTGAGTCTGAACTTAAAGTGCCCAACGTGGAGCCTAGACGCTTAAGACTATTAGCTCTACGGACTATGGTAGCTACAGTACGACAGTATAAAGCTTTCGCGAGACAGTCCCTTGTCATGTTGGACATGTTGGCATCACACACGGATTTAACGAGTTGTCCTCGGGCGTTGTGAGTACGGGATGTAAGTCCTCTAAATAGAGCGGCGCCTGAGACTCCCAGAAGTCCAGCTACGGCGTTCAGTTCCGCTTCCCCCTTGACGTCCACCTCTAGTCCTTTGCCATCCATAAATTGCACATTTCCCAGCAATAAAACGGCCGCTAAAACTCTTACTACGTCCAGGAAGGGTATACCCAACACGCCAAGGCAAGTTTTCCATGCTTGAAACCTGCAAATATTAAAATCGTATGTTATTGTACTTGTGGTGTCCTTAAAAATAAAAAAAGGTCTAGGTAGTTTCTGTTACAAAAACGGTGGCGGTAATTCGTATAACGTTTTTCTCATTATTGTTCTGCTCTTCAGATATAAATAAGGTGTTACCATTGTTAATTTAAAGAGGGGTTTTCTTAACTTCTTCTAACTCGGCTAAAGATAAATATGTCAAATAATCAAATGTCCTAAGAAAAACGTAGATAACAATTTATCCTCAGCAGTAATGGCGTGGATACGGGTAGTTTGAGGGGCATAATTGAGGAAAAAAAAATGTTAAAAATTATAATTTCTAAAACATCCTAACGGCTTTGAAAAACAAAAATTATATAGTGGTTTGGTTCAAGTGAGGAGAAAAACTCTAAGTAGCATGAAAACTTTATTCTACTAATTTCGCTGGTAACACGAGACACAACCGAGCAGAAACTAGGCTTCAAGACTTCTCGTTCGCGCCTCGAAATGTTTTCGGTTTTATCCTTGTCCCAGGTACCTACTTTTATTACCCTATCCTAATTAACACTTATCCGGGTCATTACCTACTCGGTTTGTGCTTATGTACCCTAATAAACAACAACTAATTAATGTTTACAGACTACTTATTCTAATCTCATTTGCTAAATACATTTATTTGGGATAATCTCGGATAATTCAAACTATAATTTATATGGCTCGTAAATTCCCAGAAAGCAAAATATATTTATTGGGGCAGGTACTAATTGTAATTGTAGCGTACCGCTACAATTATAAGACGGGTTATTCCATTACGCCAAGTTTTCGAGATATCTTAACCTAAATGTGTGAAAGACGTTTTTTTGCTATATTTGAGGTTATGTTTTATGATGAAGTGAGGTATAATTCTAGAAAGGGTATACTAGAAAATTGATAGGATGTACATATTTCGTATACCAAATAAATACACTATGTGTATACGAAATTTCAAGTGTCAGCAAAGCTTCAAACAAATTTGTCAGTTTCGAACTTGATGCAGTGGAAAAACCTTATAGAATAAAAAGTTTTGCTCTCCTCATTTTCGCCTTTAGCGTCATTATTCTATATACATATATTGAACTATAGTTTTCGAAAGTTTTATCACTTTTTGTTTATAATTGACATTTTTACAGCAACTTTGAAAAATCGACGTTTTTTCAATCTCATGGCTTTGTTATTGCAAATTTCGCAATCGGACCACCGCCATTTTGTTACGAATAAATCATGTCTTAAGCATTTTTTCATACAAAGTCATCCCGCTGAGTTATTTAAAGAAAACTACTAAAAAAACGAATTTTTGCAATTCAATTGTTAATAACTTTTTTCCTGATAAAATACTTTGTCAGCAAATTAACTGTTATTGTACTCATCATTTAAAGTAGGCCTGTGTAGTTATTTCTGGGTTATCAAGGAAATGTCATTAACAGTAACTTTTCGGCCTCTTCCGACTGGACTATTACAAAATGTCCTGAATTTCATGCTGTACAATCTCCCAAATTTTTAAAACGTCATTCTGTAACATCCTGTATATTGCATAATGTACCATATTCAAAGATATCACAAAGTTCCATCGCTTACCGATTACCTTCAGTTTCAACGCCAAAATTTTTCCGCAACACAAACATGTATTTTTAAAGACCCCTGTTTTTATGTTTGGAAAATAATAGGACAATTTTAAATTTCTATTTAGTGCCATTGTACTGCTCCTGCATTACTACAATTAATGATTTATTTAGACTTAGAACAAGTTTCATTAATGTAATAATTAATTGTAATGTTTTTGTAACCGCTTCGATTGGTTTAGCTTGCGTAGGAAACCGGTAAGCATAGTTATTGAAATATTCGACATGCTTATGTGGGAACGAATGAGTTGATTAAATAATTTTATCACTAAACTTGTTTTCCGATAAAAAGTGAATTAACTTTTTTGTTTGTATCCTGTATAAATATTAGAAAGGATTTTAGCTATTATGAAGTAATTAATGTTGATTGAATTAGAAAATTTGTCACAAGGATAATCCAATTATTACATATTTAAACCGCTAATGGTTTTAAATCAAGTTAAATGAATTAATTTGAACTTTTTTAGATATCGGGATGACTTCAGTAAAAAAAATTGCAGAATTCAACACCAAGCAAACTTCACTGGTGTATAAATGAAGTTATATGTACTTATACAAACACTGACAAATGGAAATTTAATTGACTACTTAGTACAAACAGAAAGAAAGCACAAAACAGTAAAATATTAGACAAGAATGGTATAACATTTTTAAGAATGTAAGATATTGTCTATATTGTTACCAATAGTAGATAAGAACAACAATATACCGACCGTATTGCAATGACGAAGGTTTGTCATTGCCTGAAGAAAGCTAATAAATCGATTTTAAACCGTTACACTATCCATTCCAATTCAAAGTTCCTGTAGTATAGTACGTAGGAGTTCGCATTTCCGAATGATGTAAAAAACATTTTTATGCCAATTTGAACTTACTGTACCGATTTGACACTCGTCTTTCAGTATCTAAGTTCTGTTTTATGTCAAAGGAATTTGTGACTGACTGACTGAATACGATTTTCCGGAATTATGAGGGTGAATGTAAAAATAAATGATTAACACAACCAACTATTTCCCTTAAAAATTAAAAATATGCTTTAGTATATAAAATTCCCCACATTTATAAAAATAACAATGGCATAATTAAACATCATTGGAACAGAAAAAATCTCTTTCTGGATTTTCAGTTCTTACAATTCCAGTCAAATTAATTGATATTACGTCAAAAAGTTCATATAGAGCTTACTTTAAGTTTTAAGCCTACCTCAGCGTATACTTATTATTACAGCAAATCTGTATATCGATATGTATAAATAAATAGGTATAATATTTACCGAGTAGCGTCTTCTGCTAGGTCCTGCCTCGTATCGCCATGTTGCAAATACTTCAGCGTCGACGGTTTGTGGCCTTCTAAATTTAATTTCGTGCGCTCTTCAGTAGACAGTCCAGCGAGCATTTGGTAAAATATATGGTAATTTTTTTCACCTGGTAGAGGTCTTATCACTCTAGTTTGGTCTAAGAAGTAGCAGTGAATTTTCGTTCTGTACAAAGCACCATCAGTCACCTGAACTTCTATAAATTGACCCTAAAATTAAAATACGAACTTACTAAAAAACTGAAAAATGGCAATAATATACGTTAATCAAAATCAATGACTTCAGTCAATACCTTGTTCAGATTTAGTACCTAAATTATCACGAGATACCAAAGTTAAATGAATAATATAATAATAACTCTACCCCTCATTCTAATCGCAAGGATTAGCCCAGAAACCGGAGAGTTGTTCGGCAGAGGAGGCCGCATATTAATATTCAGTAGGGCGCGTTTGTATAAATGATTAGTGGCAATGCAGTTTATAGTACGAATAAAATACGAATCTTTACGCAATGCTGATATTGATGTAGCGCATTGTTTTTAACGCAAGGTGAATTTTAGCGCATATGTTTTCCTTTACTTATAACTTAAAATTAAAAAAATATAAAATCATTAGATAATAATTATCTGTATCTTTTTTACATTTGATGAGATGATGTTCAGAAAATTAGGTGGGGTTTTGACAGATTTGGAGGAAATATAAAATTTTTGGCATATTTTATCTTTAAAACCAAATGTTGAGAATTATTAAATATTTAATAGAAAACATTTGACATGACGTATAAGGATATAACTTTTTTCCTAGGGCAGATGAACATTTGATTAACGTGAGATTTAGCGATTATTTTTTAAATTTAATTTTCAACGTGTTGGATAAAAATAATAATCTATTTTTGATGATATCTCAGAAACTGTTGTATTGGTAAGGGCCTTAGAATTACCAAGGTTTAAAAAAACCAATATCCTAGACATTTTAGTTAAAAATGTCTATATAATACAGATTTTTTGTGGGTCATTGCTTCGAAAAAAAAACAGGTTAAAGGATCCCGCTCAAATCTTATACTTCCTCCTGATCAAAAGTGTTCATAGGACTAAAGTCCAGAAATGAACAGTCTCAAAGTCTCAAAAAACGGAATATTTCCATGAACCTGAAAATGGAAACGAGCACTTTTGAAAATTATTATTATCCATTCTTGTATTATTTATCGGGTTTGGATCAATTTGGAACGTCAAATAAACGGTCATTAAAGCTCCTGTAATTTTTTACACAGGAGCACAATATAATCTAAATGTGGGTAGCGTGTATTTATGTCGTGATTATTATTACAATATTGTACACACTAGTATTACTAGTAAACATATAAACTGTCAATACAACTTAAATAAGAAAAGTTACTTGCACGCAACTGTTATGAAGCAAGGGAAAATATGCAAAGCATTTAAATTTTAAGAATAAACATTTGACTTAGTACTAACGTCCATTATCTCGGGATTATAACTTACAATAAATATAAAAAAATTGTCATGCTTTATAATCAATAAAGTTATAGTTACCAGTCTAGGAATTTCCTGACCGCAAAAGTTTCTACCTTTAAATCCTACTTAATAATTGAGCGAATAAATATGTCTGGGATTATACATATTGCGGCGTATAGCGGCAATAAATCCACAAAATATTATGATAAATTGGCTCCAATATTTACCTTAGAAAAGATTAGAGGCTTCTTTGAAGCAAATATCGAAAGGATATATTCCAAAAAAATATAAGATCTAAAAATCTAGAGGATATTTTGAAATTTATTAGAGAAGCATCAAGTCGTACATATTTTTTGGAAAAGGTAATATAGGAAATAATTGGCTATATTATTGCAGGTGCTTAATACATTTTTGTAGGTTGTTCTAGTAATGGGTGTTTTCGGAGGATTGAGAAGAGAGAATATATGTAGGTGACAAAGGAATCGTTGTAGTAAAAATTGACGATACAACAACTGAAGTACCTACCAAAAGAAACTGAAATGCACGCTCTCCAATTGTATGGACAGTATATATCTTTGCGACCAAAAGAAATTAAAGAACGGCGGTTTTTTCTGACACATCGGAATTGTCGATGTACTACTCGTAGGCAAAAATACCCTCGGTAGCATTCCGTCCAGGATTGCAAAATATCTTGACTATGCAGATGCTAAAATGTACACAGCTCATTGTTTGCGTCGTACATTGGCAACTTGTCACGTAGATGCAGGTGCAAATATGTTAACACTGAAAAGACATGGAAAATTGAAGAGTGATACTGTAGCCTCAGGATATGTAGAAGATAGTATAACGTCCCAGAACAAAATATCTCGTTTAATAGCAGGAGTCGAAAGAACTAATGGTGACAATTTTTTCCGAATTGATTGTGAGGAAAAATGAACAACATTTACTCGATGGTAAAGAAAATTTAGGTAGTTTTTCTGGTGTTACTGTTAAAGGTTCCTTCTCAAATTGTACTTTCGTTTTTAAAGACGGTTGGAAATGATTTCTGTTATTAATTTAAAGCAAATTATTGTCATAGGTACGTCAAATATGAATGTTAATAATCTTTGCGCTTTCATTTGTCTGCTTCGTTTATACAAGGCACATTTACTATTCTACCCTTGCAGAAAAGAAGGGTACAAAATAGGGTCAATTTGCGGGTGATAATATTTAGGTCCGCTTAATTCGCCCTAGAATATTTCGAATATTTTTTTGACTTCAGTTGTCATAATTTGACGTCAGCAACCTTCCCTTAAGATGTCTACCATTATTAATAAATCACCTTGTATATTTTCTAATTTATAGTACACCCATAACATGTACTTGTACCTACATAGAAAATCAACAGCTGTGGTTCTTATCATTGGCAGTAATATTATTTCTGGTGTAAATTCTACAATACATTCTTTCGCCATTTATGTCTTTCAAAGACAGTACGTCCCATCACCAAGACCGACAAGGCATATACTTACAATTCTGCTAGACTCCGAGTTCGTCGTAGTTTTTGCAGAACCTAAGGAACGTAATACTGTAAAGGCAGCAGCTAAATGTTTAAAGGCATCAGTCTCTGGTCCTCCTCCGGCGACGGCAAAAAGTTGCCTTAATAATAACATAGAGGCATGGCTCTTGCCAGACCCGCTGGTCCCTATAAGAAGTTCAAACGTTGGTCCATCAGTCGAATTTGTATTGGCGGTAAAATTGTTACTTACCAGATAGGATAATTGCTTGGGGATAACCTGTTTCGGATTGCTGTCGAACGGCCTCCTGAACCACCCTGTTCAGCTGGGAGCTAAGCGCTAGACCCCGAGTACTGCTCAGCGTCAGAGGATTGCCGACGTCTCGGTAAGGGTTCACGCACAAGAGTATGGGACCTACGTTTGTCTGCAACAGAAGCAATACACTGTATCACATCAAGCAGGATGCACTGCTTAAAAGATTCTATTCTGCAAAGGGTGTAGGTAAATTTACAGAAGAGAATTTCTAAAAATTAGGAATATGGCTTAAATCGGTACGGGAAAAATACGTTAAATATGAAATATTTCTAAATTATAGAAAATTTACAATAGATACATGTAATTTATTACACGGAAGGGAATTTTAAACAAGTAGAGACATTAAATATTCCCTATGGGCCAGGGCGAATCTGTCGAAATATCCCGCATCTTGGATGTAACCGGGCGCAAGCTATTTTTTTCTGGAATACCTTCAGTACAACTCACATAATAAAAGTGTAGATCCCTAGATCTGGGCGAGGTCCGGAACATTTTCAAAATTGCAAAATTGTTTAAAAAATTTTAAAAAATACCTATTTTATCTGAGTGTTTTACTTATATCTTGAAACCTATGCATTTTGGAAGAATATTGAAGAGGAAAAATAGTTTTAGAATTGAATTTTGCACAATATGCTGCAAGTTAAAAATGTTTAAATTTATTACTGATGTTGCAAAATATAGTCTGTTTAGAAATGAAAGAGAGTAATAAAACGTCATTATGTATGCAAATCGTAAATAAACGTAGTACTGGTGCTTATATTCAATATTTTTATATTATGCATTTTCGGTATAGATGAGGTGTACTTCTAAAAAACTTGTGTGACCGGGTTGTACTAAATTGTAGCAGGTAGCTAAAATTTAATCCCCTTTGTCTATGCCGCTTCAATTTCTCGGTCCATTTCTCTTATAAGTAAACAATATAAAAACAGCATTTCAAAACATGAGGCTACTTTAAGCATCATAACCGGGTTAAGAGGGTTTTTAGTAATTCAAATAAAATTATTCAATATTATTATCAAAATATTTATTTAAATTTAATGAATAGACTTTTATTCCACACAAAAATATATGTATTTTGAAAATTCAAATTATGGTGAGTAAATGTAGTGTTGTATAAATGTACAATAAAGAAAATAAAAAAGTAGGTATATTAAAATTCATCCTCTGAATATTCTGATGAATTATCTTCGTCTCCTAGATTGATAACGATAGGTTACACAGTAACGTCAATTAAATTATCGAGTTCCCACATTTTCTCCTCTTCTTTTTGTATATGATGTATACATCTTTGCCAGTTATCTGCAGTTACTCGTTCCAAGGAATTTTTTAACAAAATTTTCACGTCACTTAATTTAAACGTCGTATTATTTCGCGCTACATCTCCTTTTACCTGCTCCCAGACTAATTCGATTGGGTTAAGTTCACAGTGATAAGGTGGTAACCGTAGTACCGTTATTTGGCGATTTGTTGCCATTTCATTGATAACATATTTTTTCTGATCTTTATTAAGATTGACAAGTGTCTGTAATGAAATTGAAATGGTTATGAAATGAAATTTAAATTATTTGAACTCTTGGAGTTTTGTAACTTAATAATATTAAATTTTATTTAAAGTGAAACAGAGCTAATTTCTTTGCAGCCATAATAGTCACATTCGGTCAGATGAAAACCCGCACACTACTCGTCGGTTTAGCTTTCAAAGGAGATTCGGTGTCAATGTATGGGCAGGAGTATATGGCGATTGTTTAATTGGGCCGCGTTACTTTCAATTTTTAGTAGAAGGCTTACAGCAAATTTATTTTTGGCAAGGCATGCTCAGACCTCCTCGAGGTTCTTGCTGGGCAACAATAACAATAACAATTTAATATGTTGATTGTATAATTATAAAAAATAATATATAGCATTTTAAATTATTATTGGCTGACGTGAGCAAATCGTTTATTTATTGTCTTTATATGAGCGAAAATATATAAATATGGCAACATTGCATCTAGGGTGCCTTGTTCATATCGTAGCCGGCTGACGTCAGCCGGTCAGTAACAGTCTGAAAAGGGGGTTAAATAATGATTTGAAAATATTTTTTTCCAGCTTAAATATGCATTTAATTTTTTTTTAATCACGCCATCGTATAATACTCATTTTTCTCTATCTGCTCTTAAAATTAATGACATTTTGACTGAATCACCCTGTACATATATTATTACTAATAATAGCTTTTCCTATTAACGACAATAGCTTAGGTTTATTTTGAATAAGTTATAAAATATAATACTGATAAAAGTTTTCGTTAAATAATTCATAATTCGATAATTTAAAAGTGGGTCAGGAGCGGACTAGCCTAGAAAATAGTCCAACTAACGCATCACATTTTCAAGCTGTTATCGATTTTATGTGTGTGGTATAACGAGACGAATAGAAAAAAACACCGATATTCGGTAAAACGGTCATAATTAATTTCCTCGAAGTATTTTAATTCCGCTGGAATTGCGAGTAACTGAATAAATATCATTCAGGTAGGTAACGGTATAAACAGTATTGATTCGAAGTATGAAATAACATGTTCTGAGAGAGTCGGAACTTATCCTTACGCTGTAATTTATAGCGATAAAGGAAAGAAATGGTATTTATGTAAATGCAGCTGGATAAGTGTTGTTTTTTAATGGCAAGTTCATGGTCAATCCTTACGCAGGGCCGGCCGCAGGCAATGCGACAGGTGCTGCCCAAGGTCATCTCTGTTCAATGACTCACATAGAAGTTGGAAGCCGAGAATCGTGCTTGCAAGCACTTCATCACTGCATCTTCTGTGAGGGGTCCCTGCAGGTGAATGAGGTCCTCCAAATCGGCACCGGCGGTAGGGAGTAATTGCGAACGTTGCTGTGTGACAGTCACCTAAAATTAAAGACGTACGAATTAGATGGAAGTCCAGCTTTACATACTTTTGACAATGTATGTAAACATTTGTGTAAGAGTTATTTAGGTGCCAAAATCACAAAGTGTTACTAGCATAAATGTCCTCTAAATACAGTTTCTCAAGGTGGCACGTGCAATACTTTTTGTGTTGCCACCAATAATTTGTTTTTAAAAGTGAAGTTTTGCAAAGTACAATTAACACAGACCCACAAAAAAAAAGTTGAAAATACCAGAGACTGGACCCACCTATCCTTATGTATTTTGACGAGCTGAAACCGAATCCGGAGTCAAAATTGCTCCATCACCTTCCAGTTTTTTTTAAATCGCGAAAAACTACCCCAAAAACACGGAAAATCTTCAAATTCTCGCTTGAGCACGGGTCCGAAGGTTGAGATAAACGTGAGAACCAGCACAATAAGACTATTTCATATGTATTTTGATGAGCTAAAACCGAATCCGGAGCCAAAATTGCTCCATCACCCTCCAATTTTTTTTAAATCGCAAAAATCATCCCAAAAACACGGAAAATCTTCGAATTCTCGCTTGAGCACGGGTCCGAAGGTTGAGATAAACGTGAGAACCAGCACAATAAGACTATTTCATATATATTTTGATGAGCTAAAACCGAATCCGGAGCCAACATTGCTCTATCACCCTCCAGTTTTTTTAAATCGCGAAAATCATCCCAAATATACGGAAAATCGCATGTTATTGTCTCGGATCTTAACATTCCCTCTTTTTTTATCGTAGTGTAGTGGATACCTTTTTCTTTTTCTGCTATCTGTCTCGGATTCCCTTTTAAGCATCCAACAATAATCTGCTATCATATTAACATCCCATCGTTCTTGGTACCGGCGTTCCATTTCCTTAATGTCTTAAATAAAGGTGACTTATGTTACATTTATGGTAAATTTGAATTTTCTAAACAGGGATTGTATCTGGGGATTCGGTTTTAGCTCGTCAAATTACATATAAAATAGCTTATTGTGCTGGTTCTTACGTTTATGTCAACCTTCGGACCCGTTACCAAACGAGAATTTGAAGATTTTCCGTGTTTTTTGGGGTAGTTTTTCGCGATTTAAAAAAACTGGAGGGAGATGGAGCAATTTTGACACCGGATTCGGTTTCAGCGCGTCAAAATACATATGGAGAGGTGGGTGTAGTCTCTGGTATTTTCAACTTTTTATTTTGTGGGTTATTGATGTTTGGGTCAATTTATGAGGTCTAATATGTGTGTCTCATTTAGAGGGGAAAAAAAAAGAAAATTATTACCTGGACTTTTATAAGTGGAAATGGTAAAGGGGATTATAATAAACAAAAAAAAATAAATGCGTGAGCAGGGGTGGCGGAGGGTTGATTTGGGGAGTTGAAATGATGTGAAAAATTGGGATTTCTGGTGAAAATTGACGTCAAACAAAAAAGTATCCAATATCTACAACTTTTGTATAGATCACTTTTTAAGATAACCTCAAAATTTACGAGAAAAATGCGAAAAACAGTTTGTATCCTGATTTTTCATTTTTTATTTCTCATTTCCGCAAAAATAACTTAATTTTTACGAAACTTGGTGAAAGTATACCTTTCTGAGTCTTAAATAACCACATTATTTTTAAAACAAGAAGTTTCCGAGATATTAATTTTTTCCGGTATGACACTTTTTTTTTCAAAGAAAAATTCTACATAGGAAAATCATCGTACAGAGTTCTGCCTGTGATCATTTTTTTCGTTTTGACATATTCCTTTTGGTAAAATAAAAAAATCTGTAATCACAGTTCAAAAACATGCTCAAAAATGCAAAAAAATAAAAAATGACTTGCAACAGTAAATTTTTCAGTAATTGTTGTCATTGTTGATAATTTGTTTAAATTTAAAAAAAAAATCAAAAACTGATTACACCATTCAATTGTACGGAAAAAATACAAAAAAACTGTCTCATTGTTTGACCCAAAACTTTATTTTTGTACAATATTGTTATAAACATAAATCTAATAGTGAACAAATAACATAAAGAGTAAGTTTTTTTCCGTAAGATCGATTAGTGTACCTATTTTTTTTTAATTTTGATGAATTCATAGATTAACAGTGTGTCCAGGATAAGGATGGGATAGCCTTAGGATCTAGGAAACAGTAAGAGATGCGGGGTGGCACAGATTAGAAAAAAGTTGTTTTTTTATACCTAACAATATGCCGGTTAGAAAGTTTTAAAATTCCGGGTAGTTCCGGAAATATCAGGAAAACCCCGAAATTTTGCAAAATTGTTTAATTATTTTTCTGGCTTTATTTGAAAACGAATTTTTGCATATTTACATTGCCACTTTTTTCCCTTTATCCAATGGCGCCAACATTTTTGCAATCCAACGTTTCGTCTTCGAGGGGCCATCATCAGGTTAATTTTTTTAAATACGTCGCTGCTATTTTGATGACAAAATATAAAGTCGTTTTTAATTCTGAATTAGATGATATTATTATTGTAATCGTAAAAAGGATTTTAGCTATCGTTTAAAATTTTTCCTGAGTACGGCTCTGAACGCTTTCAGAATATCTATTGGAGGAAGTTATAACAGTATAAAAGTCAATATAGCACAAAATAAACAACAATTTTTTTTAATCAATAATTTAAAAAGTTGTACCAAATAAAAAAATAATACAAATTTATTAAATGTTTTATATGTATTTCTAATTATCTAGTATTGCTGATAGTAGTAAAAAAAAATTGTTGGATATTTTGTGCCGTATTGACTTTTATACTGTTATGACTTCATTCAATAGATATTTCGAAAGCGTTCAGAGCCGTAAACAGGAAAAATTTTAAATGATAGCTAAAACAAGGTAAAAAATAAAACGATTTTGCAAAATTTCGGGTTTTCGAGTTTCGCGTCAACAGTAGACTTTGCAGTTAATACTTTGTAGGTATCTCAAATCATCCAGAGATAAATTTATCCTTTGTGCATTTGTAATTCCACTTAGATTTTTATAGCAATACTGTACAAAAATAAAGTTTTGGGTCAAACAACGAGACACAGTTTTTTTGTATTTTTTCCGTAGAATTGGATGGTGTTCAGTTGATCAGTTGATCAGTTTTTTATTTTTTTTTAATTTAAGCAAATTATCAACAATTACTGAAAAATTCATTGTTACAAGTCATTTTTTGCATTTTTGAACATGTTTTTGAACTGTGATTAAAGATTTTTTTTATTTCACCAAAAAGTATATGTCAAAACGAAAAAAATCACTCTTGTTTTTTATTAAAAAAAAAATTGTGGTTATTTAAGACTCATAAAGGTATACTTTCACCAAGTTTCGTAAAAATTAAGTTATTTTTGCGGAAATGAGAAATAAAAAATGAAAAATCAGGATACAAACTGTTTTTCGCATTTTTCTCGGAAATTTTGAGGTTATCTTAAAAAGTGACCTCTACAAAAGTTATAGATTTTTGCATGATCTACAACTTTTGTATTAGATACTTTTTTGTTTGACGTCAATTTTCACCGGATATCCCAATTTTTCACATCATTTCAACTCCCCAAATCAATCCGCCACCCCTGCTCACGCATTTATTTATTTATTTTTTTTTTCGTTTATTATAATCCCCTTTACCATTTCCACTTATAGAAATTCAGGCAATAATTTTCTTTTTTTTTCCCTCTAAATGAGACACACGTATTAGACCTCATAAATTGACCCAATAACCCACAAAAAAAAAGTTGAAAATACCAGAGACTAGACCCTCCTCTCCTTATGTATTTTGACGCGCGGATATTTTTCTGTTTGACGTCAACTTTCGCCAGAAATCCCAATGATTCAATTTTTCACAACTTTTCAACCCCCCAAATCAACCCTCCGCCACCTCTGCTCACGCATTTATTTTTTTAGGTTTATTATAAGTTCTTTTACCATTTCCACTTATAAAAGTCCAGGTAACCATTTTTTTTCTTCAAGTGTAATTTGGTTAGACTAATAATATTGGGTTCGTTTCTCGAAGCTTTAGGGTGGTTTTACCCACCTTTCTTTCCGGTCTAAATTAATGACGACGTACTTTCCGACCTAAAAAGTGATCGGAATCAGACATTTTCTAAAGCGGCACAACAAAAATACGACATGAACATATGTCTTCTGTTTTCCATTACAGATGGAAAACAAACCATTTGACCACAAACGTTAGCCTGCAAACTGGTGTGGACTTATTTGTTCACAAACAATTTAGAGAATTGCGATACCTACTAAATTTTATATTTTGTTTGGACATAAATGAACTACTTTCAATTAACGGTTCGAGATCAGCGAGACATTCTTAAAAAATTCCGAAATTCAATTCAATTTTTTTTTCAAATCATAGACTTTGAAATATTGTCGTCTTTCATCATTGTCCCTTGGGTTTTGGACATTCAGTCCCCACATTCGGGATAGTCTTGTGCTCATATGAGCGTCTTTGTGGCTTTGCCTTGCCTAGTACTTGTTTTTAGGTCACCTGTGCGCACCTGAAATTTGGAAACTTTTGGGTTTCCTGAAAGTACCTATGGTTTTGGAAGCATCTGGGAGGTTGATATATCCCGTGGGATCTTTACCGTAGGCTTGGACAATGCCTGGGTAGTTAGAGTAAAAATTTGTAAAAATGTTTAACAATGTTCTGAATTATTAAAAATGAATGAAATTACAATAAATGAGTATTATTTGATTGTGCGGCATCATCGGTACGCATTTAATTGCCATCAAGTGGTCAATAGACAAATATTTTCAAGTGTGTAGGTATTTAAATTTTGCGTGTTTTATTGTAAGATTACCGCACGCAAATAGAGTGGGCAAACAGATAGTTACCGACCTGAAAAACATGCGAAAAGATAGGATTTATCCGTCAAGAGTAATAAAAAAGTTATTATGTTTTATGATTGATTTGATGTTATTACTAGTGACTCAATAATAAACACGTTCAATGAATCCTGGACAGAACTTTCCAACTCTTCAAAGCAATATGAACAATT